CTTGATGGCAAAGGCAAATGGACGACAGGGTGCTAACATTTCAAAGCCAAGGCAAGGTGGGCCAGCACTGAATTGTAGCGTGACGAAAGAGACGGGTAACGAGCCACGACCGCAACATGTGGAGAGAGAGAGAGAGGGTCTGTCTTTGCCGTGATTTGCTGCGGGCCTTCGCGATCTGCACTTTCGGCTTTGGGATATTTTCCTGGCAAGTCCCGACCCCAAAATCATTCATCAATCATCCAGGCACTGCACTGCTGACTGCACCACAAGCTTATGTGTTCTTTACTCACTGCCTCGTCCGACTTTATTGATTATGTTTAAATTTGATCAGCTTGCCGAGGTTGGGGGACGAAGAGATGGAGAACGGGTTTGGGGGGGATTTGTAGATGGTAGTTGCCAGTGGTCTCACTATGCTGCTGGGTCGTCATTCTAAGCTCTATTGGGCGATTGGAGCGCCCAAAATAGCCATCGCTGCCTCGTTTTCTCCTCGTTTTCTCCAGTGGCTGCAATGTACCTACAGGTGAAGCATGCTTAGTGTATGCTGTACGGAGTTGCTTGGCCTCAGGGGTTCAGTCAGTCTTGGGCCCAGGCTAGGCAATTGCAATTTGCCGTACATGAACGGGGCGGCGGAAAGGCCCAAGGCTCTCGGGCCTTGAAGCACGCATAAAGTAACTCATTGGGCCACCTTGGGAAGTGAATGTGATGGATCTTCAACTTCGATACCATCGTGGCCATGTAAAGGCTCGATCCCGCATCTCCGTCGTCACCATAAAGGTGGTGCGCATGATTGCTGGAATACGTTTATGGGCCTATCACCTGAACGCGAGGTAAGTATGACAGACTTGCGCTTGGGTTTGTACCGAATCGCGAGTCCATCTGATGTTTGCATATGCGCTGAGATGTCACCCCTGATTAAGCACCGTGCCTTACTAGGCGCTCCAAGACGGTTATGCAAGAACTAAACTGGCACATACCATGGAAAAGGGGCCTACATCTGCATGGAAGACGAGTGTTGCTAGTGCGAAAGAAGTAACCACACAGTTCAGGCTAGAAACAATCTCCATCTTCCATCCAGGATAGGAGCGGCCCGGAGATTTCTCACCTAGGTAGAGTTTTGGCGGCAGATGATCTAAAATGTACCATCTCAACTTGAGCGTTTCATGTTTGTGTAGCTTTCAGCCCGCTGTGTCGATCGTATACCATATTAATCTCATCATCATAAACTTTTCCGTCTTGCCTATTATACTGAAAAGATTGAGGTGATGAATGTGTAATCAGGCCTTCTTCCGTCGTACTTATAGAATATCTTTGGATGGGAGGACTAGGTTGGATTGTTTCAATCTCAATCTTTGTCGCCATGCTTGCCATGTTTGAAAATTGTGTACTGCGAGCGCCCGGGTCATCTGCCGACTCCAACTCTTGCCAGGATCTCCGCCGACAACGTGATAGCATAGTAAGCAGCACGAGATGACGAAGTCGTATTGTCAACCATTATGCTTAGGCAAGCGCATTGATTTGACAGCAAATACTTATGCTATGTCTGATGGACAATTTCTATCCCACCTGGCAAGTCTCTCGCACTAAGCAGGGTTAATTTGGACAGCAAAAAGATACCTTTGTGGATCTATACTGGCCTGTGCGCGTGCCTGATAGGGGTGATAAAAAAAATTCGGCCTGCAACCACACTAGAGCATGACTGTACCCCACCAGCAAAGAAGGGTGACCTTTGGATTCAGAGTAGAGTGGCAAGCATTCTCCTTACCCAGGTATACTACGGTATCAGGCCAAAGTTTTCACCCCCTTGACAAGTACCAGTGGACCACTGCCAAGGTAACGCTATACTGATTCTTACCGATTCTTACCTAGCCTATTCATACTAACGAAAAGGTACTTCCACCTTTGATTCCAACTTGCTGTTAACGCGTCCTAATTATCGCGTATGTAGCAACTACAATAGGGACTAAACACCTTACAGAAGCAGATCGCTAACGAATTCGAACCCTCCATTTCGACGGTGGTAAATCGAAAGCCGAAATTCAAACTACTACAACGATTTCTTTTAATCTGATTAAGACAGCTGTTAAGGTCGCTTCAAGCCAGGTAGCTAAGAGTTGGCTCGTGCGTAGGTGGAGCACGGTACAAACACACAATTGAAAACTTACCCATGATACCATAGTAGACAAAATGGTCCCAAGTCTGTAAATGGTCACTCCTACTTTGTACAAGATTGGGGAGCCGGGAATTCTAGTATTTTATCAGGGCAAAAGAAAAAAACCAGTATAAAAAGAAGACAACATGTCTACCTGCATTGACCACCATTTTGAACGCACTCCCACTTTCATGGGATGACCGCAAATCTGACCTCAACTTCATTCTCAATCTGTGGTGGTAGCCAAGATCAAAGAGGAAACGAACTAGGGAGCTGTAGTAGAAGACAGGGTTGGCCTGTTCTTGTCATGCTTGTCCTTAGCTAATCCAATCGCTGATAAGTTAGCAAATACCTTATTTCAATCGAGCTCTAGTTACTACCTTCTTCAGGTTATCCCTTGAAGGCCGGGTTTAACGGTCTTTTCATCTATAGTTACGGTACAAATAGGAGTAATTTACGCCGTCTTGCTTACTAGCGTATATATGTCGTAAGAGACTAGTTCTCACGGTAGTTAATTAATAATATTTTTAATCTCGTTTATTATAATGTCCTATGCAAGCCTACGGCTGAAGACAGTCGGTCCGAAAACCCGAGGTTTAGCGGGCAAACTATCCAGTCCTAGATATAAGTATAACCCTGTACTACAAATTTGTATCCTCCGTAACCTTGTTTTTCCCTCGCACTATAGACTTTCTAAACTTAACCCGGAGGTTAAGCTTAATATCATGTAGGGCGATGGGTTCTTTAGGTACGATTGCTAACTCTACTAAATTCTTTCCCTATGACTTTTGTAGAGGGCATGCATGGTCCCTATAACCGCCGCCGGATTCGAACCGACTATGATCGTCGCCGACCCAGACATGAGCCTGAGTTACCGCGGCTTATGCACCAGCCAAGCTTAGGATCACTAAACTAAGCAGAGAATTAAGGATCTTATACAATGGTATAACGTGAATGTACACCGAGCTGGCCACCCATACATAACCTCGCATAGAAATTTTACGATAGTAAAACCACAACGCCGTAAATCAATTGAAACTACTCTGAATCTTCCTCTCCAGAAGATGGCAATGCGATCTTACAAGTTCGCGCATTATGCCCAGTCCCGTTGCAAATACCACAGCGCCTCGAGCGCGTTTCAACACGCTTTGCGCGACCACCATTTCGGCGCTCTTCTTGCTGTATCTGCGTCGCCAACTCCCTAGAGTCCCGTAGGTCCTGTCCTTCCTGGAAAATAAGTGATTCTCCTTCCCGTAATTGCATTTTTTAGTCCTCCGGCGCCGGCTTAGCATCTTATTTGCCTCTCGAAGCTCAGCGCACTCGGCCCGTACGAGGGCGAGCTCGTGCATTATCATTTTTGCTCCCTTCGCAAACTGGTCGACAGCTGAGAAAATATTCGTCCGAGAGCTATTCTGATGCTCGGAGATGCGCTTTTTCATAAAAGTAGACTGTGCATGAGCCTCTATCGGGTTCTGTGGCGTCTTTGATACCCACGGTCGGGTTGCGATTTCTGGGGAGCCAACAGGCGTCGGGGTCCGTAATCGTACGTCCAGCTTTGAAATTACACTTTCTGGATTGAATGGAACAAGTCCTGCCCTTCGAAAGCCAGCTTGAACGTTTTTTTCGCCGAAAACTGCAAAGAAGGCGTCTTTGAAGATAGGAAAGAAGTCCTCCTTCGCGATATGTGTTAGTGACCGGCGTATCAATTTCTCTACCATCTGGCCGTACATCCGCTTTAATGGACCGAAACAGGCCACGTCAAGTGACTGGAGGATGTGAGATGAGTGCGGAGGCATACACAAAGTTACAATTTTGTGTTCTTTGCAATATAGCTCGAAATCGCCGGAAACGTGGCTCTCGTGACCGTCCAACACTAACAATCGATATATCCCGGACTTTCCATCTTTCGTACAATTATCGAAGTGTTTAATAAATTCAATACCGATCTAGTTAGTCGTCCATCCTTTTGGACTAGGTCTAATTCTCCAATCTTTCGGAATGTTGTCGTCTTCGTACCAAGAAGAGAGGTGGTATCGGCCCGCAACAACGATGAACGGCGGCAGCGCCCAACCGGTAGACTGGACCGCTTGGATTACGGTAACCCATTCCCGGTTACCTTGCTGTATTGATTTCGGCCTGGCACGTCGTTCGGAGCTCGTAACTACTATATTGGTTGAGATCTTACCCATCATAAACCCAGTCTCGTCGAAGTTGTAGATGTCCGACTCTTGGATACCGTATTTCGCGATAACATTCGCAACAAGCCGAAACCAATCTGCAATAAGCTTTGGATCTTCGCATTGGGCCCTTTGGTAATCGTAAGGACGGTTCCAACGAGTTTTCAACTCTTTGCGACGTGCGACGAACCTCGAGGCCCAGCGCGTTCCAATGGGCCCTGCGTTACGTGTCGCGCGGATAGAATTTGCCATTGCTTCCACATCAGCAATCCGGGGCGGAAACGCTCGTGCATCTAAGTCCAGTATATGCTTGATAATTACCTCCTCTTCTAATTCTGTCATAGTTCGTGAATTGAGCAAAATATCGCGTCGGAAAGGTACGCCGTTTTTACGCGTTTGGAGAGTGCTTCGGGGGACTTCGTACGTTTTTGCCGCTTGTCGGAGGCTAAGTTTTTGGTTATTTTTGAGAGCTTGAAGGTCTAGCATTAAGTCTGCTTTGTTGTATAACTTTGCCATAATTGGTTGTTGAGAAAATCAAAGATTAAGTTGGCCGGTCGCGTTGGCGCATGAAAGTGGCCAGCTCGGTATACATTCACGTTATCTCAATTATAAATTCTGCAAACTCCAATGCAAAGAAGTGAAACCAAATACCGCATTAATAAGAAATCGGGTCATCACAACACGATTATCAAGCCTCCCACCATGGCACTGAAGCCAGCCACAACTGCCACGCCCAAGGCCTGCCAGTCCGGCGCCGGGACAGCTCTGGTTCCCGTGTTGCTGGTGTTGGAAGCGCCAGCGCTGCTGGTGACAGTTACGGTCGGCAGCGCGCTGCCGTTTCCACTGCCGTTGCCGGTGCCGGGCAATCCGGTAGCCGTCGCAGTGGCCTCGATATGACTGACGACGCCAGTTGCGTTGGGGATGTTGCCTCCTGCTTCTATCTCAATGACATTGCTCTCCGTGGCATTGACATTAGCCTGTGCCAGTGCAATCTTGAGGTTGTCGAGGTCATAAACGACGTAGGCGCTGCGGAGGAAAGTGTCGCCAAGCAGGTAAATTCCCGTGTTAGGTTGGATGCCAAACGAGCAGGCGTTATCGAAGGGCAACTCAGATTTATTAAGATATCCCAGATCGATGTAGGCCGGTATGTTATCCAGCACCATCTCATCGACAGGCACCCGGATGACGGGGCCGTCGGAACTGCCGAATTGGAAGTCGAAGGTGATGTTGGCGTTTAGGTAGCTGCAGTTTATGTACACCAGCCCGCTGTCGGAGGTGTCATCGACGGCGTTGAAGGCGTCGTAGATTTTGTCGGTCACCATGGAAGGGAAGTAGCTTAAAGTAGTACCAGAATCGAGGACCACTGGGAGGGCTTCCGGGTGGGATCTGAAGAATTCAGTTGATCTGCCATCTTGCGAGCCGACCAGGGAACTCAGGGCGACGGTGAAGGACGAGTAAGTGCCACTCCGCGAGTCTTCGCCAATATCCACACTTTGCAAGTCGCCGATATACTTCTCCGTATCGATGCCACCAAACAGGACTGTACCAGTGGAAGATTGAAGGTCATTCTGAGAATTGGGTGTTGGTTAGCTAAGCTTCCTTTCATATGCCATGCGCAGTCTGTGGTTGTGGTTGTGGGGTCACGCGTAGACGCGAGTGGAATGTGGGATCAAGACTTACCAGATATAAACTGTACGCCTTCAGGCCAATCAAGCCCTGCTCCACCAACAAATCGATGATGGTGCTATACGGTGTCTTGGCAGCAACGTTTGCAGCAAAGCCAATGCCTAGGAGACCCGAATTAATCGTCGTGTTCGTGGCTAGGCCCATCTGCAAGGACTTGATCTTGGTGCCGCCAATGGCAATGGTGTCCTGGAAATAGTCGCCCTGGGCACCCGAGCCGTCGACGTACTGAATCGAGAAAACGTCCTCACCGTCGTCGATAATCTCGTAGGTGGAGCTGTCGGAAGGGTCATAAGTAGCGATGCAGCCGCCGCCATATACCTCTTGCATGTCCGGATCGATACATAGGTCAGCGTTGCTGTCGATGACCCAAACATCACTGCTTCCCGTATCGATGACCAGGCTAACTTTTTGGCCCGGTGTTCCAACCTCGACCTCGGCGTGGTACCCTCCCCCAGTTAGATTGTTCTGGAGTTCTTGCGTCCAAGTTTGGGCGCGCTTGTGGATCGGCGGGAGCTTGTGAATTGGTCTGCTGATGCCAATGGGAACCACCTTTACTGCCGTCACCGTTACGGCCAAAGTGCAAGCGGCCACAATGGTGGAAAAGACCCTCATCGTGAAAGTCTCAAAGTGGCAGGAATGCGATGTGAGGATATTGTCAGCGGTGGCCGGTCGTTCAGCGCTAGGGAATCGCCTAGTAGATCCTAGACTAGATGCACCAGCAGCGGAACGATACCTAGATATATAAAGCCGAAGGATGAGAAGGGAAAATATGCAGATGAGGATGAGATGGCTCTGAGGTTATGCAGTCATTAGCGACGGCGGTGCGACGATGTCCAACGCACTGGCGGAGTCACCAGAGCTGCTGCGCCTGTAAGCCGCCGAGGTTAGATCTTGGCTGACAATCTCGTGACTGGCCGCTTGCTTGGGGAATTCGGCAACTTGTCAGGATCTAATCCAAGAACGGCGGAAGCTGGGAAGACAACGAATTTATTTTTTGCAGCCTTGTCGCCGGGGGGCGAAGGCGGCAGAGACCGTTGCTGGTTTCCCCAGGATGTGGAGACCGCGTTGGTGATCTGGGGCAACGCGGGGAGTCACGATGCTACCATGGACCGCTGCTAACAAGGACGATGTGTAGGGGGCACGACGCTGTCGAACAACTTGACGATCTTTCTGGTTTCATACACACACCGAGTGAATAAACACCCTCGAGGTCACCCAGAGGGAGAAGGCGCGAACATGGCCAGTTTGAAAAACAGCAACTCAGCTGCCAAGCTTGTTCTTCAATTCATCCTCTGAAAAGACAGCTTGGCCGCCTGATTCCTGCTCGACATCCTTGTAATGTGCAGTCAGGCGGCCAGTGGGCTGCTTGGTTCTCATGCGTATCGGCACCGTTGGAGAGGAAAGGTGCATATTTCGGAAGGCAAAAGGTTACGCGGCTTGCTTCCCTCATCTCGCATATCGTTTCGACATGGCGCCCACAGGGCAAAACGCCCGCGCGACGCCGTTGTGTCTATCAGTTTGGCGGGAAGCAAACCAGTGCGGCGGCCAAGCAATCACCAATGCAACGGTGGACAACAATCGGCCCAACTCGATGCGCTTTTCTGATGAAGCGCCAATAATAGCGCCTTTGCTTCTGCTCGTTGCTGCACTGTAACCATCCAGATGGGAGAACCGTTGAGAATCCCACCTCAAAAGCTTGGGAAGGCAGCAGTCATCAATATTGCGTCGGTATTTGTTTTGGGCCTATACACTCAGCTTCTTGTGTCGCATCTTTCCATATGTGCGAGAACCTCCCGGATTTTCGGCTTCCCAAAGGACCGAAGTTGGGAAGATGAGATGGCAGATCGTTAAACGCTATCTCATCCTGCTAGAGCTTAACTCCGACCGATGTTTCGGGACGCCGAGATCTTGTCCCTGATGCTCCCTTTGCCCTTGCCCTTGTCCGCATTTCCCCGGATTTGCTAAGCCGCACCCAACCGCACTTGTGATACCAAGTTAATTTCTGAATGTATCTCAGCTCTTATGTCTTCGTGATATCAAAGACTCAGATCTGATCGCTCTAGGGTTTATATGCTTAGCCAATTCTGATATCCTCCAGCAGTAATACGGGGTACCATATTCGAAGCAAGCGCTGATGAAAAGAATCTTGCGATGCTGGAAACTGACTCCGGGGATCTTCCTTGCCATACCAGTGCCGCATCGTCTTTGAGGCCAAGTCAGGATCTGGCAACTGGACATAATCCAGGCTTCTGTCCTACATTTCGGCTCTATCCGCGGAGATGAACATGTTGGTATTTCGGTCTGGACTATCTTTGCACCAGAAGCGGGCGACGGTGACATGCCCGGGGTCATGGCCACAACCGACGTGCATCCTGCCAGCGCGAACATACCGAATTCGCAATCCTCGTAGCGATATACCTCGTCTTGGTCTGCTGCTTTGCCCTCTGCACACTCTCTACTTAGCCATCGGTTTGTTGAGGCGATAAAGAGAATGTCGTATCCGGGTCGCGCGTGGGAGGGAGCACGTAGAATGCAGAACGGCGTAGGAGAAGGCGTGAGCATGAGGAGGGTAGCTAGTCGTGGTACGTGGTCAGTGGTATATAGGAGTGATATATAACGAAAGCTTGGGTTCAAATAGTAATCTGGTCTGGCCCTTTGAGAAGAATGCCTTGCTACGAGATACCATTCCGACTCAGCTGCCCTCCACCTCTCCCCTTGTATAATTCCTACATCCCATGAGCATAAGATCGCGTCGGGTACTTGTCTACGATGCTTCAGTCATGAAGTTTTTGTATTAAATTTCGTGACTGCATTCTGCTCCCAAACTGAATATCACAAAGCTCCGTAAGATCGCGCCCAAGTCGGCAACTTCAACTGAATGTCCTCTGTTCTCGTTGCTGCGCGTCCCATTACCCCTTCATAGATGCTATACTGCAGTGTGTCTGCGGTGGCGGCAATTGCGCACATGACCATTGTCACTATACCTTGGGTCCGAATCCGGACGCAACCCGAGATATCGACATCTCACACAATATGTTCGGAAGCTCGTTGCTTATTGAAGTTATGCATGAGCGAACTCGTTTGCGCGTTCATGACCTGCAAGAGGTTTAGGAACCACATGGCTAACTAGATGTGCCTGCAGTACGCTGCGTCGATTTACTGTTACAGAAATGTTCAGATGACGTATCTAAATAGTATCTCAATATAGTCTCGGTAGTATGATACTGAACGTGGCAATTTCATGCCAAGCTAATCAATCCCTGTCTAGCCGTCTAGCCGTAGCTTAGTTCGTTGCTTTATAGGAGATCGGATACATGAGACCCACAATGTGGATTGCAATTCAGGCGCATAGCTGCAAGTATTGCCGTTTGTGAATGATAGTCGCAATACTGGCCCATTCGAGCTTGACTGATTTGAAATGAGATTTTGTGTGGAAGGCATCGCTGGCATATGTGTCAAAGCCTATTATTGGCACACATCGCTGAAAGTGGATTGGGAGAGGTTGCCCTGTACAATAAAATCACAGTTTGATGCGAAGTTTTGCGCTATAATGATACGAGATATAGTCTATGCCAAACCAACTTATCAAGGCCACCCACCATACATATCACGAAACGGGCAAAATCCAAAATTTTCCTTGCAGTCATCTATTAGTAAAATCAATAACCAAAGTCTCAAACTCTAAAGTACTCCTTCGCATTAATAACCATGACATTGCCCCTCAACTCGACAGCCCGTACCTCCACACTGTCCTTATCCGTCTTGGCAAGTACCAGATGAACAGTCCCTTTTTCATAGTCATACAATTCAAAACTACCGCTTATATGGTTTGAACCGGACTCACTTCCCCCATTCCTCCGATCGTCCCCAATAGCCTGGCAAGCTCGATCATATGTATACTGTCCATCGGCCATGAAGCACAACTCCTTCATTTCTGCCACACTATCATGGCCGCCATTTAAGGACATGTGTGAGTAGGACCTCCACGTCCCCATAAGCTGACTAGAGACCGATTTGCACAGCACCGAGCGATCGATCCACCTAATCGACGACAGCATAGTAGCCGCTACTTTGCTCGCCACCGCAATATGCTTTACTGGCACATATAGCGACACCGCCACACCATGCCCATACGGCGAGCTGACTATCGCCCTGTACATGACCAGCGCCCCCTTGTCCGCTCCCCCTCTCCCTCCGCCTTCCTCTGCCTCATCCTCACCGCCGGTCTGATTAGCACAGACAACACACCCCACATTCACGCCTCCAGTAGGGATCCCAAACTCCATCACACAAGCCGGCACAAGAACCGTCCTGCAATCATCCGTAGTTAGGTCCCCAATTGCCTCGACGGCGGTTTGGATCTGGGATGTTGTGTACAGGAGTCTGATCTCGAAGCTGCCCCCGCCATACAGGTGGGCCAAGTCGCCGATGATGAGGTGCGGGTGCGGTGTGCGGAGGTTGGTGTGGCGGGGTGGGAGGAGGATGTGCTCAAGGCCGAAGATGCGGGCACGATGATGGGGCCAGGTTTTGGGGTTGGGGAGGGTTGGAGGTTGGGATTGGGATTGGAATTGTAAAGGGGAAGAGGTAGATGGAGGTGGATTTGATGGGATTGGTGTCTGTGCCTCTGCCTGCGCCTGTTCCTCTTGCTGTCCAGAGATTGGCTGGCAGGTATTCTGAGGTGGAACACTGTTTGCTGACGGCGGGGACGTGAAGGGCGTGGTCAAGCTTGGCTGAGCATCGGGCTGAGTTTGCTGCTGCAGCTGCTGTTGTTGCAAAATGAACGACATATACTGCATTCCCGGCGATCCAGTAGAGTTCAATATTGACATGAGGTTTTCCGTCGAGGCATCTGTCTGCTGCTGTATAAATCCAGTAATCATGTCTAGGTTTGACTGAGATGGCGAAGACTGTCCTATTCCTTCACTGCCGCTCATGGTTGACATCAAGTTCGCTGTAGAAGCATCCGCTTGCTGTTGTATGTAAGCAGATATTGCCTCTTGATTTGTGGATTGATCTGAAACTCCACCAGTCCTCAGAGCCGACAGAAACATTTCCGTTGCAGAGTTTTGTTGCTGCTGTGTATATGCGGATAGTATGTCTTGATACGGCGGAGTGAAACACTCCTGTGACATTGAGGGCTGAAAAAGCCCGGTGGCAGTTAAACTCGACAAGATATCTCCAGCAACAATACCTTGTTGATCCTGCAGGAACGTAGAATCAAAAGGGAAATTTTGATTTTTTTCACCACTGTAGAGGCTGGATATATTGGGTTGATTCAACGCTGTTGTCATCACGCCAAAGTCACCAAGTCCACCAGAATACTGCCCTGCCAGCGCTGCCGCAGCCTGGACGCTCAGCATTGCTGCCAATGAATCGATACCTGAACCATTCTGCTGTGATTGTTGAGACTGACTCAGCTGTTGCTGCACCTGATAGATCGTGGCGATGTTGGGGTTTATCATTGCTAGCACTGGCATCAGGGGGTTAATGACCTTTTCCAGCTTTTCGTTGGTCTTGGCGAGGAATTCCTTGCTGCTATTGTAAGCCTTTTTGGCCGTTTCCTTGTTGAGGTACTTTAATAGTCTGTCCGTCCGAAGCGTAGATGATGAGGATGGTGCTGTAGGAAGGTGATTCCAGGCCATGGAATAAGCTGGGCTGGATGGAATGTTTGAGAAAATGGGGCCAGGGTTTGGCGGGATTCCTGAGGTTAAGGGATGCGGTACAGAGCGGGATTGGAGAGTCCTCTCGGATGATTGATACGCTGGTCTTGGTGATAAAGGCGGAGGAGGTGGAAAGGTCTGTACAGCTTTAGGCGAATCAAAACCTGGCAGAGTCGGTAGTGCATTTTGACTTTCTGGTGATTTGGAAGAACCCTCTGGTATAGTTGTATTTTCAGTCAACGGGGCTGGGGCCATAGTACATGTGGTTGGTATAGGAGTAGGGTGGATATATGTCTCTTGGGAATGCTGTTTTGGTTGCGAGGCAGCGACTGGTTCAGGTAAACGAGGCGTGGGTATAGGTAAGTTGCCATCGTAATCTTGTCCTGCAGAAGGAGCATCACTTTGAGCATTCCTTGAAGAGACTGCCGAGAAGGATGTAGGTTGTTCAGCCGCCCCCCCGGCTTTCACCGGCACGGGTCGGCGAGGAATGGAAAAAGGTCTGACCCGGGCCGAGTTTACTATATTCGCATGGTTCGTATTGTAGGCTTGATTCACTGGTTGGCTTTGTTCAATAGCCCTTTGCAAAAGTTGAAGGTCGGTTGAAGATGTCATGGTGGCACAATTCAGCTGTAAAGTGGCGAAACATGGAAATGCAATTTCAGTAGAGCGTCAACTGTAACAGAGAGTGGGATACCTTTTTATATACATCAAAGAAACCCGCTGCTTTTCATTGATGCTACCAACAGATCTTCTTCAAGTAGCGTGGGGTCAGCTCAGAGCTTCATGAATCGCAAGACGCCACACGGGTGTATGACCCGAATAGGAGCTAGAAAACACATATCGAACGCAAGTTTTCAAGCCACCTTTTCCGTATCCAGGTAGCTGCACCGAAGTTTTCTTCAACTGGACCAACTGACAGAAAATAGCCGAGAGCCGACTCAAGCCCGCATGAGCTGAAGACAGTTGCGACTCCAATATGCAAGGGTGTGACTGGTCACTTAATCCTCCATTTCACCTGTCCTCAGGTTGACTGATATGTCTACGAGCTTCAACTTGCATCAAAACCTTTTGACTCCTCCACTGGGCGGAGAGGGGCAGGGTGTCAGGCTAAGTTTAATTAAACAATGTTCAGCTCAAACTCGATACACGCATTAAGTACTCCTGTTTATGTTAACACCAGACACTGCAATATCATCCCAAGAATACCTCCTTACCTAACACACAAGATCATGCATCGTAGATCTCGTAACTTCATACAGATTCGTTATGGCCAAGAAGTAGGCCCAAATATCTCACCCTCAGCAACGTACGATTTGATAGCCGTACCCTGCTGGTCCATCGTCTCAAACGCACCAACGTTGCCGAACCATTGCGGCGGGTAAGCCTCCGTAAGATACAAGGTGAAAAATATGACGATAGTGGACGTGACGAGGCCACAGTCCAGTGCGGCAGAGGTGATATAGTTGTACTGGAGCCACCACCCGTTGAACCGGCGCTTGATGAAGAAGTTGAACAACATGCCGACCGTGCCCCAGCAAAGGTAGTTGTATGTGGTCGCCGGCGGGAGCCACCCAGACCCGCCGAAGAACAGCGGCATGTTGACGTATCGCCAGATGGACTTGGGGTAGCGTCGGGCGAAGAACCAGGCGATGACCGGGGCCACGGCACCGACAAGCCAGAACCACTGAAGGTCGGAGTATAGGGCCTCCCCGCTGAAGATGCGAGCTGGCCCGATTGCGCCCCAGATGATGGACGCAGTGAAGAAAACTTGACTGCCGGGACACGTGTAACCGTTCGGTTGGTCGTCGCTGCACACATCGGGAATATTGCCAAGAGCCCAGTTCATGACGGCGATTTGGACAATGGCGGACCATATCGAGGCGATGAGCTGCGACCAAAACATTGTGCATGGAGGGACTTTCATATAGTGACCGAGCTTGAGATCTTGGGCGAAGAACAGCGCCTGCGACGTACAGAGGTAGCCATAGTTCTTAAACATCATCATTGCAACTGGGTGACCGGGGAGGAGGTAACCGATGACATATTCGGTCAACACATTCAGTCCGAGCTGAATGTTTGTGATAGCTTGTATGATTCCGATTGGAATAGTCCAGATGAGCGGGAGGATCATGCAGACGACATAGGCCCAGGCAGGGAAGCCAGTCGGCCAGGCGCAGCATACGACAAAGGATAGGCCGACCATGACAACGAAGAGAGCTAGGTACCACCAGTCTTCTGCGTCGCGGTATTTCTTCATCAGCCGCATGTGAACGTCGTCGTCTTGATTCCGGGCCAGTTTGAACTGCCTAACAATTTCCGGACCATGGTAGAGTACGACGTGGACGATGATTGCGGCGACGGCAGCGAACGCAAGACCATAACATAGAGCAAACTGCGTACTTAAATAAAGCGGCGAATAAGCGTGGTATTTCTCGGCGTCGAATTGCAGGTTCTCATCCAGGATGCGTGAGACGTTGTAAACTGCGCCTGTGTTGTCAAAGGCGTTCGGAGATTGAACAACGAAGTAGTCCGAGTACCACGTTCCTGAGAAGTGTAAGCCCATCGAGATGATGACGAAGAAGACGATAACCCCGGCAACTGTGTTTGCCACAGCGTGCCACGGGGGAATCAGAGGGGATCCTGCGTAGCCCGAAGCGACGGTCCAGTCAAGTGTGGTAGGAATAAGACCATAACCGCGAAGGCCGCCAAAGATCTTGTTCACGATAATGTTGTTGGGGGCGGCCCAACAGACAAAATTGAAGTACGAAAATCCCATAAAGATCCAGCCTGGAAACCAATACCACACGAACGCGCTGATAAGGCTTTGCGAATGTGAGTTAGTTGGTCATTACATAACTGCAAGCGCGTATTACAGGAAACGAGGCAACCCAAATTGCCACGGCCAAGGAGCTTGGTTGGCTGCTCACAGGAAATACCATAGTTCAATGCCGTGAAAGATGATAGAAGTTGCTTACACCATCAAGAAGTACTTATAACGACCGATACTCCAACCGTTGGTCTTGCCGGGGTCGGTCGTGTTGGTGTGGTCGTGCAGAGTGTAGAAAAGCGAGGCATTGACCAGATCGGCGGGCCAAATCATAGCTGCTGGCCATACGAGGAAACGGCGCGCAAGGCCTGCCAGCCCGTAACCGGTACAAAGGGTAGTGATTCCGAAAAGCAGCTGGAAGGCCCACCCGAAATGCTGCCCGTAAAAGATCTGTTGGGCGAGCAAAACGTCTGTCGCATACAGCGCTCCACCGCCATACGCTGCCTGTGTCCTGGATTAGCTTGATGAAACAACCGTGGTGGCATTGCTACCCACGTTCGACATGCACACGATAACGACATGCTCCTTGAAGTTGAACTTGCCGGGCTTGAAGTTGAATTTCAAACCGGCCACTCGAAACTCGCGGTCGGGGAAGATCAAGTCCCACCCCAAACCGATCGGATATGCGATCAGCTGTATAACGTAGGTTGTAATGATGACGCTCGGGTTTCGGAGAGAGAAGAGCATGTTGATAGCTGAGCCGACACTGCAGAGTACCAAGCCAATGATCCATGCGCGAATTGTGTTGGCCGGGAGCTCGACGTCGTAGTTCCTAACGGCGGCGCGAACCTCTGGATATGGACTGTTATCCTCCATCAACGCCGCCTCGATCTCGATGCCCTTTTCAGCATCACCGCTTCGGAGAATTGCGTCCAATTCATTAAGCTCCTCGATTGGTAGATTCGGGTCCAGTTTGTGTTGATGCTCGAAGTGCTTGAGGATATTTAAAGCCTCGACCCCAGTGGCCTCCGCCTCTTCACTGCCGAGGGCATATGGTGTGATTTCCTCCTGCTCGCCGCCTTTGCGGAAGCTGAAACCCATCCTGGAACTGGTACGTGAACACTCAATCCAAAGACGCAGGTCAGAGAATTGAACGTATCAGAACCCAAAAGCTGCCTATCGAATCGCGGGAAACAAAGAACAAGACCCATGGTCTATGGGGATGGCATGACGGGAGCTACTTGGTATTTATCTGACTTCCCACAATGCTACTTTACCCTGAACCAAGACAAGGGGGCAGAGTGGGGAGATAATTACCACAAGACGCGTAACGGCATTCATCCATCTGCATGGCTGGCTCTACGTCCACGACAGTATCTCGAACGCAGAGCGTGAGGTCCCAGCAATTGACGACCTGCCTAAATTGGATAATTCCAGAAGGGTGGGTTATCGGTATGCAGCTACAGGGATATAGTGGGGGATAGATTTGGGCTGGACCAGAAGATGGAGGGGCCTCACTTCCCATTGCAGAAACAAGTTGAAGGGCCTCGACCCGTCTGTCAAGGTCGGCGATAAAAAATGAACGATGGCACCCGACTTGGTACTAACAGTTGCAAGCTTGCCCCAGGTCAGGGACCTGCCACAAGATGACCATCCAATGGGTAGCCACATGACGATGGGCCGGGATATCTTGAGCTGGTCTTTCTCACGCTCTAGTATTACTTAAGTAACTCGGAACTTCTGACGGGTTTATATATTTTATCATATCCGCTGTCATTCAGTCCGAATCCGCTCCAGATGAGTCTACCAACCTGGTTGTAGCTGTGAAAAAGCACTGCAATTATTCAGCGTTGGGCACTCCCTCTAAGGGGGCTTGAAAGCGGCCCTGGATTACTTCTGTGGGCAGAAATGGCAGTGTTCGGCCCCGCACGGACCACCCAGTGTAGCCACTGTAGATTAGCCAGAGCTTACGGCAAGTAACGATAGTCATAAGAACAACAATGAACGGTGGGCTGCGATTTGCCCACATGGTAGCATCTCAGAAGACGATCAAGGCAGCGCATTACGGCAAGATCATCTTAAACGGCAGACTTCGATAAAAAGGCATTTATCGCGATTACTCCCAAGGACTCTTCCCTGCCGCCGTTGCGGTGCGATCAGACAGCTGCTGCTGGATCGCCGTCGTGGGGAGAGAGACGGATGCGTTATTTTACGCCAATTCGGAGGTCGACAACCATCACAGAGATTACTCTCGCGCATTCTGCGAGATAATCATCATCGTGAGCCCTGACTTCATCGCAAGGCAATTCTCGCGCGTATCCCAAGGATCCTCACCTACAGCGATTAGCTGAATCGCCGTCAAATCTGTTGACGTGAGAGGAAGAAGGAGCGATTATTACGCCCTATTGAAGTCAGATCAGCTCGTCGTACGTGAACGACACAGAACACGCGTTATTACACGTTAGCCACCAACATGGCAACCGCGCCGTCACGCATGATGACGCGGGGCAGCAAAGCTGCGGCTGAGGCAGGTACGCCTGACAGCGCTGACGGCGCCACTGGCGCCAGCGCATCTACCAATCAGCATCCGTCGATAGCTGAGCTGATGGCAGAGCTAAAAGAGATAAAATCAACGTACGCTGCCAAGGAAGAAGAGAACCAGCGCGTTCAACAGCAGCAGAACGAACGAATTGAGCACTACAAGAACCAACTTGACGCACTAGTGCAAACAAAAGAATCGCGACCGAGCTCACGGTCGAAATCTTGGCGGTCACGCCGCTCATCTGTTGAGCAGGCAAAAGAACTTTACCAGCCAGCCCGATCGAATTACGGGGCTGCCGAACCCCCCGTAGACTGGCTACCCTACGAAGGGCTTGATCAATTGCAAGAAAAGGACCAGCTCGCTGACGTAACCGCTAAGGCGGCAGAAGAACAGCTACGGAAGCACTATGAGGAAAAGATCGCCAAACAGCTCGAGAAGCTGAGAAGAAGGCCAACCGGCGGCAATCCACCACCACCAGACGACAACGAGTCGGATGACGGAAAGGAAAGGAAGAGAAGACGAGACGCAATCCGCCGCCGCACCCAACCGCCGAGCGACCCAGACGATTCGAGTGATTCGGATGGAGATGACAGAGCACGGGGCACGCGCTCGCCGGCCGTAAGGCTCTGCTGGAAGCGCTTCTCATTCAAACCAGACAAGTCTCAATACCTAAAGGGGGCAACGAACTTTCGCGTGTTCTTCGCGGATTTTCGGCTCGCACTTAAGGCGATCGGCTGGAAGGAGGAAATGAAGCTGACTTCGATGGATGAAGTGAACATAGCCGTACACCTGCGAGGTGCCTGTAACCTCGAGCCAAAAGGGCTCATCGTCGACATTGAGCAAGGCACGAAGGCCATGAAGAGACTAGAAAGCACCTACGCGCAGTCCGCCGATAACATCCACGCGACAATCTGGGGGAAACTCCGTACGCTCAAATACGATGGCAAGGATCCAATTAAGCATGTTACCGAATTCAGACAACTCGTACACGATTATGAAAACGGTGGCTCTTCAGTCAATGATAAGGACAAGGTCACGTGGTTCCTTGCCTCCCTTGAGGACAAGGCCATCTATTTCGTTCGATTACAGCGCCAAATGCAGAAGATGGTCGGCGTAACAGCGCAATACGTTATGGACGAGTTCGCAGCTGAATTTTACCATAAAATCGGCGACAGAAGGGATTCTAGTAGTAAATCCGGCAACTCCCACAATGCACAAGGCAAGAAAAAAGGGAAGAGGGACAAGAGCGGGATCGAGTGTTTTGGATGCGGCAAGACTGGCCACTTTAAGCACGAATGCAAGTCATCGAAGAGAGACAAGGAAGCATACCAGAAGAAACGCGCCCAGCAGAAAAGGGCCGAAGGAGAAAGGCCCTCGAGCCAGACGCCGGAGCCGAGCAACAACCACACACAACCGAAGCTCCCCGACGGCGTACGAACTCTACTCGACGGCAACACGTACTCCGTTAGGACATCGAGTACGAGGCTGGTAGAGGAGGCCATTCTAGAGCACGAAGACCAGCTCCAACAGGTAACCAAGTCGCACGCGGCGCCTCAGTCGACTTCAATGATTACACAGTCTCACTCGGCAGACATATTGCCGTCCTCGAAGCACCGCATCCTGTTCGACACCGGATCGGATATCCACATTACGAACTGCGAGCGCGACTTCCTCCCCGGCACGATGACCACATTAAAGAAAAAGTTCCCCATCCTGACAGGAGGAGGAGCTGTCTACGCAGAGAAAGTTGGAGCAGTCAAGTATCAGGTAACTGGCCCAAAGGGCGAGAATCACTACCTCGTGGCCCGACATGTATTCCTGATCCCCTCTTTTCCACTAAAGATATTCAGCGGCGAGTCCTTCTTTAAGGCCGGCGGCTACCTCGAAGGAAATAGCTCCTCTTGCGTCAACATCATGGGCTCTTCGAAGGTAGCCATTACCACATTGAACATACCGAAGCGCGGTTTTTATCTATGGCCATACGGACAGTCGGAACCCGGCAGACAGCCTGAGGGCGGGGTACACTATACTTGCGCGGCACTGTACCAGTTTGATCAGCCTGAGGGCGCCGGCTTGGAAGCATTTAGTGAGCAAGAAGCGTACGAGATGAAAGCGGCCATCAGAACGGCCACAGTTGGTGGCCAAGTCATGGTCACGGACGAATTGACGAAACAGATCGTCCTATGGCACCGCAGATTGTGCCATATTAGCGCAGAAAGGCTCATATGGACGATTCGTTACACCACCGGCATCGAGCTCGACCACAGACTCGTCGAAGTCATCCCATGCATCGCATGCGATCTAGCCAAGATAAAGAAGATTAGCTCGAAGGACGTACAGAAGAGATTGCGCCATAGGCATGGCAAGACGCCAATCTCGAAGGTCAGGAACAAAGACAATAACGTCGTTGACGACGATGTTACAGACGATGAGGGCGTCATTAGACGGAAGCGTGGCAGACCGAGGAAGCATCCAGCCGTCAGGCATGCAACGATTGAGGAACACGATGACAGCGATAACCACTTCGTCCTCGAGGCGCCACCAGACGACTTCCTACGTCACTGCTGGCGTGAGGGCGTAGAGGACGACGAAGCTTCTCAATTCTCTGCCGAATTCCTCGATTCCGGCCGCCTCGTACGAGTCAACTACACATCGGCCGACATCTCTGACCAGTTCGCCGATACGAATCCCACCGATCGAGCCCACGAAGCAATGAACACCGAGCTAGCGAAACACTGGCTAGAGCAAGAGTATAAGGACATATTCGAGCGAGAGGGCAGCGAAGATATATTGTTCGGTATGGCTACGCAATTCGGCCTACAACAGATCTTCGAGATCTTGACTGTCAAGACGCCAGACGCGCCGACGTTCAAGGATGCGACGGAAGGACCGGAAAAGGACGCGTGGATTGAGGCCATCTTCACAGAGATACGCACCAACCTAGAGAAAGGCACCTTCCGGTTCTGCGACAAGTCGGAGGCTATAAAGGGTCACCTTATCGACGCCAAATGGGTACTTAAGAAGAAATACCTATCTACTGGCGAGCTCGAGAGGTTAAAAGGCCGTATCGTTGCACGCGGTTTCTCACAGCGAAGAGGAATCGATTACAACGAGACATCGGCAACAACAGCGCGCGCGACATCGTGGCGCATCTTAATGGCATTAGCAAGCATCTTTGGCTGGCATGTCTATCAAATCGACTTCATCGCGGCATACCTTAATGGAAAATTGGATGAACGAATATTTATGAAGCAGTTCCCCTTGCTAAAACAGTATTTCGATGCGTACCCAGACGAGAAGGCGAAGTACAAGTACGAGCCAGAGAAGACCATCGAGCTGATGAACCCTCTCTACGGCCTAAAGCAGGCCGGTGCTACGTGGCAGCGCGAAGCACGGCGCATACTCAAGAAGCTAGGCTTTACTCCCCTACAGTATGACGACGCCATCTACATCAACCGAGAGACAGGAGATATTATTGCGTCGTACGTAGATGATTTCCTCCTGTTCGGCCCTAATAAGCAGCGTCTACAACAAGTAGCCAAGGATTTGGCGAGGCAGGTGCCGCTGAATGACCTTGGAGACGCTGACTGGTTCCTGGGCGTACGGATCACTCGTGGCGAGGATGACAGTGTCAACCTCGATCAACGGCAGTACATCGAGAAAGCAGTTGAATCCCTTGGCTTTACTAACGCAAAACCAATGGACACGCCGTTTGAGCCATCGCGCCTGAACGACATGTACATGGGAGCGGTAGACCAGCGTATTAGCCCTGAGAGAACTACAGGGTTTTCATCGATGGTTGGAAAGTTCAACTTCTCGTCCGTAATCAGTCGGCCCGACACGTCGTTCGCGACCTCAGCCCATGCGCGATATATGTGCGGTCCTACGGCTGAACAAGAGGCAAGCCTTAAACGAGTCCCGCGCTACTTGAAAGGCAACAGGTTGGCGATCGAATACAGGCGTGACCACCGACACCAGGAGTTCGGCAAGCTTGGCCTACATGGAGCAGTTGATTCGAGTTACGCCGGCAAGGATGGAGCAAAGTCGACCTCTGGTTACGTTTTCTTCATGGCTGGCGGTCCGATCAGCTGGCTATCGAAGTTGCAGACAGTAGTGGCGCGAGGAACAACCGAGGCAGAGTTCGTGGCATTGAGCATGGCCACAGCGGACGCAGCATGGATTCGAAACTTTCTCACAGAGTTAGGCTACATGCCAGAAGGACCGATCGTCTTACTAGAGGATAACACGGGCGCGATCAAGTGGTCGAACGATTCGTCCATGACGAAGGAAAAGCGTCACATTCGCGTGGCATACCACTACGTTACACAGGAAGTCAACGCCGGCAACGTCGCTGTCAGGCATGTAGCCAGTGAAGACAACGCTGCAGATGGGCTAACGAAGCCGCTCGACAAGGCGAAACACCAGCGATTCATCGAATTGCTCGGTCTAGTTCCTAGCAACTAACACGAGGAAAGACTGGTAGGAGCGACAGTGAGATCGAGAAGGCTGGATGGTGCAGGCGGTCACGAACGGCAGAAATAGTACATTAGTTTTCGGCAACATGCTCTCAATAGGCTTGGATTGACGTTCCCGAGCCTCACATGGCCATTTGAGGGCGTGTGGGCAGAAATGGCAGTGTTCGGCCCCGCACGGACCACCCAGTGTAGCCACTGTAGATTAGCCAGAGCTTACGGCAAGTAACGATAGTCATAAGAACAACAATGAACGGTGGGCTGCGATTTGCCCACAACTTCAAAGAAAATCGCCTACATGCGGGTTTTGGCGAATAGACCTGTCGGAGAGTTTGTAGTTTGAAGTCTGAATATGCCAAGTGTGTACTGGTAAAAATAGAATACTACCATTGTGCTGCATTGTGACAATCCAAGATTGGTCCTAGAAAGGTTCCAGGGGTTGAAGATCGGTACTATCAGTAAGCTACTCGAGCCTATACCGAGAACACTTGGTTTAGCATCCAAGCTGAACCGTCTGCTGGTAATGTTTTTTCGCCGGCTAAATAAATATGCTCATTTAAATGTAGTGTACCAAGAGTAACTACGGACTGGTAGAGCGAGCTGACCAAAATGGTGTAACCATCTGATGCACGGGTACCTCGATGCAATGAGACGATGGAGGCTGGTCATTAAACGTGAAATAAAGCAAGGTCACTGACCTCGTGGCATAGAACCTAGGCTACCTGGGTAGCTGCTGCTCAGCAACAAAAGTTCCCGAGATATTCTGCTAGATAAGTAGAAATGTGACATAGCGACGATTCCAGTCTGTGAGCTCGCTAGAGCCGACACGCAGCCACGCACATGTTGCTCCAAAAGTCTTAACCGGTTGGTCGTACGCCATTCCGTGATAAACCATATCATATTACTGGATCTAGGCATGGTACACATGGGTTCGCGTCCATAGTTCTCCTTCATAGTCTTAACATCCAGCATTGTTGAAAGCGTATAACAATATCCTCAACCGAAGTCAAACTTTGACATTCCGAGTGATTGACATGACATGCCCATGTTTACCTATACGGTCCAAAAGCGGCCGAAAGCTGCTGTGTCTCATTCATCATCTGAGCTCGTCTGAGGAACTCGGCCACATGGAGAACCAATACGGTGACGGACCCGGGGGGTTTATGTTAGGGCTCGCAGCGGACGTAGGTCGGGTTAACCACGTAGTCCGGAGGGCCGTCGAAGTCGAGAGGCAACCCTCCATCCGAAATCCCTTCCTCGTACTGGTCATAGTGGAAGGTAGTCGAACACGGGTCGATCTCCTAGACGCCCGGACCCAGATCTCCCCGTTCAATCGGGACGTTGACGTTTGTGTCGTCCTTGACATCGACAACCTTCTCGCCCTTGGCTCCATCGCGGTTGGCCTTCCAGACGCCCTCACCGCCTTCAAACTCCTCCTTCTTCCAGACCTCGACCTTGCGCTTGCATTCCTCCAGGGCTTCCTCGCCTGCCTTCCAGGCAGCCTGGCGATGGGGAGACGAGACGGCGATCAGGATGCTTTCCTCACCTATGGGAACGATTCCAAGGCGATGGATCATAGCGATCGACTTGAGCGAGTGCTTCTTCGCCATCGTCTGACAGATGTCCATCATGGTTTGCAGGGCGCGCGGCTCATAGGCGTGGTAGAAGAGCTCCTTGACGGCCTTGCCGTCGAAGTTGTCTCGAGTGGTACCTGAAGTCCGTCAGGCCTGCATTGAGTAAAACAAACAACAAGCTCTAGGGATTCACCTGCGAACAGCACAATAGCGCCGGCCTGAGGGCTGCGGACGCGGTCGATGACCTTCTGGGCGTCGAGGTGGTTGCTGCTCAAGGCCACATAGCAGCGGCGATCGCCATCGTCATCGCTGAGCTCCGTCACACGAGGCTCTAGAACCCCGACGAGGGTGTTGACAGCATTGGTCATGCTCGACATGGTGTTCGAGACATTTCGCAACGCATTGACGACGAACGCAGCCATGATGGTTGTCAGACTGTTGGTGACGACTCAGCGGCTTGGTAAGATTCGTTGCAGGCAACTCGAGTCGATTGAATCAAGAGCTAATCGCAATCGCCGAAGCTTCTCCGCGCAGTCACTGGGAACAACTATGGGATAACATGGCGTAATTACTGTCTCTTTGGCCCTCTGGAGTTATTCTAATGGATCGGTGCTTGATTCCTGTAGGTACTTTATTCGTAATAATACGTTTGAGACGCTGCCAAGCTGGCTCTGGCGTGTAGGTAAACGGCTCAGTCTGTTTTGGATATAGATAGCCTATATCTCGTTATAAGATGGGCGAAAACAGACAAAGAGCTGTACAATGACTATTGCCACCTGCGCTTCAAGCCAATGCCATGAGTATTCTCATGTGTGCTCTAGAGCATGTCACCATGGATTATGAGAAAGTCTGAAGTATGACACACATGTGCAAGCTCAGATGACACATCAGAGTAACCTGACGATGAATCGCCCGCCGAGTTGCAGAGTGACTTATGAACCGTCAATTCGAAAAGTAGAAATTAAGCTGCTGGTTTGACATATATCATTAAACCGAGTTCAACTGTTTGAGATGAGGACGTCGGATTCAGGACGTTGGATTCAGATTGCATGAGAAGTTGGAACATAGTAGAGCCGTGTAATAAAATAAGTTTCAGGTGGTTCAAGTTTACGAAATTGTTCCAGTGGAGCTCGGACCATACCTGGATCCTGCAGCGGATTGGCGGCCCTGGAAGTTCAAAGTCAAGTGCTCCGTCTGCGCCCAGAACCTGACATTATCCTCCCTGACACAACCACAACAACGACACATTCAACATGTAAATACTTTAATCTAAACTCCTGCCTCATCATACACCCATAATCGCGCATCCATCTTGGCGACACTGACGATGTACGATGACTACAAAGACCGACCGCGCGATCGCGACGAGCGGGATCAGTACCGGCGCAGATCCCCATCTTCGAGGGACCACCAGTATCGCTCGCGGCATGGTAAAACCGAATAGCCTGGAGGATGATGTGGAGTCGTATCTTGAGCTTGAGCTGACTTTCCTGCGAGGAAAGACTCTTCTAGGTCGCCTAGAAGAACGCCGCCAAGGGGGCCTCGAGGGGAGGATCCATATCGCGATCGGGATCGTGCACACCACGACCGCTCTATGAAGATGGACTCCGTGGATGCATACGAATACGATCCGCACGCATATGGGGATGACAGGGCACATGATGATCACCGCACTCGTCGAAGAGACCGCTCGCTCGACCAAGGCCGAGGTCGTGGCTACAGAGATCCGGACATGCCCAGAGATCGCAGGCACAGAAGCCCACGCGACCACTCTTCCGAAAATTCTGCGGACGACGGATCATATCGCGAAAACGGGGGTTATCGATATGGGCCAGGCCGACCATATCATACCATCAAGATGGACGAGATTCCAGGCAATATGAGCACACAAGACGTATGTGGTTATCGTGTTGGAGCCTTGGCCCACGTGTACCAGGGGATATTGACTGACTTTCGTGGCAGGTGGATACTTGCTTGAGAGAATTGGGTGCTGCCGGTCTTGTCGAAGTCCGCGTCAAGTCGGACGACAGAACTGGTAAGCCGTACCATACCCGATCCCACCAATGCACAAGCTTACAAGACGCAGGTGGCCGACGCTGTTATGCCTTCGCTGAATTCAAATCCGACCAAGCTGCCATCGACTTTCTCGAGAGACATTATCCCACACTAAAGATATACGCTGCAGATGGCTCAGTTGCTCATGTACCACTCGCTTACAGCCGAGAGCGACGACCCCTTGCGATGACTACGGATGACTGGCAATGCACTATGGTGAGCAATACCAGAGTTAATTTCACGGTGCTAGGTTCTAATCCTAACAGTGCCACTTTGAAAATTTCTCTCGACGAGCAACCTGCAAACAGTGCAAAGCTCCTAGATCCTGTAGGGATGTTCCAACCCCTGAAATCTTGGATGAATCTGACCTATTGGTTTAGCTGAGAACGCTGCAGACATGCATTTGGATGGTAAGAGCGATGAATGCCCTCAGCAAGCACCATCGCAGTTTCTTGTCATTCGCAATCTGCCTTCTTCGGTCAACGAGCACGTCTTGGCAACGGGGATTAAGAAGCTCTACGTCACCAAGGACGAGGAATCAAAGCAGCCATCCGGAACTCCTGCAAAGCTCAAGAGCACAGCCCCCATAGGTAATACTAGCGGGCTAGGAGCCAAGCCAGGGTCACTGATCCGAGTCTTCATAATTCGAGACAAACACTCGGATGCTAGCTGTAGATACGGTTTCGCTGAATTCTCCCAAATGGAGGATGCTCGCGCCATTATGGCAAAGTTCAACGCTAGCCCGCAGTTTACCATCGCCTCCAAGACTGTGTCGATAGCATACATACATTCAGGGGTCTTCATCCCCTATTTCAAGACCGTGCCCGACGGAGAGTCCAAGTTCACATTTTCGGCAACTCACAACCCCTCGCTGAGACTGAGTTACTGGAACCCATCGGTCTACGCGAGCGAGTTCGTCATCTTCAACGAGGCTCTGTACGAGGAAAAGCCAACAGAGCCACCCACCGCCGAGACGACCGCATCCGCCAAAGAATCTAAGAAGAGGAAAGCAGAGAAGGACTTGGTTGCCCCTAGCGGCAAGAAAGTGATCGCCATGGCCCCTCAACTACAACGATGGGCAAACAAACATGCAGAGCTCCACGGCGCATCAGCCAAGAATCCGAGGAAAGCCGGCGAACTTGGCGAGAAGGGCACACTTGTTACTGGAGCAAATAAACTTGGCCCAGCCGCTACGGCAACCGCTTCCGCACCTGCGACCCAGAGTGTCTCTTATGCCGATCTCGATCGAATGTGCTGCCTTTTGTGTAGACGCAAGTTTATCAGCGAGCCATCCCTCCGTCGACACGAATCGTTGAGCGATCTTCATAAGACCAACTTGGATGACGCCAGTCTAATCAAGAAGGCAATCAAGGCCTTAAAGGAAGTTGGAAAGGAGCCCACTACCAACTATCGAGACCGGGCCAAGGAGCGCCGACAGGCACACAATCAGCCGAATAGGCCAAAGCCCCACCTCTCACGAAACAACCCAGCAGCCGCAAAAGAGAACGACCCAAGTTTCCAAGGAGCGGCACCAAGCAAGCCAGCTATATCGAAGGGTGCTGGCCTGTTGGCTAAGATGGGCTGGAGTGCTGGCTCAGGCTTGGGGGCAGAAGGCGAAGGGAGGACCAACATCATCGAGAGCACAGCATACGCACCTGGTGTTGGACTGGGCGCTGAGGGAGGTAAGATTGGCGACGCGGCCGAGCAAGCTGCCCGTGCTACGAGGAATGATTATGCCGATTTTGTGGCCAAAGCCAAGGATAAGGCAAGGGAACGGTACGAGAGAATGGAATAGATAGGCTCGGCTCTGGGATTCCCGTTCGGGTGGAAGCTGTACGATACCCTTTTTTTTTTTCGCTTTTCTGGACATCTGTAAGGATGAAGGCGATGTATACTACTCAATTGCAGTAGATATGCGGCGAAACACCTTTGACCATGACAGCTCTGGGCCTTGTTTGACTTGATGCACTTCACTGAACGTTCATCATTTACACCCCACTTGATGGCCAGACTTATGGGTGTTTCAGAAACAACTGCCAAATTGATTCCAATTTTGCCCCTTCATTGCTTACGTCGGCTAATTGGTCAATGTCCTCGCGGCTTCATTATTGAAACTGATTAACCTAGTCGACTCTAATAGTCCCGTTTACTATGTTCAATATAGCCGTCTGGGCGATCAATTCTCCGCCTTCTGTAATGCCTTTACTTTAAGGGTATGTTAACATTGTAACTGTTTTCCTTCCTTTTCGCCGTATGTTTATGATAAAGTGTATATGGCTCTCATGCTGAGGCCATGAGAGTTTTGCCTATGGCTTACTTGGTGTGGTAGGGGCTAGTGGTGGTGACACTTGATGTTGGCCAAATATTTGGCCAAACTTTAGATCTATGACAGCGGCCAAGAAGCTTACTTGTTTGAAGTCGAGTGAGAGGCACAATTAGGTAGGAAATTTTCGGCAAACATTTCTCAATATGATAACGAATGACTGGTCCATGGTACACAACGCAATCTAGGCGAAATTCCTAGGCAAGCTTCTCCTTGGCTGTTCCTATAGATACCCGGCTGTTATCTTATTCATAGTGTCTGTTGGGTGGTTGCCAACCTTGGAAACACTCACTGGTACGGTGAGAAGTGGTCGCTTGCGTAGTTAAAATTACAACATCAGTATATCGCCATGCGAAGCCTCAGCGAATGAGATACGAAGCCCAAATAATGAAGAGACCAGTAATCTAATTAAGTACCGAATATGCCTAATATTCCCTTTTTTGGCTTAGCCGTGAGAAGTGTACTTGTGGTGTGTGGAGTCTCACTGGACCGTTCTAGATCGCCCGACGACATAAACGTTGATGCAACCTTGTTGCACAGAGAAGCGGCACCTGAACAGCCCTGGAGGCGTGACCATCAGAACATCCTGGCTGCCTCAGCCTGATATCTCATTATTTAGTACCACTTAAAATGCGAATGTAGCGTTGCCTCATCGAAGTCAACCATTTCCTTATGGACACCTAAATTGAACTGTCAACTTAGATCTATTCCTCACTACTATTGTCTAGATAATGTTGGACCCATTCAGAGGCTAGGGATTTGTATGGCATGATGGGCGGTAAGATATACGAGGTCGGTTTTCTGTTTGCAAGGGCAGGGAGCCTAGATCATATGTCTATGCCGATGGATATTATGCAGTTGCGGCTACCGTATAAGGAGAGAGAGAGAGAGAGATGTGTCAATATGATTGTGCCTAAGAAGGAGCATGAGGTTATTAAACATGCTCTAGACTGTCTGCCTTGGACTTCGATGGGGTGGAGTATACATTGGGGAATGAGAGATATCCTGCTTGCTTATGCAAAGCCGGTGTTAGACTCGTATCGTGGTCAGCTTGCGGCGTTGCTGAAGAAGACTGTTAGGGATAAGCCGTATTTGATGGATAAGAGGGGATGGGATCCCCAGTTTGTGAGGCATAATATGGGGGACATGGCCGCATCGGCAGTATTAGCTGGGGAGGGTAACTCGGGGGACCTTGTGCGGATCGTCACGGATATTGCGCGGGCACTTGTTGAAGACTGGGACATGGCCCAGATCGATGAGGTTTACTTCTGGAGACGCCCTGATTTGAAACGACAGCTCGATATTGCTGGTGTGATTGCTTTGATAAAGGTGTTCGTGGTTGAGTGGAGTACTGAGTTTGACTATCAGATGTATCATGATCTTCCTATGTCACTATGTTTGTGTTATAATACAGATGAACGATTCGTAGGTTAATTATAATGATCGACTATAAAGCCGCTGTTCTATATTTACTTGACTACGCATTCCAATATTCAAATTGACCCTGAATCCTGAAATTTCCTGTCACTCTCCCAGGACAATGCAAAACTGCAAGTTGGGCTGCTTCAAGGTTCTATGCTGTTTCCAGCGTACGACTACAGAAACTTCTTACCCCTTAATACTCTCTATCCTCTGATAAGTATTCCATCAAAACACTATGCTGTCGGTATTTATTTCTGTGCTGACACTAGGGATTGAAGTAGGATCTTTCTAGGTTGCTACAGCTTATTATGCCCGAGTCTAGTCAACTGTTACATTTCGAGATATAGAGAAGTAATGGTGTATATCTCACTAAGAACTGAGGATTTGACTGATGTAGCTGAGCTTGGCGAGATGGTGCTCAAGTTATCACCAATTAAATTCAAGGCTTTCCGGAATAGCGAAACCATGGGTCTGCCCAACTACGTTCAGGTCTATTGAAGCCGGTAGTCCTGACATCACTCCGTAGTAACCAGAGATGATATAACGCCACACGATGAATGGGTCAGATCTCAATGTTTTGAATAGTTTGTATAAAGTCGTGATTGTCAGAGTGTAACACACCTTCTGAAAGTTCAAGTTGTTGGTTAGCTTATTTATTTAATTTGAGTTCCGAGGAGTCTGCCTGAGTTGCTAATTTCCGTGAACTCTTACATTACGACTATTTATCATCGAACCATGCCATTGAATACAAGTATGCCTACATGCTATTGTCTGCGTTGTCGCTGCTTTGGAGGAAAAGTTGGGTTAGTGCCATGGTCGTATGCGCTCCTTCAGGGTTGTTGTTACGAAGAGCAGCGACTTCCTGAGTTGACGATTGAGGACAGAGTGTTATTTATGAACCGCTGCCTGTTCTTGGAATACTCTAAGCTGACTAGTTGTGGTTACAAGCTTGAGTTTCTGATATAAATGTGGGACCTGAGGTTAGGTCCAGATTTGCACTAGGGAATGTCCTTGATGCCCAACACGCCTTTTACCTTTGTATGGAGCCGGGAATATGCCTACGCACTATACTACTTTTAGTCACATCCTCTGAACGCCAGTCACGCACTATAGCGGCTGTCTACTTCTTGACTTTGTCGAATTTCAACGACAAAACCTACGAGAAACGACAATACTCATACCGAAATTCGCATTTTCGACGTCCCTTTTTCCGCTTGTTCAGTGCTGACATATGGACTTTACACAGTAGGAACTGGAGGAAAGTGGAAAGCGAAAGGTGAAACGGCGCATCGATGGTCTATGCCCTGTCCCACATGCTATCCTTGGCCTTGTGCCAAGGTTTACAGCGATAAGAAAAAAAATCGATTTTGAAGAGGACCGCATTCCGCTAGCCGGATAAGGGGCACCGCCACCCTCTACCAGAATTTCTGACAATTTGCGAAAGTGAGATTTGCTGGTCTCAGTCTCACTACACTTTTTCCTGCCCGTGGTCGAGGGCATTTTGGGCATTTGCTGGTTTCCTCTGTATCCAGCGCAAGCCTCTCTACTTGAGGCTCTTTGTTCGCCCATACTTGCTCTGTGTGTTTCAAGTCATTCCCTAAACACTTTCCATCACAATGCCGCACCCTACGTCGCCGCCGACCATGGTCGCCAAATCCGGCGAAACCCCTCCCCCACCAACCCAAGACGAGGTTTCTTCAATTATCCACACGATTTTCACTGCGCCAACTTCTGCTGCCTCGGTCGATGCTTCCTACGCTCTGTGCGAATTGCTTCTGAACACAACTGGCTTTCAAGGTGTCAACAAGTATGGCGTCCTCGCAGAGATCAAAAAGGCTGTGGCCGATAAGAAGTCAGCTGGGAGACGCGAAGGAAGTATGAACTGCCTAGGCGCCCTCTTCGAGAAGATGCCCGCACGACAGCCCTTGAGCGAGTTCATCTTTCTTCTCCAAGATGGTGGCATGCTCGCCCCCGCACTCGATGCCCTGTCAGACAAAGGCACTGCCGTCAAGGAATCAGCGCAATACGCTATCGATGCGCTTTTTGGCCATCTCAGCGCCGAGGCCATGGTAGTGGGCTTGCTGCCAGCACTCATCGCCTACATGCTCAAGAGGACGGGCAAATGGCAAGGCAGAGTCGGTGCATTGAAGCTGATACAAAAGATGGCTGACAAGGCCAAGATGGAGATTGGCAGCACTAAGGAACAAGCACAAGAGAAGGATACCCTCCGCGAAGCCATGGGAACAAAACTTGCCAGCCTCATTCCCATCGTTGAAGGCGACATGCACGACCTCAAGGCCGATGTCGAAAGGCAGGCCGTGGTCACCATGCAGTCTCTCACCACACTCCTGTCCAACGACGATGTTGCTCCCAGAATCCCTCTGTTGATCGAGACCATGCACCATCCATCAACTCAATCACTCCAAAAGGCTGTTCATGCCCTCTCGCAGACGACCTTCGTTGCCATTGTCACTTCTCCTGTTCTCGCCCTCCTTACGCCTTTCCTCGAACGTACGCTCAACAACCCTTCTACCACACAAGAGGTGCTACGCCAGAGCGTTGTCATCACCGAAAACTTGACCAAGTTGGTCCACGACCCTATCGAGGCGCGTATCTTCCTGCCCAAGTTGCAGCCTGGTGTCAAAGGTGTCTATGACAGAGCTTCACTGCCAGAGGTGCGTGAGCTCGCACAACGTGCCATGGATGTCATGGACAAGGCCATGGCGACTGGCCACGATGAAGCCATCGTGGAGAGAACTTCTGCCGAAGATGTTGCCAAAGTGCTGGACTCCGTCATCAAGAAAAACGGAGGTTTTTCGTGCGATCTGGAATTTTTCAAGAACGCGCGCCTTTACGTCTGCGGCATGGTCGCCGAAGATGTAAACCACCGTCAAGTGGACCGCATCACAGCTAGGATCGCCCCGTACCTGAAGGGCCTGATGCGCCAGGACGGTGCCAATGAATCCGTTGCATCTTCCGTCCAGCAATACTACGTGGACGAGGACCACCGCAAGTATGGTGTTCCTGAGAGGGAGGACGATGGCGAGACTGAAATTGTTAATGCCGACTTTTCGCTTGCCTATGGTGGCATGCTTCTTCTTTCTCACACGAACCTGCGCCTCCTCAAGGGTCACCGATACGGTCTTTGCGGTCGAAACGGTGCTGGAAAGTCGACCCTGATGAAGAGCATTGCAGGCGGCAAGCTTGAAGGATTTCCGCCTCAAGACGTTCTTCGCACGTGCTACGTTGAGCACAACCAGGGTGAAGATACCGACATTACCATTTTGGATTTCATGGCCAAGGATCCTACTATCGCTTCGGCGGGTAGAGAGAAGATCTCCGAAGTTCTGGCCGAGTTCGGATTTACCGCTGGTCCTGAGGGCCGCCAATCTCAAAAGGTCGGCTCATTGTCTGGTGGATGGAAGATGAAGCTCGCATTGGCTAGAGCCATGTTGCAGAAGGCTGATGTGCTCTTGCTTGACGAACCTACCAATCACTTGGACGTTGCCAACATCAAGTGGCTGGAGAACTACCTGAAGACCCACACCGACATCACCAGCTTGATCGTTTCCCACGACTCCGGATTCCTGGACAACGTCACGACCGACATTTATCACTACGAGCCTGGCAAGAAGCTAGGCCACTTCAAGGGCAACTTGAACGATTTCGTCAACATCAGGCCCGAAGCCAAGGCTTACTACACGCTTTCTGCGTCTAACGTCCAGTTCAAGTTCCCGCCACCCGGAATCTTGTCAGGCGTCAAGTCGCAGACGCGAGCAATCATCCGCATGAGCAACGTTTCCTACCAATACCCGAAAGCTCCTAAGCCTTCATTGAGTGATGCGACTTGCCAACTGACGCTCTCGTCTCGAGTTGCCGTCATTGGTCCCAACGGTGCTGGCAAGTCAACTCTGATCAAAATCCTGACTGGCGAGGTCGTCCCAACCGCGGGCAGAGTCGAGAAGCATCCGAACTTGCGTATTGGGTACATCAAGCAGCATGCTCTGGAGCACGTTGAAATGCATCTTGAGAAGACCCCCAATCAGTACCTACAATGGCGTTACGCCAACGGTGACGATCGGGAAGTTTTCCTCAAGCAGACTCGCATTCTCTCCGATAAGGACCGCGAGCAGATGGACAAATTCATTGATCTCGGCGACGGCAATGCTAGCCGTCAGCTAGAGGCTCTTGTCGGTCGGCAGAAGTGGAAGAAGTCCTTCCAGTACGAGGTGTAAGTAGCCCCAACCTCTTGCCACCGTGCTTCGTTCTTTTCATGCTAATGTTATCGTAGAAAATGGAGAGCCACGCTTCCTAAGTACAACTCCCAAGTTTCCCGCGAGACTCTTATCGAATGGGGATTCAACAAGCTGGTCCAAGAATTCGATGACCATGAAGCGTCGCGTGAAGGTCTTGGTTATCGTGAACTGCAGCCCACCGTCATCAGCAAGCACTTTGAAGACTTGGGCCTCGACCCTGATATTGCAAACCACAACGAGATTGGCTCGCTTTCTGGTGGACAGAAGGTCAAGGTCGTCATCGCCGGTGCCATGTGGAACAACCCCCATTTACTTGTTCTCGACGAGCCGACTAATTTCTTGGATCGTGACTCGCTGGGCGGCTTGGCCATTGCCATCCGTGACTTCAAGGGAGGTGTAGTCATGATTTCTCATAACGAGGAATTCGTTGGCGCCTTGGCGTCTGAGCAGTGGCACATCAACGACGGGCGTATGACCATGAAGGGCAATGCGGCCGTCGATGCTTCACGATTTGAGGGATCTCCTTCCAACTCTGGCCTCACATCGGGCGTTACGTCCACAGCTGCATCTAGCGCTGTCAGCTCCGCTGTCAACAGTGGTACTGAGGATAACAGCGACATGAAGTTCAAGGGGAGGAAGAAGAGAAAGAAGACCAAGAAGGAGCTCAAGGAGCAGGAAGTCCGAAGACGGTTGAGACATATCGAATGGCTCAACAGTCCCAAGGGAACACCGCACCCGCCTGACACTGACGACGAGGAATAAGGGGTAAAACTCGACGATGGCCGAGCTGATGACTTCACGAACGTTGAGGACGATCTCGATACATTGTGGTTTGTCTTTGGGATAAATTCTATGTAGCTTGCATTGGTACTAGACAGCCATTCTGGTGCTGCGCATAGACGGAAAGGACATAGAGGCGTTAATGATAGATGGACTGGTAATGGTAGATATAAAATGCGACTCATGAAATGTTTCTGTCTCACGGCTCTTTCTCTTGGGAATTGACTATTTAAGTAACTTGTCCGCCCGTCTACACTCAAGGTTCATTCCAAGCGTTGACCGACTGCTGCTCATGATCGGAGCCGACGAGTCAAGCCGCCGCTATGCTCTACATTGCGCTTTACGTTCACTTCGCCAATCCCACTGTTGGTGGTGGAACTTCTACGAGGGACATCGTTGGGATTATCTGGTATGTCGTCGCCAAAAGAGTTGCGGACAACATTCCTCAGGATTTACGGCTACGCCTTTGGATGGTCCTTTGACCACCCCGTCGCTCCATACGTCACCGCCGCTGAGCTCCTCCATCCGAGAACCCGCTCCATCAGCATGTGTGAATGTCTGTCCACCAACTGGCTCGTCAACTATGGCATCACTTATGCCACGCCACGTATGATAAGAACTGTAAGTAATCCCGCTCAGAACGGAAAAACTACCAACCCATGGAATTGACTACAGGCTGAATTTAGATGGCATACGGTTCCTCTTCTTCGCCGTCACCTGCTACATCAGTCTCATCTTCATCTACTTCTGCTTGCCTGAACTCAAGGGACGAAGTATTGAATCCATGTAGGGCTTGTTCAAGCACTTGCTGTGAACCGTATGGAAGCACGCCTACCCCACTGAGGATGAGAGGATCCTCCAGGATGTCCAGGATCCCATGGCTCAGGATTCCAAGCTCCAGAATCCCGACAACAATATCAAGACTCCCATAACGGTCGCGCATACCGAGAGGGTTGTGTACATGGACGACCATGTAGAGGTCGTGCACTAGTGACTTGAACGGCAGTGGGCGAGAGTGCAGATTATCGATTGTGTATGGATGGCGAAGGTTAACTGGAACACACTGTTGCTTTCTCAAATAATGGAAGGACTTCAGTACATGCTAGACACGGGGGCGGAGAGTATGATACCGTTTCCAGCTTCTGGATAAGAGCTATGCAGTTCAAGATGTGTTTGACAGCAATGATCATAATGAATATATCCCGAAGTCCTTTGGAGTCGTGGTTGTGACAGCACTACCCCGCATCGACACCCTTTTGCATTGGACCCCATTTGCATAGAGTCAACTCTGAAAACACCAAATGTTTGATCGAGTAACTTATTAATTAGTATAGGAAAACACACCCGAACTAGATCACACCCAAATTATATACTTTAAGCAGTAGATTAACTCCTTTTGGCTCTCTTTGCAAGCCTAGGTTGTTATTTTGAGAAATGTATTCATCTCCAATTGCGTATCTGGCCGTACTGACTGTATTGGCTCTTCTCTTTTCTCTTGTGCCGTACGTACGGATACCGTGGAAGGCGTTGTTAAGCCGGTACAACAAGCTTATAAGGTCGTAACAGGGTATCGTACTCTCTGAAGTGCAGAACTGGCCGCTCAGTTGACGACAGTAGCTTGAGGAGATACTGAGGGTTCCTCAACATAGGAAATCATGTCTATCATTCGATTCTTACACGTTTGATTTTGTTTAATGCTTGCTACATGACAATCGGAAGTGGCCAGTGGTATTGGGATAGATCAGCATAAAACGCACGGTGCTCCGGGTGGTGTTTGCTGGATTGGAGCGGCCCGTGATTTTACTCTAAGGTGATGCAGTCGTGCAAATGTTCCAGACTTTGCGTGTTGATAGAATCTACAAATGTTTTGTTTTCCTATCAAATGCACTCACTACCAAGTTGAAGGACCATCATTAGCCCTAAATGCTTCATTACCACGTAAAAATATCACGTGCAATTCTCCTGTCTCATTTCCTCATATTTTGCTCTACCTGCAGGGGCTAAGGTAAATCCGCGCGATGGATGCACCAACTATGGCCGCCAGGCAGGCGATCCGTCGCGCTGCAAGCACATAAGCGGCAAGCGCTTAACGTCATTCTTGTCTGACTTTGAATTGCTGGTTCTCAGGGGGGACTTTGTTGGTACGTTGAGAACCAACGTAGTATGGTAGTGGACGTAACGCAGTCGCCAATAGGGCGAACCGACGACGCAGCGTATGTATTTAGTCCAGCCATTAGGGCACGGTTTGACATACGGGAGTACTAGTAGAGGTACCGGGGGCTTCGAGCCTACGGCGTATTTAATAATAATAATAATGAATTGCTGGTGGCTTAATCCCCTGACCGTAAGACTCATCGCATACGCTGACTGAAATTGTTTTGGGAAGCTGTGGCACAGCATTCGTTCGTCTCCCATCCAAACCCCTCTATCCGCACAAGAGGATACGGATTTATTTGCTAAAGAATCATATACAGATAACAACCATAACCCCTAACCGATCTGCTGATGACCGGTTTGCTCTGAATTTACTGAACTTCACTGATCTGTTATGTTGTGTTGAGGATTTGATTGCCTAAGTCAGTTACCGTCGCCGACATGGCCACTTTAGACAACGCCAGACTCCGCAACAGCGCTCCAGCTGAGCTTGTTGCCTACTTCCAGTCCCTTCTTATTGAATTGGACTGGAAATATATTTCAGACTATCTCATCACCAGTGTTGCATCAGGCGCTGTCTTCCCAACCGTCTTTCATGTCTGGCTTTCGGTCTGCAAGGAACCCGACGCCGTCGCAGCCGTTCTCCAGCAAAACATCTCAGTTCTTGCACGCAAGGTAGCCATTCGTCGTTTTGGAAAATGGCTACGTACCGATAACGGCTTCCCCGCGGTATGGGATGCTGTCGGCAAGACAGATGGAGTTCTGGCTCTGATGGCAAGCATGTCGGTTGATGAAGTAGCCGTCTTTTGCGAGACTCTGGAGTCTTCATGCACCGCGCGCTCAGCTGTGGAAGTGAGGCAAAGATGCATGACTTCGCTGTTCGATGCGCTTTGCAATACGGCAGGAAACCGAGCTGATGTGCCGCGGAATCCGGACACGCGTCCATTGATAGCACATTACAAACGCATTGTTCCCGCCTGCACGCCGGCCACGGCACTCGCATGGTCTGATGCTGAGAACCACCGACTGGCTCGCAAGGCATGCGATGCCCATGCCACGTCATTTGAAGCGAGAGCCATTGCCGCTATGTTCCCAGGAAAAGGCGAAGGAAAGAAGCTCAACATGTCACGTCATCTGATGAGCCAGAGCCAAACATTTACCATTTTAGTCTTGAAAAGACTCACTACAAACAATATTGCGCTGAAGGCGAACAAGGACATGTTCATGGAGACCGTGGCAATTCCGCTGTTGAGAAGGTTGACACACAAGCGAGAGCCTGACCATGTTCATATACAGGCCCTTGAGCTGATTCTCGAATGTATCCAGAAGGAACCCAGTATTTCCGAGAAAATCCGCTGGGGAAAGCAGGATATTCTCTTCTATGCCATCCAAGCATGGAAACGGTCTCGCGAGGGACGCGGGAGACTCCAGGATATCCTTGGCATACTGATCTCTCTGATGCCTGCCCACACATCGAGCAACCTGGAGTCGGCGACATCAATGCTGCAAACGGTGTCTCCTAGCGTACGATACCAACTTTTGAAGCTAATTCTGAGGAATGCGAAGTCTTGCCAAGTTGATCTCGACTCTTGCTCTGACGACGAGGGCGACAAGAGGTTGAAGGAAATGGACCAAAAGTGGAACACGGAATTGTTCACACTGTTGCCCCCTGTGCCCGCTCTAGAGTTGCTCAACCGCCTATTCCGCGTCCATCCCGCCGCTGACTTTATTACGATCGACCGCTTCGGCGGACATAGTATTACTAAGTCGAGAGAGCCAGATGGCGACTGCTTTGGTGACGCAGAGATCATGCTGGCATATCTGTCGGCACGGGCTGTTCAGAGTAGTAAAGGTGCGGAGTGCCTCCCTCGAACAAGAAAAGCCATCAAAGATCGAAAGAACAAAGCAAATTTCGCTCTGGAGTGGGAGGATCGTGCAAAGTGGGCCAAAGCAGCGCTGCTGCTATCCATTGCTGCTGGATCCATCGAGGTATACGGGAAAACACTGCTGTGGGCACGGCGCTTCAATGGTGATTCACTAACTATCAGAGCGATATTCCAAGAGGATACAATGCTGACCGAAGAGGGACTGCAACTGCTAAGTGCAACCCCATTGAGACGGTTTACCAAATCGAAATTTGACCTAGAGAAGATCAAAGCGGATATCGAGGCGGCGAACAAAGTCATGTTACAGCTATTGGAAACTGTGTCAATGGGTCTTCGCGAGCCAACATTCGTACGGTTCTATTGGAACTCGGTCTTTCTTCTTATTCCGCAGGTGATACGTGCCCGCATGGACAGAGCTCATGAATACGGCGTCCCCAGCCAAGATATTTTCGACAATATCTGGGAACCGACGATAGACATGTTGTTGGGAGCAGAGCGATTCGGTCTCCGAGACGGTCATGAAAAACTGCTTTATCGAGATATTTATGGACCCTTCGTTCACTGGGAGCCCGTGCGAAACCCCGGCCTGGCAACTTGTGAGTTCCTGGACCGACTGGCCATGGCACGGGATGATCTATGGCGCGACTACCGGGCTAAAGTGCGACCTGCAGTCACCGCTTTGCCGAAACCCTGGCCTCGGGGACTGGCCATCCAGCAGCTCCTGCCAGATCTCAAAGGACAGTTGCACATGCCGTATCTGGAATCTCGTGTCAAAGACACCGTTTTCGCTGATGGAGCGTTGGCTCTGTCGCCGCCACCAAGCGACGATGAAACTTGTGAAGCCATCGGACCGTTCGTTGACGACTACGACTATGCACTTAAGCATTACCTCACCACAAATGCAAGCGAATTCAAGACCCGCGTTCATGCGGCTTGGAACCACGCTCTCGATAAACTTAATGGGTCGAGAATGTCGACCGAAGAGGCAACAAGATTCTGGAGGACTAAATTCCGAAGAGCGGTACAAGGAACAGACACATCTCTCCCGGACGACATCGCACCATCGTACAAGAAACTACGGTTGACGCTGCCTTCGGATGATGGCACCGCAAACCCTACCGAATGGAACCCCGTTCCAATTGAGAAGACAGTGCCAATCGAACGGAGGCAACTTCCAGAGTGCATTTTGGACTGCATGCTCAACTGCATATCGAGCAAATGGTCAAGTCCTACCATCGATTCAGCGTTCTCCTCAGAGAGAAAGTCGTGGACCGCGGAAGATGACTATCCATTGATTCTTTGGGATGATTGTTCTTCCCGTCTATTCCCACGAGGGGCGGGAGATGCGCTTGCAGCTGCGGCGATTGCGTATATCAACACGAAGTACGGCTCAGATGCCTCCCTACTGCTATACCCCTTCCCTTCGAAAGATGATCTTAGGTTTCCGGCTTTGTACCTCGATCAAGACTTCCTGGAACGGGTTAGCAAAATAACCGACGTATCACAGCCACTGGAAAGCATCAAAATGCTGTCATGTGTCATGCCTGTTCAGTTTCTTGTGCAATTAGCCAGATCTTTGATGACGCGTCTTGCCAAAAATGAGACAGATGACCCTGATGTACGCCAGGCAACCATGGCTGTGACCAAGTGTGTAACTCGCGGTGACCGGCCTGTACTTGCTTGCGAGTTGGTGCAGCAGGTCGTGCTGGGCCAGCAGGATGACAGCTCATGGCACAGACACTTGTTTAGCATTCGCTTTTTGCGGCGTCTATCAGCGAGAGAAGCACATAGTTTCTTCGATGGACTGTCGTCTCGCGTTGAGGAGGCTTCGCAGAAACTCGCCCAGGAGCAAGCTAAGAAACGAGCAGCAAAAGCCGCTCAGCCGCAAGTTCCGAGTCAAAAAACATCAACTGGTCTCCCATCAGCGGCATCTGACGACGCGTCACAGTATTTCCAGCCAGTAGTCAAGGTGACGACTGTCAAGATGATCGTGCAGATGCTGAGCAGGGCCAATTTTCTCGATCAGCAATTTGCGTGTAACATCTTGGTCCGATTGCTGAAATGTGCGTCTCATGCTGATATCCGCGTCGCTATCGTCGAGAGCTTGCTGGAAATTCTTGCAGACAACACAGACCAAAACCTCGAATCGACTGTTTTTGATGTGCTAGAGGAGTATGTAACTCCCTTGGCGGCGTCCATGAACGAACGACGCCCAACTACCGAAGAGGAGTGGACAGCAGCAGAGGCTGGTGATGCTCCTCTACCAGCGGTGGCTGAAGAGACACCTATTCTAAATCTTCTTATGTCCGCTCTGAACAAGTGGAAGCCCAATTCTCCCCGACGCCAGCAATTTTTGAAGCGTATACTGGAACCTACAATTGTCGAATCAGGACACAATAATCGTCGATGGAATGCAATATTCATTCAGCGGCATGGATTTAATATTTCCGTCAATTATTTACCGACGATCCCCGCGGTGCCTAGCCTGTTTTTGCAGCACTTCCAGTCAGAGGCTGAATGCTGGACTCGCGCGAATCTCGAGGTTGCCAAACAATTCGCCGCGGTCAACCTGTGTCCAAGCGATAGCTTAGTTGCAACCAACGAGGCTGTTCGGAATGATCCGGAACTGTTGAGATCTAACGCTGGTAAACATTGGCTGTCACTATGGTCGAATCCGGGTAGCGAAGCTTTCCCTCTAGGGATAAACCAAGCTGCCAACATTCTTGCGAGACTAGTGCCCTCGCCGGAGAAAGGTCGTTTATCAGTCCTGGAGATACAAGACTTCCTCCTCCAATGGGTTGAATACTTTCTGATGGGGTCACGAACTCCTGAGCTTAACGAACTGCTTTCTCACTTGATTCCCGGTCGTTCCAAGTCCTACCCTAAGACAATCTGGCTTACGAACTGTCTCCCAGTTCTTCAGCACGTCCTCACGCGCGTGCAGAGTCTTCGTACGGATGAATGGCAGTGCGATACCAACCGTGAACCTGCAACCCTTCCCGATACCTTGTCCCTGAAACTTAAGATCTTCAAAGAAAAGCACACAACTAGCAAGCCTAACTCACATTGGGAAAGCCATATCAGAACCATGGTCGCAGATGCTTCATCCCTGTTAGACGAACTCCTTGCGGAAGACGCGCCTTACCATGAAAATTGGCCCAAGTTCAAGAACTATATGAACATCGCCCCGCGGGAACATCACGTCCGCGTTGCACTTGAATTTACGACACCGGAGATAAGCGGAAAGACAAAGATTGGGCTGAAAGAGTACCTCAAGATTGAAATTGCTGACGAGCTACTCCAGTCGGGATCAGACCCCAATGATAACGAGGTCGTGACGAGGGCTCATCAATTGCTACATGCGTGGTTGGGCAGTCCGGTGGAGAGGATCAGATTGCGGGGAGAGGCCACTTCGAATCTCTTAGAGACTAGGGCTAAGAGTCGGAATGGTTGGTTTCAATAAGTGATGGAGTCAAGTGGTTGCAACTGGACCAGCCGATTATACATACGAATGCACCTAACTTTGCCCGAATTGCACTTAATGTCACCATACCATTGTACCATGCTTCCTTGTGGTCTTTTCGTTGGATCTGAAATTATAGAAAATTTCTGTAAAAGCATATGGAGCTTGTGCTGCAAATGACGATATAGCTTTCGGAAAGAGTTGTACTATCCCTGTGCCTATCAACCGCCATACCTTCCGTCCAGCCCTGTTACCAACCACAAGGGATGGCCGAGTCAGCAACTGTCATAGAGTGGTCATCAATGCTTTAAGTAGAAACAGACGGTAATTGAAAGGCCGATGAAAGATTAGCGTAGTCGTGGTATGAGGCTCTTGCGGAAAACAGAGGTTTCTTCAAGCTTCGAGCCAGAACACGTTTCACAACACTCGTTTCAAGAAAATCATCTCATGTAACGGCCAATCGCATCTTCGTCTCAACAAATATGCCTATACACAGCCCTGCTTCAAACCCATCAGCAACATTTTTAATTGCCTATGGAATCTCCCTGTGAGATTCTTCCGAAGGCTGCGCAAAGGTACCATCTCACGATGCATGGGGACATGAGGACAGACGCAAAGCATCTGGCCGCATTTGGGATCGAGTCGCGATCATTAGAGGCCACGGTATGCGGACCTGCAATATCTTTTAAGCACTGCACTAGACAGAATCAGACACAACATGACGAGTACGAGTCTTACTTGCCGAGGAACCTCACAGGCTTTTTGTTTATTTCCTTTTTGGTATCATCTCCCGAAGAACGTCCAGGTCTGCGTGTATGGGAATAGGGGCAGCTCATATGATCGGATGAAATGAAACCCTTGCTGAGTGAACCCGTCCTGCCTCAGCTATAAGGCCTCATGCTGCTGTAGTTTGTGTCAATATCTTATTCGCCCGTACAACTTCATTAATCTAGACTGTGTTTTCGCGCTCACTCTAAACGCTCCAATGCTCTACCAAATGATATTGGCCTATGCCCTGGTCGGCACAGCCCTTGCCAATCCCCTCGGAGCCCGCCAAGCAGCCCAGGACTTCACGGGAAACACACAAAATGGCCTCATGCAGGGAGCATGCAAATCTGCCATCGTTATATTCGCGCGTGGCACCACCGAGGGGGGTAATGTAGGCACCCTTGCCGGTCCTCCCACCTTCCAGGCTATCGCTCAGAAAATTGGCCCTCAGAATTTGGCTGTCCAGGGGGTTGAATATCCCGCTGATGTGCCTGGCTTCTTGGACGGGGGTGACAAGGCGGGTTCGAAAACTATGTCAGATTCACTAAACCAAGTCGTGGATTATGGTTTGAGTAACTGGCTGACATGGAATACAGGGCGGATTTGGTTACTAAGGCGATATCGACGTGCCCTAAATCCAATATCGTCATGGCAGGATACTCGCAAGGCTGTCAACTTGTGCACAATGCTGCGAAGGCGCTGCCTGCTGCGACCACTGGCAAGACGGCAGCGCTGTGCTTCGGAGATCCTGGTATGCCATCCCAATGACCACCATTTCTCGTCGCAAGACTATGACAAACTGACCTGTACTCCTTTCCATAGATAACGGTCAACCTGTCCAGGGCGTCCCGGCCGCCAAAACCAAGATCATCTGCCATGCGGACGATAACATTTGCCAAGGTGGGAGTCAGATTAAGCAGGCACATCTGACATACGGAAAACAGGACGCGGGCGAGGCAGCTTCGTTCGTCGCTTCTCTTGTCGCGGCTGGGAACGGGACAACTGGTGCTGCCACAGGTCGGCAGAAGCACTAGGCCGGCCATGGCATGGCGATGGAGGTAGAGATGGCACGATGCGTTACAAGCCCCTGGGCAAACCCTCAAGTTGCGACACATCTCACCACTGGTCTTTATGCTTGCGCATTGTCATTTTTTCATAATTTCGTTACTGTTGGTCTCATAAGAAACGACAGTCTACACCACTATGTGATAATCTCGAACATTGATTAAATGATCATTTGGGCAATCAGAGTTAGGATTTTGGTGAATCCAAAGCGTTTTGTCATCAGGATATTGGGTTATGTAAGCCAGCCATTACTGGAGTTGTATGAATATTACAGCAAATTGTGTAGATAGTACTAGCAATCATTAATTGTTCACGCACCCCTCTTCGTTTGCACTTCTAAATGTATTCTATATGGCCTGGGAACTGAGGCTATTGTTCGTGTAAATTTGATTGACATGTTAGTGGGACTCTCTGGAAGTCCGTTGGGTGTAACCCCATCGCAATGGTGCCATGGAGACAGCATATTCTTCGGCTGTCGAGATCCATGTGCCGGGAATATTCTAAGCGCATGACCCTACTGCGGTGTACATTTACCCGTATTTTACAGTTATGTCATGGGTTTTACTTTTTTCTTTTATTTAAAAGAAGGCCTGATTGCTATTCAGAACTGTATTCTGATTGGTCAATAGAGAGAAGCCACCGACTATAGATAACGGCACATGCTAGGAGATGCATCACTCAGCATTTCCAACTGATTTTCTATAGAAACTTCCATTTCGCAGCCTAATACCGGCGTCGTTTGCGAGAAGACCTGCGTACAACCTGTGTTTATTTCTTACAGCCCGACGAACGCGCACTCTGCTGCGTATTGGAGACTCTCTGTAAGGGATCCATCCGCACGAGAGGGACACCAAAGTGTCGTACTTGATAATTTGATAATTTGTTACACGTACTCAGTCCGTACTTGTCTCGGTGGTCTCGGTGTATCCCAGTGGACTTTCTCGTTGACTTTCGTGATCCTCTGTACGCTGTGTCATCTGCTCCGTGGGATTCGCCATCTGCAGGAGTAGAGCTGCAGACAGGTATCCGTGGAGTCGTGGATCTGGCGCTCTAGACAGCAACACAGAACCTAGTCGTCATCAAATACGATATTCAGGAGAACGAAAATGGACAAGATTGCTACCAAACGGGACCGAGTTTTGATTCCGAACCATCCATCTTGAGCTCCTGGACGATACACAATAAATCATGACTTTAGTATCATGTTAATATCGGTACACTAACATATGACTGAATCAATTACTAGCCACTTCCAGCATGACATTGGATCTAGCCATTCCGCCGGATGCAACGAGCACCCTGGAATGCTGCTCTGATTTGTGAAACGGCGAACTGAGGCAGGATCATCAAGCGATACCTGATCTACTACTATAGAATAACAGCTATCTCATATCATTCCACCCTTAATGCACCGTTTATTCTGTCCACCCCCCGGACAATCTACTCTCGGAATACGGAATTCCAAACGATCCTTGCAACATCAGAGATTTCCTAGAGCTCGAAACTGTGGAAATACACGGAAATTTCGTTGATGACTCACGATACACACTGAACTTTTTGTCATATGATACTGAAAAATCCTGAAGTCTCGTAGTATTGGATGATGTGGGTCTCTGCAGCCAGATCCGCATTGCGGCTTATCAGAAGCCCGCTGTCACAGCAAAAGTGATGCCCCGCTGCAGGATTTTCCCCCGATGGAGCATTACCCGCGATATGTTACCAACCACATTACTCGACGACTTACCCATACTACTTACTTGATAGACTTTAACGAGAATATTTTTCAGACACACAGAAGCACCAATCAAGGTTGGCGAAATGAGATGGGAAAATCCATCTCAACTGGTTCATCAAGGTCAGATGGCCGAGCGGTCTAAGGCGCTAGCTTCAGGTGCATTCTTGAAATATGCTAGTCTAGTAATAGGCGTGGGTTCGAATCCCACTCTGATCATATCTTTTGCCATTTTATTCAAAGAATCCTTTGAACTTCCTGATTCTGCTTCTTTTTATTTACTTCCATCGCTATCATGAGTACCAGTTGTCAATACCTTGACAATCGCAATTTGTCATATTAATCAACTCCATTTTTGGGCTCTTTTATAATAAACGTAGTGATTGGCATCGTAAATGGCTCATAATTGGTCCGGCTCTTGTAACGTTCACTACTTACTCTATCTATATATACCCTACACTAGTTGATATTATCCTCCAACTCTGCCGGAGTGAATATATTGGCCCCAGGATCAGGTGGTACGGCAGTTGCCCGTATGTGAAATTAGCCGTCAAACTAACGGTTGATCTCATGTTTCCTTAGTTTCAACGGGATGTGTCAGATTGGACCACATCAACGTCGATCATGACCCAATCTCGACACGTCCTATATCAACGTTACTATCCATAGATGGACTCCTTTCTATATAGCCCGGTCTGCTCGGATCGCGGCATTTATTCCCTGGTGCCGCTCAGATGTTGGGAGGGATAAGAAAGGGGTCGCTCCCGTGTGCGGTGAACCGCCTTGGCTCTGAGTCCGTTGTTGTTTATTACATGAATTCCTGTTAATTGTACCATTAAGACTTGCGCGGTATTGTATCGCCAACAAGACAAGATGCATTGGAAATCTCTCGCCGGACTGGCGCTCGTTGCGCCATCTCATGCTTTGATCCGATTCGGATGTTCGCAGCTCGTCGTTCAGCGCATTGATCCCTTGGTCAACCCAGGATTGGTGCCATCTCCCCACGTTCATCAGATCATTGGAGGAGTAAGTCCTTCTTCCTCAATGCTGGTTTTTAATCATACAAGCTGATAGTCTAGAACTCACTCAACGCGACCATGTATGTGATTCCCCTGTCACTTCTCCCCCCTTCAGGCTGTCTTAGGAGTAAAAGCTCCCCTCCAGAGCTACGTTAGAAGTATCTGCTCTTAAGAGATAACAAAGGACTTCCGAATCACCGTGTAATTCCCCTTACAATGGAAAATGCTAACCCCAGTTGAAGGGATCACGCCAACCACGACCCACCTACTCTGTCAACCTGCACAACTTGCCAGCCATCCGACGACTTCTCCAACTACTGGACTGCGGTCTTGTTCTTCAGGGCAAGGAACGGGACCTATCATCGAGTCCCACAGAAGGCCAATGCTGGTTTCGAGGGTCAAAATGGCGGCATGACAGTCTACTACATGCAGGACCAGCTCGCCGACTACCAGCAGCAGACCAAGGTCACTGCTTTCCAGCCCGTCAGTTCCCAATCTGGATCCCAACACTCACATAACATTCGTCTAAAGTGAAATAGGGCTTCCGCATGTATGTCGGAGATGTCGAGGCCAAGACGAAGGCACAGGCGCAGCAGTATCGCCAGCTCACTTACACATGTTTGCAAGACATGAGCACCCGGTTCCCAGAAACAAAGGATTTCCCGACCGCACCATGCCCGGCTGGTATCATGGCCAACATCCGTTTCCCCACGTGAGAGATCCCATGACCTCTTCTATGCTTTTAACTTAGAGAGTGCTAATGTTGTCTAGATGCTGGGACGGCAAAAACCTCGACTCTCCAAACCACATGGACCACATGTCGTACCCCGAAAGTGGCACCTTCGAGTCCCAAGGCCCCTGCCCGGCCTCTCACCCCGTCGCCATGCCACAACTCATGTACGAGACAATTTGGGATACGTCCGCCTTCAACAATAAGGAAGACTGGCCCGAAGATGGCAGCCAGCCCTTTGTGTGGAGTTTTGGCGACACGTGAGTCAGCCGCTTTGAAGATAGAGTACGTGTAATTGATTTCCATTTAGGACTGGTTACGGCACGCACGGTGACTACATCTTTGGCTGGAAGGACGGCGCTCTACAGGCCATCATGGACGACCCTTGTTACGTTAGTTGTTCGTCGATGAAGACCCAGAGCATCGAGGATATGAACAAGTGCAGCCTAGCTCCTGTCGTCAACGAGGATCTTGATTCTTGTAAGTCACTTTCGCTTCCCGTAAAGATAAGTGTTGGTGTGCTGGACTGACAGATTATAGGGCTAACCACAATCCCGGGCCAATCGATGCCTATGTAATGTGCGTTTGCACATTATAGCTATTGTAGAGAGGCGACTGTCAGAGAACAGAATGCCATAGGCACCAGTGGGTGTCAGGACACTGAACGCAAGACACCGGTGGGGCGCCGGAGGGGTGTTTCGGACAAAAGACTCCCGAGTCATGATTACAATCTATGTGAAGCTTTGGGATGACGAGAGTCAAGATCCTTGGCATCGCCGACCCTGCTGTTATGCCGGGTCCAAGCGGCGGCCTAGCTATCTATATAAGGACCATCTCGAAGTAGGATAGGGAAGGAGCAGAGATCAATGCATCACCGTGGGCACCCCTACCTGAGACCGCCAGTGACCACCCGGTGCTACGTAGGAGGGAAGGAGCAGAGATCAATGCATCACCGTGGGCACCCCTACCTGAGACCGCCAGTGACCACCCGGTGCTACGTAGGAGGGACGCCCGTTACTCCCCATCACTCTGTACTATTGCCTTCGGCCTAGCCGTACCCTGACAGCGACCATATAGAGATTGAGTCTGAGAATGCTTGGTGAAATAATTTCGCTTGTCTCAAGTGACCAAGATCCCCGAGAGCATCGTGGTTCCTCAGAGACGCGCACTGTATTTAGCCAACCGGTTGACCTTCCCATAGCACCCCAATGTAAGCAATCAACGACAATAATACTCAAGACTTTTTTTTGGGGTTATGTCACCAGTGTGAATTCTCCCACGTCGCTAAAATGCGATCATGTATATTCACAATGCAAAAGTACCTACCGTATGTATTACCCTGCGCGATTTTGGAATGCCTCCAGGAGCTAGGAGCATACCCAACCACAGTGCTTCGATATGGTATCGTTGCAGATGACACTGGTTTATTGCTGATAAGTGTGCCTATGTGGCGTTGTTGGACGCGCACCTAAACGCGCCCTCGGAATTAGGCGTGTCTTTCAGACTTGGTTAGTTTGTTGGCTGCTGAGATCCTCGTGTGGACAGCAGCAAGACATACATACATGGCACCACCCAATGTTGATTCGCCGACGGCTATAGTCTCGCCATGCGAGTTCCAATCATTGGGGAGGCACATACATAGCACACCCTCATGGTGTAGCACATTGGTGACCAGCCGCAGAGTGTTTCTGCAGAGTACTGTAAATGCACGAAATAACGATAAAGGTCTTGTCACCTTATTCCTTATTGGATGTTGTACAAGTACCTGTAGTCACCCTACGTGACTAGACAAGCACTATGCGCATCAATTATAGCAGATCTAATTTGGGTTAAAGGTACAAGTCAATTTTCTAAAAATGTCCTGAATAATACATCGACCTTTATTGTATGATCATAACCCAACATCACCACCGTCAGGCCACTGGTCAACAAGCTCATCCAACCCGGCTCCCCGAACCAACTTGTCCATATTCATCCTCACACTAAACCTGACGTACGGTGTCCCAACGCGTCTGTCATAACCCCCTCCTTGCCCCTGGATATCCGAGCCCCCATCCCTGGCATGATGGTGACTGATTAGCGGTGGCTGGACAGTTACGCATACTGGCATATTGCTATTTCCTGCATTTTTCCCACCAGCAGGAGAGGGTTTGGCGTAGGCACCATCACACCATTCACCTAACATTACATCCCACTGCTTTCTAAAAGCCTGGAGCCCAAACTGCAACAATAGTTTCCGGGCGCCTTGCTGACTGACTGCGTAAGCAAGCGTGCAGACTGTCCCATTTGCTGCGTGGACGACACGGGAATATGGCGGATACAATTCGCTTAGCGGATCGTTCCGGGCGAAGGAGTGCGGCTTGAGATGTCTTGGCGCTGGTACCGTTAAATCGTCGGATATGAAGATGCGATGTTGTGGCAACCCGGAGTCTGGTTTTGGGTACTCGGATCCGCAGTGTCCCAGCCAAAGGACATCCCATCCATCACCGTACGGACTGCTTGTTGCAGCAGGGCGTGAGTGCCAGTCCAAGGGAATAGAGAGTCGAGCAACTTCCTCTTTATCCCATTTTGAAGACTCCCGTTTTCCGACGGCTGGTGGAGGCACAAAATTTAGAATACTCTCATCCTCGCTCTTAGTGCCGCTGGAGTCCGACCTCGAATGTTCAAGCCACTGATTCGAAGCAAGACTAAATATCGTCATCTGACTTTTCAGTCTCGCATCCCAATCCACATCATCTTCCATGATAAGTGCACTTTCCAGACTCTGGCTGACCACAGAACGAAGTGCATTCATGTGCGCTCTCCAGGACCCTCTCGCCGCAGTCGACGTTGCGCTCCACTCGTGACCATCAGGGGGCAACACGCGCTCAGGCACAGTATCTCCGTCCACGCCGTCAATCCACTCAAAGCTTAGGTTACTGACTGCCCCGGCGAGGGTTAGAGCATCTCTGCGGTCTGACCTGACGGGGCGGCTGATAACGAAGACCTTCGAGAACTGCGATATTGTTACTATAGGGTAAAACAGGAGAATGTAGACGCTTTATACCCCTAATGTATCGTTAAACACATCCTGTGGACCAATCCGAACATCGTATCCTTCCCCAAAACGATGAGTGATCAGTGGAAAATAGAGGTAGACGAGAGTCGCTAGCATGCAAAGCATTACCAGCGCCCTTCGCCTGCGAAATAGCCTCGACTGTTCGGTGTTCAATTTCATCTCATGCTGACTGATTAAGATCTCCAGAGTGTGAGCTTTCGTGAGTGATGTATCCGATTTCTCCAAAAAGAACATTAGTGGCTATCAGGTGACTTGGATGAGATGTCGCCTGAGTGCGGGTAAAGCGCCCGGCTAATGTTGAGGAAACGTGAGACTTGCACGTAGCCCCGATCATCTAGCAGGATCATCCCGCGTCAATTAGGGGTTAGATGTGACTTACATTACGGCAGACAACCAATGCTAAAAGCCTACAGACGTCGGGCTACTCAGTCGGTCACGATATGGGACAGGATTACTCGATTCAGTACTCATGGAATTTGGTTGCGCTGTCAGTCCTTACATATTTGTGCGAGTGTTTGCTAGCAACGCTTTTGTTTATGTTCTCATAAACCATCTACCATCTAGCTAGTATGTATTTATGGTCACCATATCCATCAGCAGTGGGCAGTCCTTAGACTTTAGGCCTCAAAAACCAACACAATTCCATCATCACCAGCTGTGACGATCCTCTCTCCAGTAGTGCCTTGGACGAAGCCCAACACACCACCACCCTCGCCATCACCTCTGTGACCTCGCCATTCTTTGCTCAAGCCAGAAGCCGCAGTGAACCCAATATTTCCACTCGGTGTCGCACCTCTGACGTCCCATCTTCGAACCACACCGTCCATACCACAGCTTGTCAACAGCCAGCCATCACCCTCTCCACGTACGAACTCAACCTTGACAACACTGAAGTCATCATGAGCCTCCTTGATATGACGTCGGACAGAAAACCGTCTTGCCGTGTCGTAGATGGCAATACTGCCGTCGACGCTACCAGCGGCGAGCAAGCTCTGCGTCGGCGAGAAGGAGAGCGTCTCGATGCCGTCGGTTTGGGTGTGCACACTAGCCAAAATAACTCCAGCTTGGCTGCCACCTGCGTTGCCTCCCTTCGCCTTTGCCTTGGTCTGTTTGCTGGACTGGGGCTGTGCTTGCGATGCTGCCTCGTTGGCGATGCGCGGTAAACTTACGATCTTAATTGCGCCGCCTGCACCACCAACGGCTACGAAAGCTGAACTCGGGTCGATGGCCACGGAGAACAGTCCACCCTGGACCTCAAATCTTTGGTCTTCACCTGTGAGGGAGACAACGGTTTGGCCGTTGTCGTTGGTCAGTCCCTTGGCGGCTGCTGCTCCCCAGATGTCCCACACGTACAGCGACATGTCATCTGAGACTGTCGCGAGGAATGTGCCATCGGGTGACCAAGCGCCTGCTGTGCATGATCCTTGATGCATAAAATAGCTCTGAACGATCTGGAGTGGGTTGGCAGAGTCTGAAGCGTCGATCGTGTACACCCACACCGAGCCATCCGATGCGCCCAGTGCAACTGTATTTGGGTATTCTACTGCGGGGCATGGAGCCAGCCAGTTAACCTCGGGCACCTCTTGTGCCTCGGCCAGGAACTTGAAGCTTGGTTTATTCCGCGCGTCGATCGCAAGTTGGTATGTTCTTATCCTCCCATCAAGACCAGCCGAAACTAGAAACTGTCCGCGCGGTAGCGTGAAAGCCAGCGCGTTGATCGAGTCGCTGTGTCCCTCGAGTGTAAAAATCTCCTTCAGCACGGTGCTTGTCTGCTGCGGTGCGTTCGGGTTGGAATTGTAGCTAGGTGGGAGGACAGGCCGGCCGGCAACGGCTGATGTGTCGAAGACGTAACCCTTGCCGGGCGCATCATCACCATCACCCTCGGAGCCACCAGTCGCAATGAGGGACGACAGTGTCGGGTGTTGCGCGATGGCGAAGACGGAGTCCTTGTGCGAGTCGAAATATGCTATGCTGTCGTTCACGAGTGTGATCTCCTCTGGCTCGTCGTCTAAATCCATCGCAATATCGCCATCCTCGTCCTCGACTTCCTCAAGCGCATCGTCAGCATCGAGCAGCTCGGGTGTGTCTTCGAGGTCATCGCGGTCATCACGGTGCGGGGATGTCATTGTGACTGGGGTTGGGAATGTGTCGGCAGGGAGGGGCAGTCTGGTGGAATACGGAGGAGGAAATGAAGAATCTCTTTGTATCAGACTCAAGGCTTCTTAAGAGTAACAGGATTTGTAATAATTTTCGGTGGACAGTCGTCAAAGACGAATGGGCATCTGCTTGATAATCGGCAACTTTTTTGGTGGCATGGTGGGGCAATTTCCTTCTCTTGGGCTTACAACCCCGCCACCCTGCGATTGCCAAGATTTCAGATTTCCTCATAGCTGAGCGGAGCTACCCGACAACAAAGATAGGGGAAGTAATTGCTATGGCGTGAACAGAGTGCATGCTGGAAAACTATAGTACCGCCCATAAGCCTCGTAAGTACATGTTATTTGAGTGTCCATTACATTATGTTGATCATCGGATTTGCCGAATTAGTATTGCATCTCGTGTTTCATACCGTTGTATCCCCTTTGTGATCTACGAATTATCAATATTTGGACCACTCAAATGACTGAGAAGTCTTGTTCTGATGTTCCAATTGAAGATTGCCACATATGTATAATCATGTAGGCCAGATACATGTAAAGAGCTTGTTACGTGACTAAGTATGCTTATTGGTGTACTGGTGATATGGATGCAACGAGGAACTACCTAGATACTAATCTACCATTTAGGCGGGATTAACCAAATTCTCCCAACCAAAAGTTCGTGTCCCCGACAAGTCATCCAGTTCCGCTATGACATCCATTACCTGGATAATAGCTACTCTGGATATAGTGACCTTCAATGCATTGATTTGAGGAGATATATTACTGGAATCATGTAATAAAAGATGATTGTAAAAGAGCAAAGGCTCGTGAAAGTTTCCTTCGTAGTGAGATTCGCTAGCATGATCCAGGGGATAAACTGATGTGAGTCCCTATCGCGAAACAGACCTGACCCAGCTAAGTACGATGTGTGAATCACACTACTGAGGAACGAAAACGACAAGGAGGGAAGATTCTAAGTGTCAGGTCGGATTCCATGATCTGTTTCTAGTGACTTGACCCAGTAAGAAACTAGAGAGTTGCGAAGGAGCCACCTGGCTGAGCAGTTTAGCCATAAACGTCTCTGGCCAGTTGCCAAATCCTGAGCGGCCGACTCATAGATCGAAGATATGACGTAGAAGCGAGTGGAGTGAGGCTGTGAAAGCCACTATTTGATGAGATCTCTCATCGCGAAGGTCTCAGAAGTGAAGTCGACCGTCTCACAGCAAGCCGGGGTTTCCACAACAAGCGCATCTGATGGAGGATAGTATTGTAAGTCTATACGCGTCTCGTGTTTGATGTGCACGGTCCGAACATTTGGTATAGGAGCTCTGAAACTCTTGCAGCACTTCAACGATGGATTTCATGGAGTAGGATCATTGCGGTTGAGTTAGATATCAACGCCTCCCATTCCCTCTATTACAAGTTTGTTTTTATACGTAGAAGCATTCATCAGATTTTATCGAGATGTTAGATTGTACACAGCCATATGGACTAGCCACAAACAACCACACCTACGGATATTATAAATAAAGTCCAGCGCACCTCGCGATTTCAGAAGAAGCAATCAGACACACCATGAATGAATCACTTGGATCCTCATTGGTCAGATATACGTGCAATATAACAGCAACTTGGACACACCAATCCAATGTGGGGTAGATTGTGTAAGAGAGTGAAATTGTAGGTGCTTCGTCGCTGGCCATTTACGATGTCCTTATTGTCCGATTCCAATGTTAGCAAGGAATGACATGTGTTCGTCAAAGTCTAGCTCAGATTACTCGCGGGGTTCGTACTTACAGGGAATGATAACATCAGGCAAAGATGACTTGCTGTGCTAGTTCAAACTATAATCATCAGAAATCAATCATCGTACGGGCAACATATGTTTTCTAATCATGAATATAATGCCGAGGTTGAAGTGTTTATATTGATGCTATGAAGTAGTGAGGTGCCTTGGTCATTTTAAGTCTGGGGCTGAGTATGCGAGTTCCCGGTCATCCGGTATTGACCTTCCAAGGTCTGATTGGTAGTGTTCAATAACTTTCTCAACCAAAATGCGGTATATACTGACTTACTCCCACTTCCTGGTAAACCGAAAAAGGCATCTGTCGCAGACTTGAAACCGTCCCTACTATCAAGGCCGTCCGCGCAAGGAAGTATAGTATGGCACTCAGAGACCCGGGAAGATCCAATGCGTGTTGGCGCCACCAAGAGCCTTCACGCTTCGTCCTGCTGACCCAAATACCTAGGAGTGTCAAAGTAAAGTCAAAGCCGGGTTTGACGGACATGACCTCAACTAAGCCCCAAAAAAACAAGATAGCGAGCAGAGCGGTGCTGGAGAGTCGCCATACGTATTGCTCCAATAACGTGGGAAACTCGTAGTTCCATTTCATCATGTGAATAGCTGGGTGAAGGACAGTAATGACCCAGGTGACGATAGCCATACCTAAAGTGGCAGGGGGGGTGATGTAGTCGTTGGGGATGCGTTGAAGGGGCCGCTCATCGAGTCCACCGAAGGTGCGGAAGGCATCCCGTCGATTCCAAACGGTCCAGCCGGGCTGCTCGAAAAAATCCATTGGAGTATCCATCCACTGCCCCCAAGCTTCCGACCCAGCTTCTTCAACAATTTGAGCCATTGGTGTTTCCATTTCGAGAATGATAGGCACTGTTACATCCTTGGGCTTGTCAAGCCAGAACAAGTTTGTTGCTAAGGCGCAAAGGCAGAATGCTAGCGTCAAGATCTCGAAGCATGAGGATTCAAAACCTTGGACTGTTCGTATGATGACCTGGCTGACGAGATATAACACCTGGATGGTGGCAAAAGTCTTGGCAAAGTGATCTGACTTGCTCTTATCCCAGATCTCAGCTTCGGTTGTTGATGGGGCTGCGATGTACCCTTTCGAAACGAGATACTGGATGGCACGCGAGTTGACAGGAAACACGGGTGCATCTGGAGAGGCAAGGGCATAGCCGCCACTGTCGGCAAAGAAGCCATGCACTGTTTTCCAGTGGGACACGCCCATTTTGCGCATGCTGTTCCGAGACCGCCGTGCCGACTGCCACTGACATGCTGCTAATAAAGTGACCGCCTCGGGGGCATAGACATTGAAGATGGCCCACCTGGGCTTGCGTCGGATGATGTGCTTCCACGTTTCCTGGGCGCTGGGTACGTTGATGTGCATCGTAGTCCAAACGCAGGTGAAGATGACGAGAACACAGGTCCAGATAATGTCGTTAGTGCTTCTGTAGTTCGATTCAGGCACCCATCCAAGAGAGCTGTCGTTCTTGGACCTCCCTGCCTCTAGCAGACTACAGAATGGGTCTTGTGTGAAGGGCGAATTAGCCATAGGATTCCTGCCGTAAGTCTGAGTCCTTCGCAGGAACGTGTATTCTTGACAGAACCGCGCCGTATTATTGCAAGTTGGTCCAACAATTTGGAAGATACAAGTGGCGGTAGTGTGGGGTAGAACCGTAGGAGCTGAATATTACTCAAATTGTTGCGTGTTCCAGACACAACGCCTATGTGCTGGGTGCAGCGATTGGGACGATTGCCCATAGATAGCCCTTCCGTAGCTGCAGTCTTTGAGACTTAGTCTCCTCATCGTAATCATCACCAATACAACCCGCTTTCCTGCATTACCAACACAAACTAATGGCTAATCGGACACTTCCGTTAATCTGAGCAGCATGCAGTTCGCGTCGACAGTTAATACAGCTAATGGCAATTGTGATTAGCTTAGCAGTGATGGATTTCATTTATGCCGGCGAGTTTAATAACGGATGGTTGGTAGAACATGGTGCATGTACTTGGACCTGCCTGTGGACAAACGCACGCGGCCGCTATGTCTGCGAAGTCAGCTCGAATTCGATGGTGTCCCAACATCAATAAAACTTAATTAGGTCACTTCAGTAACACTACAGTGTGAACCTGCGCGGATTGGGCCGGATTGGTGTAGGGCAAAATAGAGTGTGCCGAGAACCAAGTACCAAATCCACCAATCGACCACCAGGTTTGATTTATGCAAGTAATCAACTCAACAATGCCCAGTGATATATTACTTCTGTTGGCTATTAATTTATACCAAAAGTCCTCCCCAGCTGAATACAATAGGATCTATTCCTTGTTAGCCGTGCTACACATCTCGAGTTGCTGTGCTACTATCTCGTCGTATCCTGGACCCCGGGAGTTGATTTGTAGCCTGAAAGGCAATGGCTTCTTCAGAAGCCCATCTACCGAGTTTGTCAGCACTAAGGGGTGCAATTTTCCCTGAAATGCATTAGAAGTCGTTAACGAACCTGATACGTCTTCCATGCGGACCTGGATCCCAGGGTGAGGCTGGATGTCAAAGCTCCAGAGAACACGAGTGACCGCCACGAATATGCAGATGTCAGCCGCATATACACCGGGACAGAGTCGACGACCCCAACCGAAGTGGACGTGGTCTCGCTTTGACCAATCTGGATTGTGGGCAGACGTCGCCGAGTCCGAGCCATCGTTCAGGAATCGAGCTGGGTCAAACCTGTCAGGCTCCACATATCTCTCCTGGTTTCGCATGATGGACGGGATATTCGGTAGAAGAACTGTGCCTTTGGATATCACATAGTCGCCGTAAGTAATATCTTCAGTTGTCGAATGCGGAATTCCTATATTGGATAAATTTAGACGGACACGGGGCACCAAAACTACAAGCTTTGCACGGGGTTGACAAACCTGCTGCTGCGAATGGAGCCCAGCGATGAACTTCTTTTATCAGCGCTCGTACGTAGGGTAAATTCGGGTTGTCTTCCCAATTTGGAAGGCGTTTTGCCCCCACGACAGAATCAATCTCTGCCGAATGCCGAATAAATGTCAGTAAGGTAGTAATTACTGCGTTGTCACTTCTTCCTTTCGAGCTTACCAGCTTGGGCCGCAACGGCTGCCTTCGGGTTCACGGCCATCGCCTTCAAAAACTGCTGCATGAAACAGCTGATTGTGTCGGCGCCGGCACCAAGAAGCATGCTTAGGACATCGATGATTGCCTGTTCGCCAATGTTCATCCCGTCCGTCATCTATCTTTCGTCAGCACTTAGCCGCATCTGGCGCACCAAGGACAGCCACACGTACTCGTAGAAGCTGCATAGCAAAGGGGGTGCCTGAGATGGGGGTGGATTTCTTTTTACTTTGCAGATAATGGTCTTCGATTCTGCGCAGATGTCTAAGGTGAAGCCCGCGCTCTCGCCTCTTTAAGCCCCTGAATATCCACATCCACGGCTGCAGCCAAGGTGGAAGCTTCAACATGGAGGGGAAATAATCAAATATCAATGATCCTGGAAGAAAGTCTGTCGAGTATGTTAGTAAGTTTGGACGGGGAAGACTTTTTCTTGACTGGATTTTCTTACAGCAAAACATTGTCTCCCACAACTGAAACGTATCGCGCACCCTTTGGTCCCCTTCCGTACCGTAACGCACACCGTAGATGACGCGCATTGTGACGTTGAAGGCATGTCGGTCACACTCAAAGTGTGCCTGATCTGGTCGCTCTGCAAGGGATTTAAACATGAATAATGTCTCTTCCTCGCTCCATCGGCGAAATATCATGGCACCTTGCTGTCCAAGAAGGTGGTGATATATCTTCCTCAGACGGTGGAACTGTTCACCGTATGGCGCTAGTACCAAGCTCCAAGGAAGTAGTTTTGCTCTATGGTGCACCGTGATAGGCCTATCTGAAGTCTTGGAAGACATCTGAGCGACAGCTTAGGTTAGCTTTTATTTTATTGGCGTGGACGGGATAGCCTAGACAAGAGAACTAACTCACGGAATGCAAGAGCTCGTGAGCTGCGCGTGGGCTATTAATCACGAGTATTGGGCTTCGCGAGAGCCAAATCGTGGCAATATCACCATATCTTGTCAAGTGCTTCAGCGTCCTTGATGACCCGGAGTTGAGACCCCGGATCAGGCTCTGATTACCGATCCAGGGCCACGGTCGTGGTCCGGTTGGAAGCATCCCCCTCTGGCTGTCAATATGCTTGTTGTAGCTGACATGAGACCGCGATACGCACAAAATGACCGCAAGGGCAGAAATAATGTAGATAAAAGTCATAGGAAGATTTGAGATGCAGACTTCGTTGCTCACCATGAGGCAACCCATAGTATTGAAAGCCGGAAAATACGGGGCGTCCATCCTTGAAATCTTCTAACCTAGGTACAACAGATAGGTCAAGAAGATGCAATCTAAGGATGAAATAGGGTTTCCAAAGGAGGTTGACACAATATATATAGAAGACTAAAAACGCACGAGGCTTTCAACAATCTATAATCATCATATAGCAAAGCGGCGGCTACCATGCCTCTAAGCCACTCCAGCGCGCTTTACCCACAACACTTGATACGCACCAATGCGCACTGGTTCACACTATTCCTTCAAGTTTTCAGGCAGACAGAATTATCAAGTCCCAAATGGGCCCATGAAACCGCTTGTGCATTTTTATCTCCTTCGATGTCCGCCATGGTAACAGGCTGGACTGATGGGCCGATTCGAAGAAAGGGGAAGCCTTTGAGTCGAGGCATATGGGGTTCTTAATACATGGAAGATCACACTTAGCTTCATATATTTATAGATATGTAGCACTGTGGTCGTGGCAATTCGGAGCATAGTAGGATGCAGGCATACACCCGGAGCTTTAGTCCTCATTGCTGAACATTTATTACCCTAGCTTTTCTTGTGTCACGTACTTTACCGACCGACCCACACTCCAGGTTTTCAATTTTGATTGACTATCTTGACAATGCCCCTTGCAAGGACTCACCAGAAGGTTACATTCACATTGTTCACATTGTACCTGGGGGGTTACACCTAGGCATTCGCATCTATTTAAGTCCATCAGAACGAGAAGACCCAGGCAGCTGCAGGCAACTGCTATCACCGGCAATCACTTGAGCATCTGCAACTCTAGAAATGTCCAGGGGTTCAAAACAAATCTTTTGCTCCTTCCCATTGAACAAACAACACCTGTGCAAACATTGCATCTTCAGAAAGGAAGCAACTACACACACATTCATCAAATCCCCATCTCCATCCGGACAGTAACAAGCAAATACTTCAGAACAATGGACAAATACCGGGCTCGAAATCTAGCTGGTCCTGCTCTGGCAGGCATCGGCTTGTTCGGTCTAAATGCCATGTTTGGCCAGATCTACCGCAATGGCTACATTGGCCGCGTCCTCGACATCTTGTCCTCGCCTAAGCCAGTTTTGCCCGGCTCTCAAAACCCCCTTCTGACCAGTTACCTGGGATTGCCTGTGCTCGACGGCTTGCTTGCGGTCGCTTCTGTGCTCTGGGCCAATGTTGCGGATGGCTCGAGCCCGGTACTTTCTCTGTATGCTCTTCAATTTGGCGGCCAGCTGGTACCTATCTTTTTGGTTATGATGGTCGAAGGATCCAAAGTGGGTAACACTGGAAATCCTCTGCACTTGTGAGCTCAATGTCGACCTGTTGTAACGTCTTACCTTGGTTGCTGATGCTGATGCGGTTGTCTAGTTCTGTTTTGTGGGGGTACACAATGCAAACAGTCGGATATGCAGCGACCATGCCAATCTACGCTATCATGCATCTATTCACATCTCCCACTTTTATTAGTCGAGGAAGGGCTCTATCCAAGGCAAATCGTCCCCGGACCTCTGCCTGCTTGACCCTCGAGGCGCTCGTCCCGGCGTTTTCAATTGGCTATCTACTACCCACCCTCTTGATGGCCTGGCCGGTTTCGTCCCCCACGTTGCATCAATGGTTCGGCGTACTCTGGCAAGGTTTCCCGCTGTACGTTGTGGTATGGCAGCAGGTTTTCACGCGCCTGAGAAAGCCGACCCTGCAAAGTGATAGTGAGACCATTTCTCGGGCTTACGACTGGGCTTTTAACACCGCTTCGGTGATTCAGCTCTTCACCTATACTGTCATTTTGGCAGTGAAGGTTGCGCCTGGATCTTTTCCAACATGGGCCGTTGAGGAGTTCACCTTCGGCAGAGTTTTCAGGCCGGGTTCATTCTTCTCGACTCGGCCTTTAACATCCATGATAACGGCCATGCATGAATTTTTCAAGTGGGATCAGATTATCGGTTCTGCTGCAGCCCTCACTTGGGCGGTCACTCTAAACGTGACTGCGCGGAATGATACTATGAGCTGGGGCGACTGGATACTTCTTGGGTGGGACATCCTACGATGGAGTACTCTAGCTGGACCGGGCGGAGCGCTTGCGCGGCTCCTGCAGCGGCGTGACAAGATCGTCATATCAGAGCATGGACAAGATAGAACCAAGGGATCATAGAGTAGATATGGCATCAGTATGTCTATGAAACCCTTTCGTCTGTAAAAGCCACTGTTGGCATTCCCCTATTGTCACCTTCACTGCTCTTCCAAAAGGCACGAAACTAAAGGTATCCAAAGGGCGTCAAGTTCTTCCGGAACGGCTTTCTAAGTGATTGTGCCTTCTCCTCATCTACGACCCACACAACCTCTCCTTCCTCTGACGGCCATTTGACTGCAGACACCAGCCCCTGAAACCTTTCGTCTCTCTCCTCTCTCCTCCGGAAGATGAGAGGTGACCATTCAATGCCACCTCTTTCCTCAATACTTCGCATTACACGCTGCGCCTTCTCCAGCTTCGACTTCTGCTTGGCCGCTTCCACCATGTCGCCACTATGAAGAGCTTTGACCACGGGACACCAAGCGCGCCGCGTTTCCCAAGGGTCCATGTCATCTATGTTGAGTGCATTGGCTGGAACGGGCCTAGTATTCGTCCTGTCGTGAGTCTTAATGACCTCTCCCGACCGAGCATCGCTGATGGAAAAGAAACCATTCCACTTTCCCGACACAGTGTACAAGGGCCTCCTCGCCGGATCATCACGACGATACATACAGGCCTTAAATCTATTCCTTCGGTCCTCTGAGTTGCCGCTAAGACCAAGCCAGCTCAGCACGCCGCGGCTCGTATCGTCTGGCGGGGAGAATTGGATTTCCGAAACGAAGCCGCTGGAAGATACCACGTAGCACGTTCCCACAAGTTCTGGATAGAGACGACCAGAGAGCAGACCCTTGACTCGCGCCCGGGGGGCTGGGATGAGGTGGTCCTCTTGGAACTTGTCTATGTGCAGCATGCCATGGCCGTATTGGATGACATCGATGCCCAAGCCGGTCGCATCTTCAGATCCAAAACCTGTGTTGAAGACCATTTTGACACGCGAAAACGCCTGGGCTTTGATTCCATTCTTAGGGTCCCAAATGTATACTCCTGTTGTTGGGGGATGGTGTGAGACTTGTTCGACCACCAGATGCGTAGTGGCTATAGGCAACCCACTATCGCCGTCGCCGATATCGTCATCATTCCAGCTAGCGACAAACAGTTCACCCAAAAAGGCATTCAGCGGCTTCTTTATAGTGCCAGTGCCATCGACATCACCAGCATAGAATTGACGCTTTAGCGACAGCAGCACCCACTCAAGAACAAGCAGAGCTCTCTTCTCAGCTGAGGGCTCAGCGGCTGGGGCGGCGAAGACAGAGGGTCGCTCCGCCCAGCAACTGCCTACTTCAACCAAGGATACAGGAGCTAAGAAGAATGGAGGTGACGTCACGGTTGCAAGATCGACGCCGCGCATATGGTGGAGAAACTAGACATACCTGTCAGCAGAAAAACAGAAAAATAGTCCTGAGATGCCCAGAAGGACTCGGGCAGTAGACCGACCTGCAACGTATCTTTGACCCAAGATTGAGCAGCCATCTTTCGTATCCGAGTGGTATCTCCGAACAAAACATGTGCGGGCTTCACTCTCCTTGGGTTCACGAACCAGTGAACTGTTCAGTGCTGCTCTTTTAATCTGGCATACGCCGATCTCTGATATGCAGGCAAACCAAATCTAGCCCCCAGTGGTTTATTGAAATTATTTTGTCCCTTAAGCGCCCGCCCCCAAAGTATGCAAGTTCGGTTCACACCAGCTGCGTTGGTATCCCTGGTAACCTGGTTGGGCTTGGGTATCAGTCATTAGAACTACCGGCTGAAGTAATCGCCACATTGCAGCCGGCTGTGGCTCCGAGGCTGGGTCACAAGTTTGGTTTATGACACTCCATATCCAGCATTACAAATTTGACTTGATACCCTAACTGAGAATTCTCCTACATCGCAGCGTCTGGTACTAGTATATAGGTCATCGGATCGAAGCAGTCTTGATATCATTAGGCTTCCGCCTTGTACCGATACATTTGCTAAGTGGCGGATGCAAACCCGCCTTATCTGCCTTGTCATAGCTGGCCCTTGCCTGCTACGATTATTTACAGTACCGTCTACGTCTGCTTTCTGGAAATCATAAATTAATTTGCATATATTGCTCTGACACAGTCACTAAATTGCAGGGCGCATGTAGCACGATAATCTGATAATATTTGCACACATCATGTATGTATGCGGACCGGTGGTGCATAACACATATGTTCTTCGTTAGCGCTGACACGGGGCTTGCCGTGCGTGCGAAGTACATATTTCATGCTTTGCGCAAGGCAACAGACCCGTGGCTCAACCCGTATACCTTGAAGTAAGTGATGAAGCCGACCTAAATAGAAAACTCGTCTCGTATAACATCGTTGGCAGCGATTCCAAGAAGTGGCATATTAAGAATTCTATCTGTAGATCTAATCTCGCGCGGCGGTCTACCTTTGTGGATATGTAGGATAAAGAGAATTGGTGACAGCGGGGACCCCTGCGGGATGTCAGCGTGTAACTGGAACGCCGTCGAGTATTCTTCGTCGAATAGGAGCCGTACTGACCTATCCGTCACCAAGCTTTTTACCCACTGTCAGACCCAGGCGGAAAGTTCTTTCTCATGTAAGATTGAAATCAATCTCCTATGGATTACTGTATCAAAGAAGCCTTTGACATCTAATTGGAGGAGTGAGAAGACCCCCCTTAACCCCCATGCCATATATACAACGTCCGTGACTCGGCGTACAGGTAGTTCGGTAGATCGCTGAGTCAGATTTCATATCTGGCCACTCGGTAATAGTAGAGATTCCTCTGGCACATTGCTATTTCGAGTACCTTGCCCACCAAAATTAGCAAGGATATCGGTCTCCGTCCGCTCGGGGTTTCTTTCCGGGTCGCTGTTCTATTTGGTTTTGGATTACCACTAGCTTTGCTCTTCTGAACCGTCGTGGGAAATATGCTAACCAGAAGCTCGCAATTGCTGGAGTTGCGAGCGTGCAATAAAGAGGAGTGCCACATGCCTTGAGAAAGCAAGTTGATTAAAGTTCTTCTCCAGTAGTCTTCCAGGTCCCGGTTTTCCGAATAACCTCTTTGAAATCGCTTCCGTGACTTCCGACACCATGGTAAGTTCCTGTGATAGCTGTAGGCCTGAAGGTTATTCGAGATCTGCCAGGTCCGCTTCCGGGTTAGGGGAGAAGGGCTCACTCAGCCAGTATCGCCGCCTTTTCGTTATATGTTGAGCCTTCGACCGCCGCTCCTTCATTACACCTTAGTGACGATATGCTCGTAGTCTGAGGTGATACCCAGCTTCGTATTCGAGCCCATCTCTCTAGTGACCACAAGCTCTTAGAGTCGTCGAGGTAGCCGCTACAGCATTGCGCCAACTCCTCATCTTCGCCTTCTCAACAGTGCGTTCAATTTGTGCCTTCGCTCTTGCGTAAAGTTACCAATTGAACTGTGAGGTATTGGCGAGGTTTCTTAGGTAGAGACGTCCGGCATATTGCGTTGCTTTCTGTACCTTCGATGACCACCACGGTCAACTGCGGCCGGATGCTGGGGTCTTTGTCGGCACTGAAACGCGTCGATTTCGCGTAAAGTTGTTACCAGGTCGCCAAAAGCTCGTTAAGCTCGTCCGATGTCCTCGGCTCCATCATATAGTCCAGCCTGGTCCCTGCCTCGACGCGGACGAGGCCCTTACCCAGCATCGCCCAGTTCAAGCCCTTGACGGTTGTCCTACTATCTTTCAACGATCCGGGCTCGAGTTCAACTCGAACTAATTACATCCTATTTCATGACGCTTCGAGCCCCGGGTATCCGTCATATAATATATTAGTGTGCTGTAACCCACGCCAGGCTGGGTATAGATTCTCACTGGCCGTGGTGTCTTCTCATTACTTCTCCGTGGGCGTAGCTAGTTTGAGGCCCCATCGTCGTGTGGATGTGATCAAGTCACTGGTGCCCCGCAATTGTCTTCCATATATGTCCATAGCTAATAGTGTGTATTAAAGTGGCCAACAAATAAGTGATCGCCACGGTGGCCCGTTGGAGTGAGGTTGTTGAGAGGGCTACGCCGCTGGGAGATCTCTTGAATTGGTGAGTAAATCGTCCATACCGTAAAGCTGCTTCCGTCCCCAGTTTGTATAGCAACCGCCGGCCAGTAGGGGCCTACCCGTTTCTTTAGCCTTGTGATATCGTATCGCTAGATGTAAGGAAATAGCCGAGAAGAATAAACCAGACGAGGAGTTGTGGTTTGAAATGAGAATAACCCAGCGATTTTCGCAATCACCAGGTTCTTGTGTAAATACGAGCTCATTATTATGGGGAAAGCCCCTAGTTGTTGGCATTTTCAACCGTGACCCGTTACGTGCCAGCCTATTTGTTTGTGTGGGATGTTCACGGCTAGGTTGCCTTTGCTCGCTGCTGGAATACATCAATACTTGTCTTATCAATTTCGCACCTTCTGCGCCAACTATGCCATACCCATCCACTAACACGGTATTGTAAATCAAACTCGTCAAAAAGTCACTCTCCTTCATTTGCCTCCACGACCCTTGCCCGAGTAATCATACCATTCACTACATCGGGTTATCCCCTGGAAGCTGAGGCAGCCCTGTAATAGAAAATTCATCAGCTCAACTCAAAATGGACCAAGACGGAAATAGCCTGGTCATCACTTACAGCCGTCATAGTTCTCGTTGACCATGTCTTTCACGACACACTTGTTCTGTTCGGCGATGCTCTGCGTCTTGAGCATCGGAGCACTGACGTACGTGTGCCCGTCCATGGCCTTCTGGAGCGAGTCACCCTGCCACCCGAACAGATAGTCTGCGTGTGACGAATACCCATTCTGGTCCCCGCTGCTCCAGACGAATGGCTGGCTGTTATCGGTCGGCCAGTCGGCCTTGTTGTTAAACGCACTGGTATCCCAGACCGTTTCGAGCATTAGCTGGGGGAGGTGCACGGGGTGTGTCGAGGGGCAGGGCCCCCCGCTCTCGAAAGTGCCGCTCTCGGGATATGCAACGTGGTCCTGATGGTTCGGACTGTCGAGGTTGACGCCGTCCCAGCACGTCGGGAACCGGTGGTTCGCCATAATACCCAGCTTACAGGGCCCGGCGGGGAACCCAACGGTCTCGGGCGATCGGCTGGCCTGGCTGTCCATACACGTATAGCTCAGCTGACGGAAAGCACGAGACTGATTGCGGTCTCGGAAGCTAACGTCACCAACGAGCATGCGGAAGCCCGGCTTGAAGGCTGTCACGCTGGACTTTTGCGCAGTGTCAAAGAGTGCGTCAGACATGTAGTAAACAACCTGCAGAGTCAATGTGAGCAGAGTAGGTCTTTTCGCAAAGGAGGATATCTCTTCTCTAACCATGCCGCCTTGCGTGCCCTCCATGCCAGACTGGGCGAGCTGCGGGACACGTTTAAGGGTACCATTACGGGCGCGGAAGAAAAGCACAGCCGTCCAGTAATTGGAAAAGTCCTCTAGAGCGATATTAGATCAACTTCCCCGGAAAATATAAAAATACACATTATTACTGACCTGTAAACTGGCAGCTGGTGCACGTGGAAAGGGAGGCGAGGTCGTGCTTGGTGGGGTCCATCGTGATGTTAAAGGAGTTCTGGAACAGTGTTAGCAAAGCCATGCAAATGGCGCTGGGAGAGCGAGGATCCGCAGCAGAGACTGACACCGCCGACGATTTGATGGAGATGAGGCGAGGGATTCAGCCCCGGGTTGACTAGAGGATCGAGTCGCTGGATGCTTGAGCGAGCGCAACCGAACCGTAGCAGGGCAGCGACGGGCGTGGCGAGCAGCCCTAGGCCAGCCAGGAGAAAACCAGAGCGTTTCATTTTGTGTCCCCTTGCTCACTAAGGCGGTTCTCGTTGACGAGTTTCGAAGAGAACTGGACAGGAAAACGTACATTTGGGTACTAAGCATATCTAGCTCGAATGCGAGGGCAGGCTAAAAAGTTAAACAATCTATATAGGGAAATCTTGAAGCGACAGCGAAGACGTTCTAAGCTGTGTTCGGGCTCAAAATGTGGTCGGCAACTGAGCAACTGCCGTGTTATCCTGGGTGCTAGACAATTTACAGGAAAATTAATTTTGATACTCGGGCAAATCGCCCAGCCGGCCCAAGTCACTTTGCCAGTCGATAGTCTTGTTAGATTGCGGGGATTAATGACTGGCCTATCAGAGGCGTGTACTTTGACGATAGAAATCGAGCTATTATTAAATGTCTTTATATGCTGTGCTTTTTCGACCTCGAGGCCCGGTAGATATTTGTCCGAGTAGGGTTGTGAAAGTCAGTTATATACCTACGTGCTCTCAAGGTTTCATCTCTTACAAATCCTGGACGTCAGATTCTAGCCCACCATTATCTATAACTTTCTTTTTGTCTCTCAAAGCCCTCCGTTTCCGAGCAAACCCGCCCCTTTGGCATAGATTCAACGGCCCGTCATGAAGCTCGCTACTTTTATAACCTTCGCTCTAGTCGGGCAAGCTCTATGCCAGTCCACCACGAAGGATTGCAGTGCGTCACTTGCTGTCACCGACGACTGCGCCGACGTCATCAACCCAATTGCGTGCTATAACCAGATGGGTTTCAGTGGCACACGGACATTAGGGTGTATAGATGGGAAAGATAATACGGATCGTAGCCGCAAGGCAAGTTTATGAAGAGCCATTTATGGTAACAAATATTTTCATGCTGGGTAGCTGCTAACTGAATTTATCGTCAATAGGCATGCAAATGTTGTGGATGTATAGGTACAAAGATGTGTAACTGGGTTACGCAGAACAAATTGTGTACGTAGAAGATTATTTTTTGCAAAGGTAGACAAAGTGATCTTTGGGGAACGCTCTTTCTTGTGTGTAGTGGCCGGTTCAAGAGCGATCCGAGAAATTCTGCCGCCTTTTCCCTTAGGGGATGCTGCTGCTGTATGGGATTAGTGTTGTCAAGTTGTTCATATTACGTACATCGAGTCGAATCACATTGCAGATATTATCTGAAACTATTTATCTTTACAGTGACGATTTACATGTTATATGTTCTATTTATAAAAATGTAAATTAAATTAGTGGCCTGCCAGGCGTAAATATTGGTGGCTGTGTATTTTTCCCTGATTGTGCAGCCGGTAGCGTTATATATGGAACTATATGTACCCATTAGTATGATCTGGAGCGAAAAGAGTGCAGGATAGGCACCATTCAATCCTTCTGCCGCATGACCACCGATAGTGTTCCTCTCATAGCGTATATTGGTCCCATCAAGGCAGTGGTGATGGATCACATTGTCCATCTGTGCTATGGTGCTGATCTCGCCAGTAACAGCCTTGTATGCGTAGACGGGCATCTTTGGCGTCCCGTTGTAGCCCGTCGTTCCATTTCAGAGTAACCAATCGATCGGATACCGGTCCGGACCGGTCCGATATTCCGATATCGATACCGATCGGTAGCACATTTTGTTCATTAGATCGATCTGACCGGACCGGTTATAGTTACAATGTCGGACAGAACCTTAGCGACGCTCTGCATTTTCTCCGTGGTCGTGCCATCGACACGTTGTACTGGATCGACGCACTCTGCATCAACCAGCGTGATATTCCTGAACGCAACAGGCAGTTACGTATGATGCCGCACATTTATTTTAGGGCTAGCGTCGTTGTAGTATGGCTGGGCAAGAACTACTTGAAACATCAGAGGGGCCGTCACACCTCCATGGGCTTGGCGACTTTACACCTTCCGGACCAGATCCCGAAGCTTCATCAAAATCAGACGATGCTCAAAGCCAACAGGTAGCCACGGCTAGCTCAGACGAAGGTGCCGAGCATGAGGCAATGGCGAGGGACCTATGCATCGATAACTACTGGAATAGATTATGGATTGTCCAAGAGATCGGGCAGGCGCAACGAATCGAAGTGTGCTTTGGCAAAGAAAGGATAAATTGGGACGACTTCATTCACTTCATCACTATGCACAACGTCGAGAGTTCCGGGCCCCTGAGACTCAATCGGCAAAGAAAGGAGAAGTACCAAGGACAGAATACCTTCCGTAGACTGCTGGAGGTCCATAAGGAAGCCTCGCGCCAAGAACCAAGGGACAAGATATACGGCTTGGTCGGTTTGGCATCTGATGCTCGGGGTTTCCCTATGGATTACGACAAGTCTCTCCTCGAGGTCTGGTCCGATGTGATGGAGTTCATGAACGAACGCCACTTGCTTGAACAGTCTGAAATCGTTTCGGTTGCGGCGTTGGTTAAATATCTGCTTATGGGCACAACATGTCCGCCTATTCAGCAAATCGCGCGGCCGTATATTCCCGAGTCCGGTGACAACATTCTGATAGAAAATATAAATAGCCGGAGGGTATTTAAGCTGCAAGCTTACGTGATCGGATGTGTCAAGTATGTCGGTCCTTCTCCTAACGAAATCATTGCAAGCCTCGAAAAGACGGATGTTTGGACACAATGCGTTGAAGAGAACTTCAGAAAAGAGCTCAGCGATGCCCACTACCAGAGTGACAAGCTGGTCCGAGCTATCCTGAACCCGAATGACCTATCCATGTCGTGCTTCAATCATGTCAGCATCGTACAGTGGACCGCCTCTGAAGACCATGGGTCAAACCCAGCCTTGAACCTCTACCGATCTCGAATTTCGGAGTTTAATAGCGAATACGCGAAGCAAGAGCAACCTGTATTGACAGCTGAACTCTCGACTAAAAGTCAGTGCTTATACCAGATGATTAATTACCGTTGGGTCCACCGAATTAGCGATACGTATAGTCGAGGACGTAACCTATACAGCTTGAAGGCGCGGAGGGATCGCCACACTACTACAACTTGATATTAAGGGGGCGTTCGACATAGTTAACCACAGGCGTTTGATTTCTATACTAGCCCGGAAGGGCTACCCGGAGTGGGTTCAGGAATGGGTACACAGCTTCGTAGAGGATAGGACAGTACGCCTCCGGTTCGACGGTAAGGAGTCAGAGCTGATCCCTCTACGAGCTGGCGTCCCCCAGGGGTCGCCACTCTCCCCGATACTATTTATCCTATATATATCGACGCTATATGAGGAACTAGCGGAGAAACACCCCCTACTCTTAGTCGTAGGGTTCGCGGACGATACGAACCTACTTAGCGTGAGCACAGACACGGGCACGACCTGCCGCCGACTAGAGGACGCTTGGGCTACGTGCCAACGGTGGGCCGTCAGGCACGGGATGGAGTTCGCTCCGGACAAGAGTGAGCTGATGCACTTCACTAGAACCCGAGACCCCTCCCCGCAGAGTATCCGTCTTGGAAACGCTACAGTAACGCCGAAGGTCTCGGCAAGGTTCCTAGGGGTCTGGTTTGACCGCAAATTAACGTGGCACGCCCATACCGAACGGGTTAAATCAAAAATGGCGACTCAGAAGCTAGCCCTAACAAAGCTAGTGAACATGGCGTGGGGCTGCGATCTCATACGGGCGAGACTACTGTACACGTCGGTTATTCGCAGCGCGATCGCCTTCGGGGCGGCTGCGTGGCACACTATAAGCGAGGAACCAGCGGGACCAGCTAAGAGCCTAGTCGGGATACAGAATGAGTGCCTCCGAATAGTCTGTGGCGCCTACAAAGCGACACCGGTCCGACACCTAGAAATAGAGGCAGCTATCCCGCCACTAGACCTATATCTCAGTGTCCGGGCGGCGAAATTTGAAGAACGGCTACGGAATAACGGCAAAAGGAGCCTGCTTCGAAGCGCGAGCGCGAGAGCGTCACACATACTCCGACAGGACACGCCGGCGAGACGGAAGCGGACGTCACAATCGCTCAGACCAGCGGGGTACACGATAGAGAAGGAGGCTAGGGGCTCCGAGTGGATAGGCAAGGCGAAGGAAGTCCCGGCCGCCCTCCTAGACCACTGGGAGAAGAGATGGCTCTCCGGGGCAGCACAACACGACCGCCAGCGACGCGCTATCGCCGAGGAGCAGGAGGGCCCCTCGATGCGAATGCCGAAACAGGGCAAGTACTCAGACCTAAACCGACCGGAGGCGTCTACCCTATGCCAGATCAGGACCGGAAAAATAGGACTATCAGATTTCTTATTTAAGATAGGAGCCTTCGGTGTGTATTCGCCGTTATGCCGCTGTGGAGAGGCCCCCGAGACGGCAGAGCACGTAATCCTCTTTTGCGGCCTGCTGGAAGAATCGAGAGAGCGCCTACGGGCCACTATCGCACCATGGCCGCTGCATACACGTAGAGACCTGGCAACGGCGACGGGGAAATCAGTAGTCAGCGGGACTATCACAAGGTGGCTACTCAGGACTGGCCGGATAGCACTTAGGCCCGGATAATATCTGTGACAGGCTGTGCCTGATATGGGATCCGGAGCTGCAAGGACCGTGCGTCCGGATCCACCAAAGGAACCATCGAGGGCATACAAAACATAGTCCGTGTTCCCGGGACAACTCGCATATTTTACTTTCCTCCTCAGTTAGATAATTAACAGTATTTGGCCATGTTGAGCTGTATAGTTTCGCAGTGAGCCCGTCACAATATCGATCTTCTCAGGGGGACTTTGTTAGTAGGGTGAGAACTAACATAGTATTGTGGTGGACGTAACGCAGTCGCTAATAGAGCGAACCTACGTAGCAGCGTATGTATTTAGTCCAGCCATTAGGGCATGGTTTGACATACGGGAGCACTTGTAGAGGTACCGGGGGCTTCGAGCCTACGGCGTATTTAATAATAATAATAATAATTACCGTTGGGACACAACTCCCTGGAAGATGGGTATCGCGTCGAGCGAAATCCAACCCGGCGATTTAGTTTGCCGGCTCCAAGGGGTCAGAATAGCTGTCGTCTTACGGCCGTACATACATAGCTCAGATCGTTACCGGGCGAGGCTGAGGCTACGGATAATCGGAACAGCTTCAGTCACAGAAGATCTGGCGGGTTCTGCCTCAAATGACGCGAAACGCCTTGGCTTCTTCAGGAGAGACGATGAACTGTTAGTTTACATGGATGCAAGGACAATTTTTGTTCTCTTGGCTTGAGGAATGGAATAGAGATACATAGCTGTTAACTAACTTACGTATTTATATTCCCTCTTTTCTGCGCTGTGAAACCAGGCTTAAATTCCAAACTACGACATGTTCGTTTTCGTCCTTTTCACCATCACATAGCACAAGTTCGGCAAGTAGAGTACCAGAGAGTACTCTATTAAAACAATTCTGGAATTCCCGGATGAACTTAGCTATCAGAAATAAGTCTGATGCCCCATTCATTTTGTACTATCTGTCGCTAATATGCAGGACCTCCGGCTTATAGAGATGACGGCCAACGTCGTACGCTCATGCCCCAAGAAAGTCGTCCCCGAACTAGAAGGATTCGGTTGATCCTGTGATTATGAGGGTTGTGCTGAGCTAGTTGTATAGTGCGGGGTCAGTCGATGCACCAATGTGTGCTAAGCTCAGATGCCGGCTTGTGGGTGCGCCTACCCCCATCGCACTGCTGTTGCAGTTTGGTGCCACCGCAGGACACTTCGACCTGACGCTCCCTCCCGCATTTCACCATTGCGATGAGTCTTATCTTGGCCGAAAAATGATTCAGGACCAGCCTTACTATTGCATGCCCAATTGGTCCAATGAAGACATGAAGTGTTGCGCAATATGAGAAGGTTAGTAAGCAATGAGTCTTGCAGTTCCTACGAGTAGTCAACCCATGGTAGCCCCAAGCCAGGCCAAGATAATTTGAATTGGCAATGACGGGCGAGGCCTTGCCACCACCTTTGTCCATATATGGCGTAAGGCAACAGTTCAAACCAAGAAAACCGTGTTTCTACCTGATAAGTTGCCAGCGACAACGGAGAATAGTCATCATTAGGCAAAATCATTGTATACTTCAATTTGATGTTGCACTTATGGGTGGTCGAGGCTTCCATCAGGCTTCTATTGGTGGGACCCAGGGGCCCTAGACTTTGAATCCATCATAAAAATTCCCGACTTGTGTAAGAAATATGAATCTAAATGTGCACCGGTATTGGTAATTAAAGTACACGTAATTCCGGAGAGGACAGACGTATCAGGTACAGAAGCTGTTCTGTGTCTCCCCTTTCTAGCTTTGCCGGAAGTAAATTGCCCGTCGGTCCCAGAACCCGGTATGCCGCCAATCATGACCCGGCCCACCACCTCGGCATCCACCTTCAGCTCTCCACAGGTCGTATGGCACCGGCCGAGTTACCGGGATTTGCCAAGCACGTTTCCGCTCTTAGCGATTTTCCAGGGGCTGCCGTGCTTCGAATAGAGGAATTCCACTGGAACATGTGGCCCAGTTTGCGTGGCGATGAATCCGTCGGGCAACAACCAGGCGATGCTATAAGAGCATATAGTTAATGCGACTCTGTAGGGGACCCATAATTGATCCTTCTATTTGGGCAGAAGCTTGATCAATCTATAAAACAGACAATCCGTCTTCGCCTAGGCTGTCCAACTCTCGTAGCTGAGCCATCTTCAAGATAACTCACAGTCGTTCATTCTGGTAATAATTGTACTTAACATTAGACATTCACTTCTACAACTTCACCATGCAGTTGACTCTCTTTTCCGCCGCCGTCCTTGCTGGCGCTGCTCTGGCCAGCCCCACCCGAACCCTTGAGGCTCGTTCCACGCAAATTTGCGGCCAGTGGGATTCTGTTGCGACCGGCACCTACACCGTATACCAGGACCTCTGGGGCGAGAGTTATGCCGACTCCGGTAGCCAGTGCACTACCGTCGAGAGCCTGTCGGGCAACACGCTCGCCTGGTCTACCTCCTGGACCTGGTCCGGTGGTTCGACTTCGGTGAAGTCTTTCGCCAACACCGTCACTACCGTCTCCCAGAAGGCTATTTCCTCCATCTCTTCGATGCCCTCGAAGTGGTCTTGGAGGTATGTTGCATACCATTCCTATCCATGTCAAAGTCCAAGCTAACGCGTTTTCAAGCTACACCGGATCCTCCATTGTGGCTGATGTTGCCTACGATCTTTTCACCGGGTCCTCCGCCAGTGGCTCTGCCGAGTACGAGGTCATGATCTGGCTCGCTGCCATCGGCGGTGCCGGCCCCATCTCCTCCACAGGCAGCACCATTGCCACCCCCACCATTGCCGGCACTACCTGGAACCTGTACTCCGGCCCCAACGGAGACATGACCGTTTTCAGCTTCGTCGCTCCCAGCCAGGTCACCAGCTTCGACGGCGATATTATGGACTTCGTCAACTACCTGATCCAGAGCCAGGGCATGTCCTCGTCCCAGATCCTCCAGAGCATCGGTGCCGGAACCGAGCCCTTCACCGGATCCGATGCCGTCTTCACCACCAGTGCTTTCTCCCTGTCCGAGAGCTAGATGCACTCCATCGGTTCTTGAAAAGAAAATGATATTCACGTATTATACTTTTAACTCTTGTACATAGCCACATATGGAATACATCTGATATGACCATCAGTTTTGATTAGCTTCATGAAATTCGTTTAATCACGTTCAGATTCCATTAGCCGCCAACTAGGGAATTCTTGGCTGCACTGCGTTGAATTGACGAGGTCTTCTGACTTGTTACCGTACATGAGTAATTAGTTCGTCCACTTACAGCCTTTCAACTATAGTTTGGTACCAGAAGTTCTAGGGCGTCCCCGGAGTTTGATTAACATCCTTCACACAGATAACTTCCTAATTCATCCAGCAGGCCATGATGACTTCTCTTATCTCCTTCTAGTCTCACTATTGTAAAAAGCATCCATACAACAGCCCCGCTATATACATCCGGGCCGCAGTCAAATCTTAGCTGGCGTATGTTCCTCACTTGTGCGTCCTGAACGAACTCGAAGCCATAATCAATTCAACCAGCAAGTACACCATCGTTTTGCCATGGTATTGGAAAAAGGAGAATTGGGATTGAGATTTTGATGTTGAGAACCTGAGAACTAACTAACGTAGTCCACAAGTGAACGGGTCACCCAACCGAACGGGTCACGCCCATAGCAAAAAATACAACTAAACTTCCTAACTTTACCACGCAACTAATTCTCGATGGATTCTGCTCAAAAAGAATCTCAATTACTCCTTGCAATTCAGGCTATCAGAAATGACTCAACACTTAGTATCCGACGTGCTGCAACAATCTACAAAGTCTCGAATACTACTCTCCAGGCGCGTCTTCAAAAACGTCAATCACGTCGCAATATCGAAGCCAACGGTCAGAATTTAACAAAACTAGAAGAAAATACGATTATTCAAAGGATAATTGAGCTATGTTCGCAAGCATTTCCTCCCCGGCTAAGTGCTATTGAAGATATGGCAAACCGACTGCTACGCGACTCGCATATCACAAAGGAGGACTTTCTTCCGGCATTTTGCGACGCGTTCAAGAAGAGCCTGACCGAAAGCAATACTCGTGCAGGCTTTCAAGGGGCTGGGCTTGTGCCTTTAAGCCCAGATATTGTTATTGAGAAGCTGGATGTGAAATTACAGATTCCAACGTCCTCCCGGCCCCCTACGCGGGAAACCCTTCCTTGGGCTTCTCGGACGCCAAACAACCCAACCGAGGCTACTTCGCAATCCGAATTATCAAATCTCGAATTTCCAGGCATCAAAATAGCTCCCCGACGTCAATTTACGATGCTATCGATCAGTTTTCGAAAGGAGCGCGGAGTATTATGCATAAGATGGCTTTACTCCAAGCTGAGGTCGCCGAACTTCGAGAGGCAAATGCTCTAATTAGCAAGCGGCGCAGGGCCAAAAAAACACGAGTACGGCTTGGAGGATCACTTAATTCACAAGACGTACAAGATCTTCAAGATCAAAAGGACGTTGCGCAGCAAGTACAGCAGGAAATGCGTGGAAATAGCGCTGGATCAAATCGTGGCCAGCCACGGCAACGGCGCTGTGGCGTATGCGGGAAGACCGGGCATAATGCGCGAACCTGTCAGGTAGAGATAGAATAATCTGGGCAAGAGTATTCTGAGTAGTTTATATTGATTTACGGCGTTGTGGTTGCGAAATCGTGTTGAATTCCATGTTTTGCTAGTTGGCGTGACCCGTTCGGTTGGGTGACCCGTTCGCTTGTGGACTACGTTGTACACTTCGATTATATAATGTGTCAACTTTGCGATTACAAACACTTGTCCTGACCATAGAGGAGCAAGGAAGCTGAAAAGGGATTGTATCTAGCGCTTTTTCCTATCGGTGGTCTGAAAAGTCTCGGGGCAAGGACTTGCATAGTCTTCTGGCCACGAAAATGCATAATATCTGCTGTGACGTGCAGTGCTATTACCATAGAAGCATGCGAAATTTGCCAGGAGGACGAACAAATAAAGCCGTTGCTGGGAAGAAATGCTGACTATAATGGCACACATTGCGAGGGCGTGCAAAGTAGGCTGTGCTTTTGCTTCTGTAGTGTCGAGCTCGCATGAAGTAACGATGAAAATGCAGCGGTCGTAAAACAAAAAGGAGTTCTTAATCCGCTTGCAAGGACGGCATCTCATGTGAATTATATCCGTCTTGCCGTGCTGAAGCCGCAATAAGAAACATAAAATGGTAGCAGATGAATAAGGAAGCGGTCATACTCGGGCTGTTGCTCATATCTCCTTGCTGGTATGCAACCTGCGGCTTGATGGTTGAATCTTGTTGATGTCGTGCCTGGGGAATTGAAGGTGACAGCTCTAGACAAGACCAAGGTCTTCTCGGATGCTATCCTTACATTCTATAGTTCGCGAAGTGATTCGTGGAACAGAATGGCGAAATATAGATCGGGTTGTAGCTGCATGGTGCCAAAGCGAAGTCGTTACGGTCCAACGCTGAAGCGCTCGATCCTAATGACTCGCGTCGTACCAGTCGAATAGGCTGAGGCGAAAGAATGGGAGTTTGTGAATACGATGAGATTGGTCATGTTCCATGCTCCGGTTCTTTGAATCGATGAGTCGAGGTCTGGGGCACTTGCGACTTTTGAGCTGTCGTGTGCATCTTCTGGGCTCGAGTCTGCATCTGTTGAGCTTTAGTGAATAGCTGAAGGGGTTGAGTTTGCGTCTGTTGCACCAGACTCTGCTGCCTTATCTATTGCTTCCTAAGTGTCGGCTGGGCTTGTAACATTTGAGATGGAGTATGTTGAGAGAGTTGTAGATCTCCAAGTATAAGCTGGCCCAGCATGCTCTAGATCGGGGGCTGAGGTATCTGTGGTGCCTGAGTCTCCGGCGGCTGTACTAATCCCTGGTTTATGAACGCCTCTCGAACCTTCGGAGCTAGAAGTCCATCAATCTTTTGTTGCTTATTTTTTGACACCTCTTCCAAAGGATGTTGTCGCTGTGGACCATAAGTTCGTGGTAGCTGTAACATATGCTGTTTTGTCTTCTCGGCTACTGAATGTTGAGCCGGCCGAGTCCCTAACTTCTCTTCAACAGACTGCAGTTGAGCCGAAGGAGCATAGGTTCGTGGCAACTGTAACAACTTCCTTTTAGGCGTCTCCGCCAGAGACTTTTGAGCCTGCTGGCCTTGCGCTTGCGACGCCAGAGCCGAAGCGGATTGTGGTCCTTCATCCGGTGCCTGAACATTCTGATTCTTGAGATCAACTGAGGCTTCGGACTGGATCATGGGTGTCTTGATATTGGGGGGAACACTTAGCTGTTGCTGGTACCCTTGAGACCATCTTAGCTGCGGAACGCCAACAGACAAGCCCATTTGTTTTTGCTGTGTCTCCTCCATCTGTTGAGCATGTTGAGGCACTGACGTACCGAAGACCGACTGATATGTGCTAGGCACCATGGCAGTTGGGCGGGAAAACAAGGTGGTGTGCTGGTTCTGGGTAGCGTACTGTTTTTGTGCCGAAGATCTTTGTATCGGCTGACTATGTGCGGTGTTCTGTCGTTGCGACTGAAATTCTTGCTTCTGCTGCATAATCGGGCCAGCTGGATATGCTAAAGGCCTCTGGCTGGCTCCAGTGGTGTCTGTGGTCTGTGCCGATAAAGCTTGCTGAGTTGGACGTCGAAGAAGTGGCTTGACCTTTTGAGCCGGTTCCCCCTTTGGTGTAAGGTTTACTTTACTGGGCTTCAGACTCGGCGCTGGTGGAGTTAATTGGGTAGCAGGAACGGTGCTCTTTCTCTCGTGCTGTGGTGAAAATCCCTTCTCACTGTTCGTCGTGGGACCTTGTAGGGGTAGTATCACCGATTTTCTGAGACTACCCGGAATTGGCTCTGATTCTTTCTTGCCATCAGTTGAATAGCGATTGGTGGTAGGCAAAGTACTTTTCCTCTTGCGCGGTGCGGCTCTCTTCTGGCCTCCGGTTGACGGTCCTTGTGGGGTTGACATGGCCATTTGGTTGCCTTTGCCGGCCGTATTTGACTCAAATTCATCATTGCCATTCGTTGAAGCAGGTTGAGTGCTTTTGTTCTTTGGTACTGGCTGGCTGGCCGAGGAAGCGACTTGAGATGGTCCCATCGGAGCTGGTTGATTGCCTTCGCCTCCGAGCTGGTGCCCTTGGCTTTCTCGGCTTGGGATTCCCTGAAGTCCTGAAGCCGAATGTGATGCAAACGCAGCCGCATTGGCTGAAGCTGCGTCTTGCTGATGTGTCTCCCGAAGGACCTCAACACACTTGGGGGCGGGTTTCTTTCCTTGCGAGTCATGTGATGTGGGCTGTTCTAGCAATAATAATCGGTCTTCCCAGTTAAGTGTTCTTGTTGTAGGCTGCGGAGGAGTATCTGCTGACACGGGCTGGGTCGGAGGAGGTGACTGCATCTGAGAAGCTGTTGGCGTATGCTGTGCCGGAAGATGGGACTGAGAGTCTTGAGGATTCGACCCGGCAGCTATAGCTGCTAACTCTTGCGGCGCCGCGAGAGTTTGCTGTCCCGACGGTCCCGGGGTAGTTGGAAGTGGCCCTTGTGCGACAACATTAGACGGTGGCAGAGTTCGAGGCCCGCCTTGTTGATCATCATCACCAGGGCTGGCAGCTCTGCCGTCCAGTTCACATTGGTAATCTGCCATAGCATTCTTCTTCATCTGCTCAAAAGCACCAACGAAAAACTTCATCTCGTCGTACGACGCCGAAGCTGAATGCCGCAGAGACTCTTCTGTTGTAGTGCTTGTAATTTTTTGATTCTCCGCCTGGAGAACCAGCAGAAACGAAAGCACCATTTCGCAAAGGTTGACCTTGTTCCCCGGTTGCTGGTTTTGCTGAAGGAATTCCTGGACTTTGCGGATATACTTCAATGTTTCTTTTCTAAATCCTTCTAGTAAATCGATGTGATAGGCAATGTCACTGTGGGATCGTTGGGCGAACTCGATGAGTCTTATACCGATGACATGTCCCATTTCCAGAAACTGTGAGGCAGACGGAGGATCGTTCTTGGAATTTTGGGTCTCTGCCATTCCTTCCACGAACAACATCGTGATGGCAGACGCGCTAGACTGGGAGTTGCTCGATTGATTGTCGAGCTGGGTACAAGAGAAAGGAATCCCTCAGACGGAGTCCGATTGTCTTGATGATCGATGCCAAAAGAAGGAGATTCAGTATTGATGTTGAGTATCCCCGTGATGACCTGGGGCTGGGCTGGGTGAATATTCCCGTTCTTGGTTGGCCTAGCCAAGGTTTCTATTGACCTTGAATGTGTCAGCTGTGTTCTGGTAGTTACAAAAAGACAAGTCCCTGGAAAGATGGAGCACTCTTACCCAGTCACAGCTTGATTAAGATCCGGTCTATAGACATACCAATTGCTGGCGCAGCCAGAAGTGCTGTGGAATCGAGAATGTCATAAAGAACAGAAAGGTTAATTACAGGATGGGAATCCTTACCAAGTACTGCAGCCGGCATGAGGATGAACACTGGTCAAGGCCCAATTGGTGAGAACAACGTGGGGCAAATGTGATTGGGAATCAAGTTCCTGATGTTTTTGCAGCCACAAGGACATACATGAATTTCCGGGAAGTTACGAATTGAGTATTTCTTGAGGGGATACCTTACCAATATCTTTGTGTGTTGAACTGCATCAATATAGACCACAACAGCATTGGCCAGCAAGCAGTGTTTGTTTTCACGTGAAATAATCTACACCCGTTGGCTTTGGAATTCAACTTAACCACTTGAGTTGGGCACTTCAACCAAGCCTTTGGTCCATTGTTGATGCTAACAGAACCTGAAAGTGATGTTCTCTCTGATTTAAACTACAATTATCTTGAACATGATTGTGAAAGTCCGGCGTGATCATTACGTAGGGGGGTTCTTGGTGCTGCATGAGCAACCTAGGCTAACAAGCCCATAGTTGCGGAGCTCCTTCTAGTGTTTTGACTGACTTGATGTCCCAGGCAACTGTAGTTGTGACCTTTTCGTGTCACACTCGTCCATATTGTTTTGGGACGCTGCCAGGTAATGAGAACAAGCGGCCTCCGTGCGATGAACACCATTGGATGGTTTCTCCCGCCACTGCTCAATACATTGACTTTGGACAACATAATCATCTGACCTTTGTCTGACCTTTTGGTTGAAACCCATGTTGAAGTCCTAGCAACAAGCATTAACCTTTCAAACCTGGAGCCTTTCATTCACTTGGTTGTATCTTGCGACCGTGACAGTCAAAGTCCAGCACTTTGTGGGTCTTCACCTTGCACATGTGCCGCTTTTTCCTCCTTCCCCCTTCTACCGTGTTAAGGATAATAGTCATTCACCCGTTTCGCACAGCATCCTCACCTGCGCCGCACGGTTTCAAGTATTCATGAAAACCTCAGTCATCAACATTGTTCTTTCTATCGCCTCATAGGCTAGAATATAAGGACTGGCATACACCATCGCAACTCTTTGACATCACCTCCATTGGAATTCGGCAGAACCTAGTAAGTACCCGAACATCCACGTGCTTCCTCCTCAGTAGTATCGACCTTTCCATCACCTATCGGGAAAAGAACATGCACACTAAAACTTCTGATTGCAGTTTCCTGTTGCCTTCCATCATTGAGAACATTTGTCCTGGACTATTATGCTGAATTTCAACAAGCTCGGCTTCAGCCCTTGCCCCCTTGGCTAGTCACTTCCAGTAATTCGATACACCCGAGTCCTCAAGCACAGCAACGACTGAAAAATTCCAATCAGCAAAGGTTGAAGGAGCCAGACCGACAACGACTAGCTCCAAATGAAGACATTCGGCCAGCAATGACTGGAGATGTTTGACTAGAAATAACGGAAAAGGTGAAAGTGTTTCCTGTGCCTTCTCCATCGTCGATCAGCTTCGAGAAATCACAAATGACCAAGAAGATTGCGGTAACGATTACAAAAACTTCTGCAGCATCGACTACGCCATCCTAGTTTCGAGAGATTATCAGACACCCAGTCCTTGTGTGGGACCGACGACACCACAGTATCCATTACCTTTCTTGGTCTTGATTATTTCCGGTCACCTCACAACTGTTTAGATCGCGATTGCCCGGTTTATGCCATCAGACCAACTCAAGGCTGCTAACTCACGGCTGCTGAAACCACGACTACCCGTGTTTACCTTTCGGTTCTGTTTACGTCTTCGGGCCCCTCGCGACTTCTGAGATCACGACTGCCTGCGTTTCCGTCTTGGCCTTGGTTTACGCTCGACTTGACTTTACGCCCCAACCTGTGTTGATGTCGTAGTCTTTGTTTACTCCTGCGACCGTTTACATTTCTGTGAGCTGGTTCCAGACGTAAGCTAATTCCTTTGGACTCAGGCTATCACAGTAACAACTACATTTTTCTCGCCGGCAGTTATTCCTGCCATTTCACGGATTCAGACAGTGGAATTATCTGCTCTGCAATTGCACTTTTGCTGAAAATCCCTAGGTATATCATGACCTCGTAACTCATAATTATTTGCAGTTGGAATTTTGCTGACTTTCGCTAGGTGCCTCGGGAATTTTATAATCAAGACTGTCTGCGCTTATAATTTCGATAAGCCATTTGAGATAAAAGAAGTGGGCAGGAAGGTTATACGTATTGGTCACGAGTTATATCTGATACCTCGTATATCAGGAAACTCTGTGCCGGTTTTTTGCTGAGAAGTTCCCTCCTATACCCAAGGTTTGGTCACCATATCTCATCAACATCGAGCTTGCCTAAACACCATGTGCCTCTACTGGTACTACATATGTAGCCATTGCTACCATGGGTACGTTCGTTTCGTACAGACGTGCAACCATTATCGCCCGCCTCTCAGGCACTGCCCTGTGGGAAGTCGATTCGAATTTCAAATTGTTGCCCCTGGCCTTTGTTACCTGCACCCACTCCATGCAGCGAATATCCTTCATGGGTATCATGGGTACCATGAGGTGGCCATGATCAATGGGCGGCCTATGCCGACTGGACGGACAAGCTATGGTGACCGTTACTTGCCAGTTGACTGGCAAGCTGTTGAAGAATCTCAAGCACGAAACGACCCAGATTCCTATGGTGGAGTCCAGCTCAGTCAGCACGGCGACTCAGGTCAATACATGCATCATGGTGAAATGGCGCCTCAACAAAACTCTTATCCTCGGAAAAGTCCGCAGAATCCCGCAGATGAACGAACTTGGCAACAGAGCCACGGTCCCAATACGACTTACATGGCATGCAATGATGGCCAGCGCCGGGTATACAGCACTGGATCCCATTACCACCCTCCTGGTACTGGAGATTCTCAAGAAGGCCGAGATACCGCAGTCATCTTTGCTCAGGGGTCAAATGTTGCACAGAGCACTAACGAAGATGCGGCGCAGCCCTTGATTGGTAGTCCCGTCGATCAGAATATTGCAGTTCGAGAAAAACAATGGCGAGTTCAGCCAGCCTACGGGAGTATCCCAAGCAACACGCCCAGTCACAGCACCTCACAAAAAGGAAACCCTTCAACTGAGGCCCTGTATGCACGCACACCAAATATCGGATCAGCGAACGCTGCTGCTATTAACAGTTCACCTGTTACTCATGTTAAGGACTTATTTCCTCCTACACCTCATGCAGAACACAAACCAGTAGTGCCTGAGTCTCAGTTCGATATGCCGGAGGGTGTAGCAGGCAATAATGATTCCACCTCAACTCCATCCCTCCCAAATCCCCCCTTCTCAGGTCAGCCCAATGTTTTTGAAGATGAGAACTCCAACGACTTTGACACCTCTTCAAAAAAGGGCAAGCTTGCTATGTGGAATGGCATCATACCAGTTATTGAACATGACAATGAATCCAGTGTGCAGTCCGCTGCCACTCTTCCAGGGCCCAGTGGTTCTGTATCTTCGAACATGACCTCCGGCGAAGGAGGAAATGATTTCGAGAATGTTGCAATACCTCAGCCTCCTCTCAAGGGTGGTTTTGCTAAATACCTCCGGAACATGGATCTACTTGGAAATGCGGTTGCTGTGACTGAAGGATCATTAACCCCTCCCAGTGCGGTAGTTCCCAAGTTCACATGCAAAGAACGAGGCTCTATGGGTACAGAAAATAGCCACCCTTCTCACTTGTCGATTTCATTGAGTTCGGGGAATCATCAAGATCATACACAGGTCGAAAAGGCCCCCAATTCAGAAACCGCACATAGCAGACCACCACAGTTATCTTGGGCTGATATGGAAGAAGAGGATGATGATGATGATGAGGGTTGGTCTAAAAGAATTCTTGTGAAGCTCACGTTGAGTCCTGAAACCAAAGTTACCAAGACCTCAGAAAACAATACGGCTGGAAATGTTGGACCCCCGAGCCAGTCATCAACCAATGAGCCCCTGAGCCAAGTCATCAGTGTCAAGAAGGAGCTCATAGGTCATGAACTCTATGCGACCCCTTCAGCACAGACTGCCATGCAAAGTTCTGAAGTTAAGGAGGAATCACAAGGTCCACGATCGTTACCTAAAGAGCAGCAGCCTTCACTGAGTACATCGGCCGAGGAAACCACAGCTGGAACAAAGCACGACATCATAGCCAAAGGTATTTTCCCATCACCTCCACGCAGACCAAAAAGCTGATGAAGAAAGGCACCAAGAGCACCTTTTGTCCAACGCTAGGATCTGCATCGCACCTTCACCACACGGTTGCCAGAACTGTGATTTCACCTTCCTTGCAAAAGTCCACGGTGACCACACAAGTTCCCGCTGCCGCGAAGTCATCTAGCGAAAGTTCTTCATTGCCAGCTTTCTCGGAGCAAATTGAAGAAAAGGCTGCACACCCACCTTCCTCACAAGAAAACAAAAGCGGGACTCTCGCACTAGCTTCATCACAACCATTTCAGAGTAGCAAATCTAGGCCGGCTTTTTCAGAGCATGAAAACATCACCAAGAAACCTGAAGCTGCGGAAAATCAAGATCTCTACGACACGCACAATGTGCCCAGTGGCCAATTCCAGAATACCGCCCACTCTACCTACTCACAAGCTGCTTTAAAAAACTTCAAGCCCGAAACAAAAGTCACATATTCACGAATAATTCAGGGAGACCCGCAAGTTGTGACTTCACCCACCCTAGCAAAAACAACTACACAAGCACCAGAAACTCGCAAAGACACAGAGAGGTCTATAGAGAGACCTCAACCATCCATCATTCGGTCACAATCTACAACATACGCACTAGAGATAGTCGGCAAAACTGACGAGCACAGCAACATTGAATCACCTGCCGTGATTCGGGCACGACGAATAACACAAGAGACAGGCGACGAGACTGACGCACACAGTAACACTGATTCACCTTCACAGATTAATCTAGAAGCAGCATCTGGCACAATGGCCGGCCAGAAGAAACTTCTTCCGCTCCTTCAACCCCTTCCGCCCACGTCGCCAAAGGAAAAGCTTGTCATCGCTGCACTACCTATGTCCACTCCGGTAGATAAGCCTGGCACCTGGGCTTCACAGCTTGTGGAGCAGAAGGAGCAGCAGCAGTCAAATGTCACTCCTGCATCACAGTCTCTGACTGAACGCACTTTGCAGATCGATGAATGGGAAGGTACTATGTCACTTGGACCCGCTAGTACCGATGTTGAGCATCCGGGTGGTTCGCTGGGACTAGGCCACGATGCCACAACAGGACCCAGAACCGCATCTGGACCCACATCAGGCCGAACACTCGGGGCCGTTGCCTTGAAAGGAGCTACAACGCCCGTACCTGCCAATTATGGGAGTGGGAAGCAAATTAGTCAGCCTACCACACAAGTTGAAACTTCCTTTGCAACTCCCCCCATCCAGGTTGGCCGAGCTTATGCTTCGACAACCCTTAGAGCCGACGCAGCGGTTTTCACTCCCAGTCCACGTGACAACAGCTTGCTTGACTATATGAAGAGCCATCAGTCATCAAAGGCGTCTCGCAAGTCCTCTTCTTCTATGTTGAAAAAGCAGACCGAGGATGTTCAGGCGACTGTAAAATCTTCCCAGCCTGTCTCGAAGGGTACGACCCCAGAGAATCCAACTGGCGCCAGATATGGCCCCTATTACAGAAAGCCCACATTATCGACCCCAGACAACAGCATGTATGACAGCCCTTTGGATACAAAATCGTCTCGGTCTTTCTCTATGAACAAGCCTCACCAGACATCTGCTCCTGCCGAGTCTACTCATTCAACAAGCGATTTGTTTACTTCCACTTCGGGAAATCAGACTCAGGAGACATCCAATTCCACGAAGTATACCGAGCTATCGGGAAAGCCCAGTGTGTCTGTGCTGAGAATAAAGATTCTCGAGTCTCCATCGGCTGAGACCAAAAGGTTGGAGTCGAAGAGCCAATCTTCGGCGGAGACTCGCCCCGTTGAGAAATCAACTTCGTCGTCTGCCAATACCGCTAATCTAGGCATCCCTTCTGCTTCCACGGCATTTCGAAAAGTTTCGAAGAAGGAATCCAAGACCCGCGCTCTCGAGCAATCTACAGGTATTTCCACGGAGCCTTTTGGGAAGATTTCGACTGCTGCACCTACTGCAAAAAGCATGACCAGCCCCCTCCTTGGAATCGCCACACCTAGCCACAAGCCTGCGGTCAGTGTTCCACATTCCAGCGCCCAAGGTCCCACGCCCGTATCTCCGCTTAAGACGGAAATGAATTACCGAGACAAGCTGAAAAAGAATCTGCCCGGTCGAACTACCGCCCCTTCAGCCGAGACCCCATGGCCAACCATCCCTGGTGCAGGATGGTCTACATCTAGAATTTCGCCTTCCACGGGTCAAGAAAAAGGCTCTCGCGGATTTGGAGGATTTTCTCATGCCTATTCTAATAGCAACAGTGATATCCAAGCCAAGCCCTTGGCTCACACGAAGACCGCTGCTTCCGTTGTAACTACTTCTCAACCATTCTCTTCCATTTCCCCCGAGTCCAAGCGGTACGGTACCTTCCGTCCCATGTCGACGAAGACACCCGAAAACCAGCCCTTCGAGCCGCCGACCCGTCTGAGCCCTGACAAAAAGCCCTTCACGTCGCAAGAAGACTCGATCGACAAGTTAATGAAGGACAACACTAGAGCTTCGTTCTCCTGTTACCCGCAAATCAGTATCCAGAGCTCATCCTTCGTGTCCAGGTCAGATGAGCCCAATTCGGACGAGCCTAAGCCCGATAAGCCCAGATGGAACCCTTTCGACCCGAAGGGCATCGAGGGGCATCGTCGCGGAGCAACCGCAATGTACCTCAGCATTGAGGAGTCTGAGTGACGATTGCCACAGCCGATGAGACAGTTCCTCAACGCGGGTGACAGCAATACCTCCTCGTCGGGCAATTGTGTATACCATATCCCGTTGGGTGGTAGTCAGGCCGGTATTTCGGAGGATTGCAGTTTTCACACTTCCAAAGAGTGATAATCGGAGGAAGAGGAGTGCAGGAGGGGTTGAGATGAGAAAAGAACGGAGAAAAAGAGACAAAATCGGAGAAAATTAGAGAAATTAGAGAAGGGGGAAAGGAAACTGAGGAACTTCATAAAAATGTAGAGTAAACACAGATAGTAGCCCCCATTCTGAAAAGGGGTATAGGGGACTTGCATGAGCTGATAAAGATAGTGGCCACCCTTCCGGACAGGGGCACACCAACACTTTCACGAGCTAAGACTGATAATGGCTCTTTTCGATTCTATAATGAAATCTCTGATTTCGAGGCTCTCTTACCCAACAGTGAAAGACCGTTTATTAACCGAGTCACCTACTCCGTGAAATAAACCAGTTGTGTTCCTGCCTACCTGTCGATTGACGAGGGAAGATTAGGATCCACTTCCATATATTGCTTACTTTCAACTCCACTCATTCCCCGAAGCGACGGGAATCCAGCCCCGCCAAGTATTCCACCATGTTGAGTTGGTGGCAGTCTACAGTTATTTTGGTCGGGGCCTATCTATTCTTTCTAGAGTTGCTTTGGGGGTTCGTTGCCTTAGTTGGCGTCCATTCTCTTGTTCTACGGTAGTTTTGTTTCGCGACCATTCGTCTCTCTAGGATTGTTTCTTAATATACTCTTGTTTGTTCTCTTTTCTAAATATTTACAAGTGGAGATCTCTATAGACCAAGCTTGCTAGTTGTTTTGGTATGTTATGACCTCTTACGAACATGTGATTTGTATCAGGGCATACTTCTTGGTTAGTAATTGTGACAAGTCTCCTGCTAACCATAAATGGCTAGTTACTGTGACATTAACCATAACAGTAACCGTTCCTAGCTGCAAAGCCAGCCGAAACAGGAATATCGATCGGCAGGATGCATGCACTTGCAAGACGCATGCCACTTACAGATCCAGTTATACCTATAGAGGAATGACTGCATTTATCCTTGTAGAGATGGTTGCATTACGTTACTGCCTCAAAGACTAACCGAGCCAACTCAACTGAGTAAGAGCTTGACGTACCTCCAGCGATCTGCAATACACAGGGACGAATGAATATAAAAGCGGGCTCGAATCTCCATTATACATCTGTCTTGCTGAACTCGCAATAATGCATCACAGTCATCCTATTGCACCGCATAGAAACTGAGAAAGATATAACTTAACAAACATGCTCTAAGTTGCACAGTTTGGCTCTCTCCTCGGGCCCCAAGAAATCATGCAGTCCTCGCAGTTAGTCCCCTTTACCATCGAGAGTGTCTTGGCGGGCATGCGTTCCTGGCCCGACTCGCCGGACCTGTACCGCATCCGCCTTCGGCCTGCACACGTCCCTGGTGGCAGACTGACCATTAAGTACTTAGCTGCACCGAACACGAGCAAGATCTTCACTGGGTCCGATGCTCACCGCCGTAGACACGACAACCTCTCTTTCAACAGGATCCCTGCCGGCGACTGGGTTGTCGGTCGGCTTGTTGCCAAGGAGGAACGCAATGACGGCGAGGGAGGCAAGCTTGAGCTCACATCAACCGAGACTGATGCGGCCGCTCTTAGAGGCCGGAGGCTGGCCAGCGCCGAGCCCGTCTGGTGTGGCGGGATTGTCGACGAGAGTGACTGCCACGACTTGTCGGACCGCTGGACTACCATCATCAATGCAGCCGGGCAGCAGTTCAGCGTCCCCAAGCCCAGAGATCTCCATAGCATGGCTATGTCTCCGCATCAATCATCGCTACCCCTAGCCAAGCTGTGATGGATGTAGCGGAGGTAGTTCGTGTATCGGAATGGTTTCTCGGGCACTGGCAGGGCATTGAGAATCAAACCCGTACCCACCAGATTATCCAGTCGCGCGATCCCGGGCTGGCGCCGCGCTTCCTGGCGCATGTTACCGAGAACCATTCACAAGTGATCGAGTTCCTGCTTAAGCATATCCCTGACGCTCACAAGGCCAGCCTCCCAAACCTAGAGAAGTGCAAGGCTGCCCTGGCCCAGCTGCACGCCCTCGGCATCGTAAAAAGTCAGTTGCAACGACACTCCTTCCTTGTGCGGGACGATTGTTCCGTCCTGATCCAGGGGCCTTTCGACGCCCACCTGGTGGACGTTGGCGACAATGACGAGATCATGAAGATGGAGATGGAGAGCCTCGAAGCAGTCCTTGCCCGAAGTCCATCTGTGTATCAAGACCAGTCGGCAAGGATACTCAGGATGGTCGATCCTCAGAGGTCAAAATTGTTCGAGGATTTTGAGAAGGCAGATGGGTTTGTGGTGCCCTTCGCGTACTGACAGGACTCTTACGAGGGCGGCCAACTTATCACGCTTACGATTGAACAGCACAGTTTTTTTTTGGCTAAGAAGTATAAAGAGAATGGCTCCCGCTGGACGAAGGAGCTCCAGAAGCAAGCAGAGAAGCATTTTGGGCCCTCCGCAGAGGCCGTTTGACACAGTTGTCTGATGGCAACGATATCAATGATTTTGGGTAGTATTTTGGAGGGATTGGCAGATTGAAGGAATCGGCGTTTGATTCTACGCAGGTTCTTTGGGAGCAACGTATGTCAATATGTTTCTAATCAAAGCACAATAAAGCCAACTAGTAGGGGCGAGGCTCTATAACTAGTGGTGAATGAGACCCGAACACTAATAAGTCAAAGATCATAGGATGATAAAATATTGCATACATTTGCCGTCTACGCTATGTGTACACTCGTGATTAGCAATTGTCACTTCTTAAAGGTTGCATAACTAAACTAAAAAATAATAATTCAAATAGGACGGAAAAAATAGGACTAGCAGCCTTCTTATTCAAGACAGGGGCTTTTGGCGTGTACTCGCCGCTATGCCGCTGTGGCGACGCCCCTAAGACGGCAGAGCACGTAATCCTCTTTTGCGGGCTGTTGGAAGGACCGAGGGAACGATTACGGGCCGCTATCGCACCACGGCCACTATACTCTCGCAGAGACCTCGCAACGGCAACAGGAGAACCAGTAGTTAGTGGGACTATTGTAAGGTGGCTGCTAGGGACGGGTCGGACAGCTTCAAGGCCCAGATAGCATCGATCTTCTTAGGGGGGACTTTGTTGGTAGGTTTAGAACCAGCGTAGTATGGTAGTGAACGCAATGCAGTCGCCAATAGGGCGAACCGACGACGCAGCGTATGTATTTAGTCCAGCCATTAGGGCACGGTTTGACATACGGGAGTACTAGTAGAGGTACCGGGGGCTTCGAGCCTACGGCGTATTTAATAATAATAATAATTCAAACTAACGTGATCCACAAGTCATTTTCGCACACAAGTCACTTTCGCACTTTTTCAAATATTTCAACCTTTTAACTTAGCTTGCACTTTTCTTCCCTCCCACAACATGCCTCGTAAATCCAAAGAAGCCGATCTTCAGCTAGCTATCCAAGCTAAAAAGCGCAACCCTGAAATTTCATGGCGTAAGCTTGGCCGTATCTACAACGTTTGCGACCGTACACTAAAGAATCGATTCGACGGCGACCAAACGCGACACGAAGCTAATATGTTAAAACGAAATCTAACTCAAACCGAAGAGGATTCGATTTCCCGACGTATAATTGAGCTAGATGCGCGAGCATTTCCTCCTCGGCTTCGATACGTTAAAGAAATGGCGAATATCCTACGACGCGTACGCGACGCGCCCCCCGTCGGCAAGAACTGGACCACGAACTTCGTTAACCGCCGACAAGACCTCCGAACGCGTTTAAACCGTCGAATTGATTACCAGAGGGTATTTAGCGAAGATCCTATCGCGTATTACGCGTGGTTTGAGCTTGTTAGGGACACAATCGCTAAATACGGTATCCTACCGGAGGATATCTACAACTTTGACGAGACGGGCTTCCTAAAGGGCATAATCACAACCGGTATGGTTGTAACGAGTGCAGAAAGACACGGACGGCCTAGACAGGCTACACAAGGAGGTCGGGAATGGGTTACGGTGATCCAGGCTATTAATTCGCAAGGTTGGGCGGTACCGCCGTACATCATCTTCGCGGGCAAGGTTCATCTTGCTTCGTGGTATCGCGGTAACGACCTACCGGCCAACTGGAAGGTCGACCTTTCCCATAACGGTTGGACTACTAATAATATTGGTGTGGAATGGGCAAAACACTTTGTTCAACATATTATTAGCCGTCGTAAGGGTGCGAAAAGTCTCTTAATATTGGATGGTCACGAGAGCCACCACTCGATGGATTTTGAGACTTACCTCGCGGCGCACGGCGTAATTACATTGTGTATGCCTTCCCATTCATCCCACAAGCTCCAGCCTTTGTATTTGGTACCTTTTAGTGTGTTGAAACGGCTGTACGGTGCGTTCGTGGAGGGTTTAATGCGAAGGCATCAAACCCATATTGAGAAGCAGGATTTCTTAGCTGGATTTTTAGAAGCTTTCATTGGTGCTTTTCACAAAAAAAACATCAGATCAGGATTCGAAGCAGCTGGACTTGTTCCTTTTAACCCGGATAGGGTCATATCTACGTTGGATATCGCAAAAGTAGTACGAACACCGACACTCGACCCCCAATTGCCTCCCTCCGTCTGGGTTTCTAAGACGCCTACCAACACCCTCGAAGCCGAATCGCAGTCAACTTTGATTAAAAGTAGCGTCCAGAGGCATCAAGACAGCTCGCCGACGCATATTTTGAACTCAATTAACTCGACTACGAAGGCTACGCATGCAATGATACATGAGAATGCATTATTACGTCGGGAGAACGAAGAGCTTCGTGAGACGAACCATATACTAAGTAAGCGTCGTAGGACGAAAAATAAGAAAATCCAATATGGAGGAGCACTTAGTATAGGTGATGCACAAGTTTTACGGGCCTTGAGGGGTGATATCAAGGTTATGGAGGAGGAAGAAGGGGAAAGCAGTCGTCCTGTAAAGCGCCGGCAGACCGGTATAAGGCGCTGTGGTATTTGCGGAGGGACTGGACATAATACAAGGACTTGTTCAATAGAAGTAGAAACTGATAATGAAGAAGATTTTGAGTAATTTAAAGGATAAAATGCGGGTTATGCATAGGATATTACTGAATTACTTGAAGGTGCCAAGAAAAGTGCGAAAGTGACTTGTGTGCGAAAATGACTTGTGGATCACGTTAATCGGAATCCTCCTCCTCGTACGTATCTTTATCATTCTCACAAGTACGAGCATTATGTCCGGGCTCTCCGCAGATCCTACAGCGCCGTCGGCGTGGTTCGGCCGCTCTCGTACGACGACGACTTACACGTATATCATCCTTGTCAGAGAACAGAATGCCATAGGCACCGGTGGGACACCGGTGGGGCTCTGGTGTAGGAATGTGCGAGTCATGACGATATGGAAGTCTTGGTTTGCGGAACAATCGGGGAAACTAGTGCTCCGCGGCTCCGACGTCGGGTTCTAGCTATCTATGTAAGGGGCGGAGGCCCGGGAAGAAGATAGAGGGAGAGTAGAGATCAATGCATCACCGTGGGCACCCCTACCTGAGACCGCCAGTGACCACCCGGTATTACGTAGGAGGGACGCCCGTTACTCCCCATCACTCTGTACTATCGCCTTCGGCCTAGCCGTACCCTGACAATCCTGTAGCTGCTGTTCAATATCCCGTTCAGACTGTAAGTCCTGAGCGTCTCGTAAACTAAGAGATCCTCCATCTTGTAGCTGTCGATTTTTAGTCCTTCGACGACGGCTTAGCTCTTTATTGGCCTTCCGAAGTGTAGTAACCTCATCCTCAAGTAAAACTAACCGATGCTGACGACGGGCAGTGAAACCACCCGCAGGTTTAAGGTGTGAAGATGATGGCAACGAATAACAAGATCCTCAACAAGACCTTACTATCCGGGAGGTGGAAAGAAATAACAAGATCAAGAGCTCCTTGCCCTGATCGGAACGACAAGTACCTCAACAGGTACTAACAACTGTAGCCTCAGCAGGCTGGGGAAGAAAAGGAACCTCAACTGGTGAAAGATGGGAACAATGGCCTCAACAGGCACAATCAGATCTATAGGGGAACAGAAAGTACCTCAACAGGTACGTCAGACATTGAATGCCTGTCCAAGTAAAGAGAAATTGGTTCAGATTACTGTGGAAAAGGCCGCTTGAATTCCTATCTTTTTCTCAAGAGAGTGACTATGTACATAAGGTCTTAAATACCCTTCAAGAACGCGCTTACATAACTCATCTGAAACCGGAAAAAACGAAAACGAGCACCCAAAAACCCTAACCCCACGTCAATGCATAACAGCCGTCGCACCACGTGAAAATTGGTCAATAGCCGTAAGTATTGTCGTCGGGGAGCTATTCTGATACTGTACGATTCTGTTATTAACGTATTCAGACTGGGATTGCGCCTCGGTTGGGTTATTTGGAGTCTTTGATTCCCAGATTAAGGGGGTCCCAGGAGGTGTAGGCGTATGTAGCTTAATATCCAGCTGTGAAATCACATATTCCGGGTCGTACGGAATAAGTCCTGTCCCCCTAAAACCTGCCTGGATATTCGACTTAGTTATAGTCGTACGATACGCCCTATAGAATGCCGAAAAGAAATCCTCCTTCGAGATATGGGTTATATGCGCCCGTATTAGGTCTTCAATTTCTTTGCCGTACGACCTTTTCAAAGCCCTAAAACAGCCTACATCGAGAGGCTGGAGCTTATGTGACGAATGAGCAGGCATACTAAGTGTAATAATAGTATGCTCTTTGCAATATAGCTCGAAGTCAGTCGAGTGGTGGCTCTCATGCCCGTCGAGGATAAGAAGACGATAAACACCCTTCGTACGATCCTTCGTATAGCGATCAAAGTGCTGAATCCAGTCTACGCCTCGCTCATTTGTTGTGCAACCGTTTTTGGTTACAGCGATTACCCAATCGGACGGGAATGGGCTATTCTCGTACCAGGATAAGAGGTGGTTTTGACCCGCGACAATAATATACGGCGGGATAGCCCAGCCGGACGAATTAATACCCTGGATTACTGTAGCCCATTCTCAATTGCCTTGTTGGACTGTACAAGGCCTTCCGCGTCGTTCGGCACTTGTAACTCCTATCTCGGATGAGATTAAGCCCATCGCGAACCCTGTCTCGTCGAAGTTATAGATATCCGCCTCTTGGGTACCATATTTCGCAATTGTATTTCGTACGAGCGTAAATAACGCACGATACGCGTCAGGATCTTCGAAATAGGCTCGTTGGTAGTCGATTCTTCGATTAAAACGCGTCCGAAGGTCTGGTTGTCGTCGTACGAAGTTCGAGGCCTAGTTGACGCCGACGCGTCCAGCGCCACGGTCACGGAGCAGTCGGTTAGCCATAGCTTCAACACCATGGAGCTGGGGAGGAAATGATCGCGAATCTAGGTCAAGTATGTATTGTACGACCGCTAACTCTTCTGATTCCGTAAGCTTATGACTAGATTGTCGAGTATCGCGTCGAGATAGTAGTCCGCGTTTTCGGTTAGCTAGAGTTGTACGAGGGACATTGTAGAGTTGGGCAGCGCGTCGGATGCTTAATTCGGGTTTCGATTGAAGCGCCTGACACGCTAGAATCATGTCGCTTTCTTTCCAATTCGATCCCATTTTGGTATGTGTAAAGATGTTAATTAAAAGGTTGTTCGTACAGTGCCAAGAAAAAGTGGCCAACTTGCTTGTGTGGCCAACTTGCTTGTGGGGTACGTTAGCGTTCATAATCGAGTTAATTAACTTCAAAATATACGTCGGCGAGCTATCTTAATACCTCTAGACGCTACTTTTAATTAAAGTTAACTACGATTCGGCTTCGAGGGTATTAGTAGTGAAACGGGGTCAGGCGGTCAGTAGGATATACCTACCACCTAACACACTGAACAGACGGCTCCAGTACCAACAGATCTAATCTGTTGGTCTGATCAGACGAAGATCGTGGTACTGGTTGCAAGACCGAAGCTCTTATACGTCTGGTGCGCGAGTTGGTCGGATGTGCCTCTGATACTCGTATCGTGATAATAGGATCTCGAACGTAAAGATAAGCTGAATAACTAAAATAACTAAATAACTGACTAAAAAGCGAAGGTGAAGATACAGATAAGAAGGAGATGATCATATGAAGATGAGGATGATGATGCGTGAAGATGGAGGACTCGTGTCCTACTCTGCCTCTGTGCCCTTAAAGAAGAGAAAATAAACTTTCTCCTAGCCCCGTAACCTATTTCCCTGATGTCCGGCCTTACCCCGTTACATTCCTCCCCTATAGGTTCGTCTCTGTCCCCAGAGACAGTCGAACCTATATAAAATAAATAATAATATTAAATACGCCGTAGGTGTTAACCCTCGGTACCTCTACAAGTACTCCCTTAAGGGGCTATAGATGATATAGCGGGCCCTTAAGCCGCGTCGGGCGGTTATACAGGTAAACTTGTAGCCAAACGACTACTAAACCTCCTGTCCCTCCCTAAGTCTGTGCTACAACCCCTGCCTGAACTACCGATAAGTGTGGTAATGTGGCACTTAAATTCGTCCTCAGGGGTGGGATGCTGCTGATGTGCAGAAGATGCTCGACTATTTTTTGTCGCGACAAGTCGTAGTATCTGCTAATTGGGGTTCTCTTGGAGCGTATACATCTCAACCATACGCTCAAGTGGATAGACCGTAACGTGGTCTAGACGCTCGCAAGAATCGCGGCGAGAGGGGGTCCGATAAGGGGTCGGATTAACGATTCGAATTCTGGACCGGCTGTCGAGTTATATTCCGCCGACGTAGTGCTTGACGGTCGACTGGCTAGGATGCTCGTAATCCTAAACTGCACCAATCTCCCTATTATCGCTAGGTAGGCGAAGTCAACAAGGTGGGCAGCGCGCCGTAAGGGTTGACTAAACCCCCTTGTGTGTCAGCTGCGGGATTCGAACCCGCGACTCGTCACCGACCCAAGTGGGCGAGGCTCAAGTCGGGACTTATCTACCAGCGAAGTGACCAACTACACTAGCCGACCATATAAAATAAAGGGTAAGGCAAAGGTCTTCCTGTTGGACCTTCAAGGCTACTCCGTCAAGACTGCCAAGTCAAAAGGAGAAAAGTAAAGCCGCAAACCGTACGAAGTATGGGTCAATATGACCTCTACCCATTGAACCACACAAGTCCTGGCTGTGGGGCAGGCATCAGTCATTTCTGACTATATAAGGCCCTTATGGCCGCCCTTTGCTTCTCTCTCGACTCTCCAGAGATCATGACACTTTCAATACAAGACCATTTGCCCACAATCCAATACTTCCTCTAATCATATCAGCGGTGTCTTTCGAGAAAGAAAAAAATTTGGAGGGGGGGGGGAGGGTTGATAGTCTGATCAGACGACTTGTGTCCGAATCCTGTGTCCTACGCACCACAGTCTTCCTCTCGTAGCCTTATCATCCGACTGAAGTATTCTCTCCTCCCCAGAACGTACTTCTCCTCTTTCCTCCCCAGGACTCTCTTCTTTTTCCACTTATCTTCCTGCCAGTCAAAGTCGCAGGACGGAGTAACAAGGTCCTCAAAGTCCGCCTCTCTCGATTCTGCCTGGCTGTCCGGTAGGTGGGAAGGTACGGCCAAGTACAGGGCTACAAAACCCCGCCCCAAAACCAGAAGTAACCATCATAGAAGAAGAAAAAAAAACATCCTTTTTTTGGCCTTCATATAAATCTCCGGTATCTTCCTCGTCCTCTTTAGTAGCTTCCGAATCTTCTTCCTTGACAAGCTCCTCCGAGAAGTGTAGTCTACTTCCAGACCGAATAGTAGGACTGTCTGACTGCTCGTATCAATCCTCTTAGCAGCGGTAGTCCTCTTATCGACAGTAGCCTCGTCCGCGGCGGTGGTCCTCTTAGTATCAGTAGTCTTGTTCACAGCGGTGGTCCTCTTAGTATCAGCAGTCTCGTTCCTCTTCGTCTGATCAGACGGCTGCAAAAACGGTTCAACTGTCGTGCTGTCCAAATCTTCGACTATCAACCTAGTGAGGATCTTGGTAACTACAAGGTCAGCTGATCGGACGTCGGGACTAAGGGCTGTGTTCGTCTTCGCTGTCTCTGGCTGTACTAGTCCTGGCGTCTGTAGTCGATTATCCTGTACTTGCGGCGGCTGAGAGGAGCTCTGAATCTGGAGAGTGCTCGTATCATTCTTCGTAATACCAAAGTCTCGTCTAAGATAATAGGCCGCAAGCCGCTGGAATTGAGGATCAAGGTTGTTCGACATGACCCAGTCGCACACCTCTCGTAGGATAGACTTGCCCTCCTGCGTCGCCTTTCTCTCGATATATGTCAGTACCTGAATCGCAGTCTGTCTTTTGTAGTCTCCTCCGAGGAAGTAGGCTCTATCCATTGGGTCCCATCGGAGAAAGCCGTCGCGATTCAAATCTTCAAGTATACCGCACTGTGAGACAAGATGGCCAGGCATAGTACAGAAGACACATTTCCTGGTTGTCGTGCCCCATCGATTCGGATACGGACGGTGTTGTCTGGTCTCGTAGTCGTACAGCTGTCCTTGACGAGAGATGTCTTGACGAGGGCTGTCTTGATGAGGGATATCTTGACGAGGGATATCTTGACGAGGGATATCTTGACGAGGGCTGTCTTGACGAGGGCTGTCTTGAGTCCTGACCGTATTTCCTTGGGCCTGGTGTACGACCTGCTATATGAGTGGCTGACAGCCCCATAGCTGCTGTGGCCGGTACGCAGTCCTTATGTCTTCCATCTGGTGTCTCCGATCAGACGGACCTACTTGGTATAACCGTATCTCCAAGGCTCTGAGCCTCTCCGTGAGAGCAGTCACATCTGGCTGGCTTTCCTCTTGTCCTTTCTTGCCCTGATCAGACGGAAAATATCTCTTGGCTCGTTTGTTGTGGTTTTCCAGATCGACCTTAGTCTTCGCCCATCCTCGGCCTAACTTCTGGGCTAGGAGGTACTCCATCTTGAAGATCTCTTCGTACGTCATATCAGCTTTGCTTATGATGTCTTCAAGGCTGTGGCTGTGGATCCTCTCAAACAAGCCTCGAGTGCAGTCAAGATCGCTTAGGATTCGAGTAGTATCCTTCGTCTCATTAACCAGGATCTCATGGTCAAGACAGTACGTGTAGATCTTCGACGGATTCGATAGCCGGGGCTGGTTCTCGAGGTCTTTCAGGCGCTGGTATGCACTTCGTAGTTGTCTAGGATCTCCGAATGCAAAGGTACTTTTCAAAGCCTTCACCACAGCACTCCTGCTGTCAAGTTGATCGATAGCGTCCTCCACCCTTTTCTGATGCGTCCTGTCCTTAGTCCAGTACTGGATTTCGGCAATCTTTTGAGCATCACTGAGTCGAGCTCTCTCAAAGATCCGATCGACCTGCTCAATCCAGTCGGATACGTCATCGCCGTCAAAGCGTAGGTGTGGGTATTGCGCTACATCGGGGATCATATATAGCATAGCAAAAGCTTGAGCCATTTTGATCGGATTCTCGGCGGTCTTGACGAGAGTAGTCTGGTCAGTCCTAGGCGAGTAATGGATTCCGTGCGTCTCGCCGTATGGTCTCTCTCTGTGTCTGAGTCTTATATCGTCTGTCGCATCTCTGTATCCGAGTCTCTGTCTTCTGTGATGCTCTCGGTCCTGTGCCGTTGTTTCTCTTGTCGATACTCTTGATGCTCTTGTCCTTCTTGTCGATGCCGATTGTCGTATGTCTGTCTCTCCTTGATGCTGTGCTCTGTGCTCTGTGCTCTCCTCTTCTCTTATCTCTCTGTATTTTATCTTCTAAATAAGAGTTCAAGAGCTGTGTGCCGAGCTGAGCTGTGTGCCAAATCCCTATCCATATCCTGTTGATAAGGCCGTCATGGCTTCGGCAGTCTCGGAAGCCTGTACTTCCTCTTCGAATTCCCACATTCGCTGTCCTTATCGTCGATTCGTAGACAGAAACTTTGGAGCCCCGCCCTTCTGAGTTTGTCGGTCTTAACTCTATGTCCGAGGCTTCCGTGTCTTCCGTGTCCTTAGCAGAAGCATTTGGGGGTCTCCATCATTCCCTCTTCGCGACTGATCGGGTGTCTTCAATAATCGCGATCCGACGAGAGATCCTGAAGAGTACAGTCCGCTGAGCGAGAGATTCAGTGCCGTAAAGCCTCCGAATTGTGTAGCCTCCCTCTGATCACCATTGAAACGGGGTCAGGCGGTCAGTAGGATATACCTACCACCTAACACACTGAACAGACGGCTCCAGTACCAACAGATCCCATCTGTTCGTCTTATCAGACGAAGATCGTGGTACTGGTTATAACAGCGAAGCTCTTATACGTCTGGTGCGCGAGTTGGTCGGATGTGCCTCTGATACTCGTATCGTGATAATAGGATCTCGAACGTAACGATAAGCTGAATAACTAAAATAACTAAATAACTGACTGAAAAGCGAAGGTGAAGATATAGATAAGAAGGAGATGATGATATGAGAATGAGGATGATGATGCGTGAAGATGGGGAATTCGTGTCCTACTCTGCCTCTGTGCCTCTTAAAGAAGAGAAAATAAACTTTCTCCTAGCCCCGTAACCTTTTCCCTGATGTCCGGCCTTACCCCGTTACAATAGTCGTGCCTTCCATTTCTGACCATAACGCTCATAACCACCTTGCTGCCTAAATAGCCTTGCCAACTGACGATAAGAAGTCTTCCTTATAGTCAACTTCAAGGTCCTGACATTCTTCTTTTCTTGCCAATCTCGTTTTCCAGCTTTTCACAAACTTCAAGACCAATCTGATCAGATCAAACCAATAACATCTACCATGCCAAAGACACCATCTAAACAGCGAAAGGGCTCACTGCGCCCTTGTGGGCACCCGGAATGCGGCCACTATTCCTGCCTGCGAACACCATCCTCAAGAGGAGACGCCGGTCCCTCTTCAACAGCTCCCAGTGGTCGGTACATCACGAGCCCCAAAAGCTCGCCTCCTCCCTTTCCTCCCTCGTCTTCTTCTGGCCAAACAGGCCGTGTAACTCGCAGCATGTCTGGTCGCCAGCAGCTGCTTCTTCCTTCTCCGCCAGTGGTCACTAGTAACAACGAAGACAGCACTGTCCTCCCTGCTCCTCTTGCTGGCCAAGCAGGCCGTGTAACTCGCAGCATGTCTGGTCGCCAGCAGTTGCTTCCTCTTCTTCTGCCAGTAAGCGCAGTTAACAATGAAGATGCCACCATCATTCCCGCTTCTTTTCCCGGTGGGGCGACCAATGAAAAGTCATCTCAAGTTCCAGTCTTCCCTCCCACACTAGAGGGAGTGGAGCGTCGCTGGGTCCACCAGAACGCCCTCAGCAACCAACCTTTGAACGAGAAGCTCAAGAAGGTATGTTTTTATTCTGATGAGAAGGATCCATTTCGATTGACTTGATCATATAGGTCCTCTCATACATAATCATCCACGTCGTCAAAGGTGCAGCCAAGGACCGATACGTCCGCTGGGAGATCACTAACCCAAAGTTCTGGTCTGCTCTTCAGCTGCAAGACCCTGCTGCCTCTGCCCTGGCATCCGCTCCAAAGGAGAGGATCAAGGATGTCTTCGTGGAGATCACTTGTGGGGGTCCTTTTGACATATTCTTGAGCCGGCTCTCAAATGATCGCAGGCGGGTTTCTGGCCTCTTCGTCCAATTGTATGGCGATGAGAACGAGGTCCCTTGCCGCTCTTGTACTAAGCGCCTGGTTGGCTCTGAAACTGGTGGCCATTGTGGTATGTGGCCCATGTTCGGCTGTCGATCGATCCCCGGGGCCTTCGGCAATGCGTGTGGTAACTGCGTAGCCATGGTCGAGGGTGAGAAGTGTACTTTTCGTGATGAAAAGTATGACCATCTCCGTGCCTCTTCAAAGAGGGATCCTCCTCTTGTGAGCGACCTCTCTGCTTCCAATTCCCCTACAGTCATGCTCTTTAACCTGTATGCATTCAAACGACTCTACAGTCGGTACAAAGAACATATCGCCCAGGCTGGTGGCAACGAACGAGGGGCTCAGAGAGCCAAAGGAAATTCTGGTGGGCAGGGCAAGGTGTTCTGGGGATGAAGCATGTGTTAGTTAGACGTAATGCACTTGCAACGCTGAATCATTCGCGCATATCAACATATTTCCCCTTAATACACGTATAATTGCTGAAAGTAAGAAAATTCTGTGACTGAGAACGACTTATGAAATGAAGCACAAGGACAACATAAGGAAATAACACGTCTGATCAGACCAAAAGTCTATCACTGTTGACTTTACTGTACCCATCCATCTTCTTATTCGGAAGCCTGACCTCGACATTGGTCACGGGCTGTCTGTCGGCTTCGACAAGCCAATCCTCTTGCTTTTCGACTGGTAACTCTTCCACGTCCTTATAAGTAGATCCCTCACATCCATTCTCGTCTTCTTTACCTAGCCCGTACGCTAGCCAGTTGTCCTCTCTCTCGTCAAGAGGCATCCAAAATCCTCTCTCGTCTTTTCGAAAGCGTTTGAGCCGGTCTGGAGCGTAGGTGCCTTGAAGCACTGCGCCGTCGATTTCCGTCAGCTGGCACGTAGAGAGCGGTGATACCCTGTGAAAAATATATGGGCCACGCCATCGGTATTTAAGTTTCACACTTCTGGACAGGTCGATGTGTCTCGGGGTATCGTAAAGTAATACCAATTCACCCTCTCGTAACGGTGTGTGTCTCATCTTATTTCTGTCTCTCTGATCAGACTTCAGGGCAGCAATTCTCCTCGATTCCGCCAGTCTGCTTGTAGCGAGCTTGACATCTTCCTCGTGTCGTTCAAGTATTCGGATTCTTTTTGAAATCAGGTCGTCCCTTGGCGTGTTAGGCTCCCAGCTCATAATCCTCCACGTCGGGATCGTTGTTTCAATCGGTAGCATAGGGTGGAATCCGAAGGCTATATAGAAAGGGGACAACCCAGTCGGGTTTCGAACAGTGGCTCTATCTGCAAAGACGGCTGCAGCCAAGTGTTTCGACCATCTCGTCCCAGATCCATCAGTGTGTTTCATCAACGCTTTAGTGATTGGCCGATGTCCCACCTCAATGAGTCATTGTGACTGCGGGTGATACGCTGATCCGATCCTAAGTTTAGATCCAAGGCTTCTAAGCAGCTCGGTGACAAGCCCTCGGGTTTCCGAGCCTCCGTCTTCTCTGATCAGATAGGGGACACCAAAGGTGAGGATAATGCTTTCCTAGATCCAGTCTCGGATGGTCTTCGAGTCCACTTTTCGAATTGCTCTTGCAACAAGATAACCACTCAGCTCACAACGAGCCTCCGCAATTGCGATGTAGCCATTATCAGTTGGCATAAATTGAACATCCATTACCCATATAGCAAAGATCTCATTTAGTTGAGAGAAACAATGGCTTTCTACCTCCCTTATATCGGAAGCCTTTTAGCAAGGTGCGCAGGAAGCAAGTGCCTTCTTGATATAGGCGTACATCCCATGCCAGAAATACTGTCTTGCCGCAATTTGGTAAGTAGCGTCTCGTCCACGATGACCTAGTTCTTGATAAAGCGCTTTGATAATGGTCCTCTGGTGTTCAGGGTCGTCGACCACTCGCCGGCGTCCTCGGCTGCCTTTTTCTCGCTTCCAGAGTGTCCTTTCCTGAACCAAGTAGTAAAGGCTCTATGTTTGAAGCGCTTCTTTGCTTGTCTTGACCCGTGCTTCAGTCGATCAGGTATACGGAGCGTTGTGAGATATTCTGCAATCTGAATTGAGTCTTTAGTCCAGTTGCCGAGGAGGGTAGGTTCAGTATCAGTGGTAATAGGGGCCGCTTGTGCTGTGTTGTGGATTCTGACACCGATCTGATTCAGTTGATCGATAGCGTCCTCCACCCTTTTCTGATGCGTCCTGTCCTTAGTCCAGTACTGGATTTCGGCAATCTTTTGAGCATCACTGAGTCGAGCTCTCTCAAAGATCCGATCGACCTGCTCAATCCAGTCGGATACGTCATCGACGTCAAAGCGGAGGTGTGGGTATTGCGCTACATCGGGGATCATATATTGTATAGCAAAAGCTTGAGCCATTTTGATCGGATTCTCGGTAGTCTTGAGGGGAGCGGTCTGATCAGTCCTAAGCGAATAATAGATTCCGTGCTTCTCGCCGTACGGTCTCTCTCTCGGCTCTGGAAAACTGTTCCTTTGTAGGAACTATTCTCCTATGGGTCCTGTCGTACTAGTAGTATCTCTGTATTTGAGTCTCATATCGTCTATCGCATCTCTGTATCCGAGTCTCTCTGTCTTCTGTAATGCTCTCGGTCCTGTTACGTTGTTCTTCTTGTCGATACTCTTGATGCTCTTGATCTTCTTGATCATCTCGTCGACACTCTTGATGCTCTTGATCTTCTTGATCCTCTTGTCGATACTCTTGATGGTCTTGATCTTCTTGTTGATGCCGATTGTCGTATGTCTGTCTCTCCTTGATGCTGTGCTCTGTGCTCTGTGCTCTGTGCACTCCTCTTCTCTTATCTCTCTGTATCTTATCTTCTAAATAAGAGTTCAAGAGCTGTGTGCCGAGCTGTGTGCCAAGTCCCTATCCATATCCTGTTGATAAGGCCGTCATGGCTTCGGCAGTCTCGGAAGCCTGTACCTCCTCTTCGAATTCCCACATTCGCTGTCCTTATCGTCGATTCGTAGCCAGAAACTTTGGAGCCCCGCCCTTGTGAGTTTGTCGGTCTTGACTCTATGTCCGAGGCTTCCGTGTCTTCCGTGTCCTTAGCAGAAGCATTTGGGGGTCTCCATCATTCCCTCTTCGCGACTGATCGGGTGTCTTCAATAATCGCGATCCGACGAGAGATCCTGAAGAGTACAGTCCGCTGAGCGAGAGATTCAGTGCCGTGAAGCCTCCGAATTGTGTAGCCTCCCTCTGATCACCATTGAAACGGGGTCAGGCGGTCAGTAGGATATACCTACCACCTAACACACTGAACATACGGCTCCAGTACCAACAGATCCCATCTGTTCGTCTTATTAGACGAAGATCGTGGTACTGGTTATAACAGCGAAGCTCTTATACGTCTGGTGCGCGAGTTGGTCGGATGTGCCTCTGATACTCGTATCGTGATAATAATATCTCGAACGTAAAGATAAGCTGAATAACTAAAATAACTAAATAACTGACTGAAAAGCGAAGGTGAAGATATAGATAAGAAAGAGATGATCATATGAAGATGAGGATGATGATGTGTGAAGATGGGGGACTCGTGTCCTACTCTGCCTCTGCGCCTCTTAAAGAAGAGAAAATGAACTTTCTCCTAGCCCCGTAACCTATTTCCCTGATGTCCGGCCTTACCCCGTTACAGTATTAAATCCTCCACGAACGTACCGAATAGCCATTTTAATATACTAAAAGGTACTAAATCTAAAGGCTAGAGCTTGTAGGATAAATAGGAAGTGTTACGAACCACGTTCCTAACCAACACAGATGTAACGAAACCTATAATAGTCTAGCTGCGTAAACCACTAAAGAGTCTGTAAGGGTTTGTGCTAGTAAGTAAGTCCTGCTGCGGAGTCCTTAGCAATAATATCGGGGTCTGACGTATGGAGTATAGGGCTCTGGGTAACTGAAGTATTCAAGTAGGGTAACTGGGAATAGAGTCGTCAAGGCAGTTTGCCTCACCAATGGGTCAGATTGATGCTTAGATTGATCACTGAAGTAGAGACTGTCTATCTATGAAATGCCTGGGAGTCCTGTCCCTTATATATCCATCTCTCCTTCACTGATCCTGTTGGATCATTTGGATCGATCCATGATCCTGTAACGAGGATACCACACGTCTCACAATATAATAGTCAGGTAGTGCAAAGGGTAGCTAGAAGTAGGCCAGTGTATGGGTGTGATGCGTGCACCTAGGGGGGAGGATGCTATAATGCAGCAGTGCGCAACGTTATAGTATCTAATTGAATGGGATTCACCTAACCAGTGGGTCCCCCTACCTTTTCGTATCAGGGTGCGTATATTGCAAGACTGATTCTTGAAGAATCTAAACTAGGTGCGAGCGTCTCGAGTTCTCCTCTTAAGCTGGGCGAATCCCTCCCGACTCAGCTTGTCAGCTGAGACCGGCCCGCCATAACGGCTCTTTCCTTACAGATCCTCTCGAGCCTGGCTCGAACTGGATCTATCTCGATCTAATATATCCAGGTACCGAGGGGCTTAGTCACGTGACCTTCGTTCCGTCGTTCTTCCGATGCGGGGTCCCGTGATCCTAGTGATGATGTCCACTCTGGCCTGCCAATGGGCCTTCTTTGTTGGTTAGGAACGTGGTTCGTAACAACAGAATAGGCCCGTTGGCAGGCCTTAGGTGGATACCTGCAGGAAAGGACCGGAAACAAGGATAGAAGATAGGAACGGAAGAAGGACGGACCGACTAGAGAAGGTCACGTGACGGATCACTGGCTCACGCAGTGAGCCAGTGAGCCACCCCGGTAGGATCACGAAGAATAGGAGTGATCCAACGAGATCAGTGAAGGAGAGATGGATATATAAGGACAGGACTCCCAGGCATTTAATAGATAGACAGTCTCTACTTCAGTGATCAATCTAAGCATCAATCTGACCCATTGGTGAGGCAAACTGCTTTAACGACTCTATTCCCGATTACCCTACTTGAATACTTCAGTTACCCAAAGCACTCTACTCCATACGTCAAACCCCGATATTATTGCTTGAGGACTCCGCATCAGGACTTACTTACTAGCACAAACCCTTACAGACTCTTTAGTGGTTTACGCAGCTAGACTATTAGAGGTTTCGTTACAATATAGAATTTCTGCCGTCTGCGAGTATTGATTACCCATTGAATAGTCCACCATCGAGTAACTACTTTAGCTCTTGCAGGGCTGATTTAGAAGATACAGGGTTGTCGAATTTGCACAACTTTGGCCCCAAAAACAGATGCATCGCAAGACGAACAGCAGCGGATCACGACAATCTAATGTTCTCATGTGTCTTGCCAACATGGGGTCTATGTGCTGTCACAGGACGGACAAGGGTCCTTGGCCATACGGGGATTATCTAGGGAGCAGTTCACGCTGATCTCAATACTCTTTCTTACAAGTATATATAAACGTCTGCATTGACTCGGAAGGCATGCGCACCATGTTCTCCGCGCCCCAAAACGTCTCCAGCGACCGGGTAGAGTGAATTCCTCGAATAATAGGGGGCTGGGCTTGTCCTCGTCATCTTTCTCGAAGTCCTAGGTAGCCCCCTTTAGGTTGACGATACTGGGATGATCGCGAAGGGGTGAGTGAGCGCGTATGCGAAGCTCCGTCACAAGGCGTGTTGAGTGCGGAGTGCCGTGCTTCGAAGATGTTTTTCTTGGTTCTCTTTACGATAATGGTGGATATTGACACAGTACATCCAGTGCAGGACATCGCGCTTGAAACCAATGAGTCCCCTATTGCTTTACAGCCTTGCATCTGGATTCAAAAATACTGCCCTCTGCGTCGCAGACTCACTGCCCCAGGCCGACTCCTCCTTGGCCTTGAAGACGGTATTTTGCATCATGGCTCGCTGGTATGCCTGGTCAGCCCTGGTTCGGCGCGACGCGACGCGCTCTCGGTAATCGTCATACTGCGCCGTCGCAAGGGCTGCGAATAGCAACCGCGCCGACACGACCATGGCAATGCCACCCTTCTGGCCGAAGCCGAAAGATGTGAGCATGCACGCCTTGACGAAATCTTGCCCACAGTCAATCGTCTCGGAAGGGTACAGCAGATGTCCAGCGCAGCTTTCGAGGGCCGCCTCCACGTCGTCTGCATTCCTATTGCCGGGAACCAGTCCCGATTCCAGCATCTGCAGACAGCCGTTCAGCATCCAGGCCGCCGCTGCACCCTTGGGATGACCGGTCAGATATTTCTGGCAGACGGCCAGCAGCGGGTTGCCGGCACTGCGGCCCAGATGCTCGAGCTGTGTGTTCAGGACGGTGCTTTCGTTGGTGTCGTTGGCCCGCGTCGATGTGCCGTGCATAGAGGCCACCTTTATGTCGTCGATGTTCAGGCCCCATATGCAGAGAGCGGCTCGCATGGGTGATATCCCCTGGTTGAGTTGGCGAAGATTACCGCCGTTCCACATCCATTGTGCATCGCATTTTCGACACGTTACGGTCGATTCAAGTACCGCATGAGCAGTCGCTTGTCCCTTATCTGGCAAGGATACGGCCGCGTCTTGGAGCTGCTGGAGACGCCACCCATCAATGCTCGCCAGATCCTCCGCCAGCCTGGAACGACGATACTCGAGATCCAGCAACGGTGAGTGGGCAACGCCTGGTGCTTCCCTCGCTGCCGTCAGAATCCCCTGCCCAGGAGCTGGCAGCGATCGACCGACGCCATCTCCGGCCAGTTGTGTATAGGCAACCACTCCGTAGATAGGCAAGGCCATCTGTAGTGCGAGCTCTGCGCTCATGACGAGTTGGACTCCACAGCCTGCCGCCTCTACGAAGCCCGCCCGCGAGGATGCCATGGGCCGCGACATCTCGGCCGGGAGCATACCCTTGGTCTTCTCATATGCGGCGTTGGCCGTGGCCTTCATGTTGCTAAACTCGTGCGAACCCTCCTCGGCAAACTCGTCCACGCCACCAACGAGAGCAACCTTGACGCGCCGAGACTGAATCGCTTCGCATGCCGTGTCTAGCGACTCGAGCGCCGTCGCGCAGGTGCCGGTCGGCGTCTTGATGGGTCCAGCAGAGCCGAAGAGCAGCATGTTCGTCCAGGCCGACATGGAATTCAAGAAAGTCTCCTGCAGAATGTCGCCCTGGATGGGCTTATCTACGTAGCGGTGTTTATACATACCTCGCATCGAGACGAGCCCGCCAGCGCCTGTTCCGATACAATTCGCCAGCTCCGAGACATGTATGTGCTTGTATAGCTCGAATGGATCCTCGATGCCGGCACTATACATGGCCTCCGAGACACAGCAGAGAACGTATAGAGTGATAGGGTCTACTTGGGCGATTACGTCTTCCGGGATTCCATAAGTGACGGGATCCCAGCCGCCGGGCAGCTGCGCCGCGACGAACTGCTCCGAGGCAACGGCTTTCGGGACCAAGAAGTTGGACCCAGCGCCAACGACGACGATCCATACGTCTTCCTCGTTTTGCTTCGGAGAGATCGAGACCTTGTCGCCATGCCGTTGCTTGAATGCTTTGGCGAGCGACTCTGAAGCCTCGAAAGGGGGCAGAGGCTCGTCGAGTACGATTTCGTGAAGCAGTTCCTTGTTGGCAGGGTCATAGCCGTCCAGCCGCTCGACATCGATGACGCGGATCCCCGCGTGACTTATGATGTGCTTGCCGTAGCGGGTAGCAATGTCTGCATCGTGCACTGGTTTCTCGGTTTTCTTGTCGACCCAGCCAACGTACGGCTGTCCGTCGACGGTGGCATCGATATGCTTGATCAGGCCCATGATCCACGCCATCTCCATGTAGCCGTTCTGATCTAATCGGCCCTGGCTCTCAATCTGCCAACGGGTCCGCGACGAGCCCCAAGGCCCCAGCTCGGAGAATCCCACCACAACGACGGTGCGGCTGAGATCAACCATGCCACGCAAATCTTGAAGCCCGGCCGTCATTTCCTCTCGTGAAGCTAGCCTTGGAAAGGCTTGCCGGATATTGGAGCGCGGCTTCGCGGCATCTGTGTCGCCTAGTGTCTCACCAGCTGTAGAGGGAGCCTTGCCATGGAGCATGGCATCGCGCTCCAGTCGTCTCTCTTCCAGAATTGCCTTTCGAATCCGGCTTCTTGAGTTGATACCTTCACGGATACTTGTTATCTTGTCTTTGAGCCCATCGACTCCCTGGAGGCCCCCACTGAGATCAGCATATACGGGCGCAATGTCAGGCAATGACGCCATGGTAGGGGACAGGAGGGCCAGGATGTTGAAGGCCATTTCCCCAGGAGTGAACGTCAAGACGCCCATGGCCTCAATACCATCGGCGACGATGTTATTGGCATTCATAAGACCTGTGCCACGAGTCCAGCCGATGACGGCGCCCACAATGGACATATACGCGGACCAGTTCTCCGAATGGAAGCGGTTGAAGACGGTTTCTAGGCCCACCTTGGACTCCGAGTACAGGCCGTCTCCGCCGAAGTCGCCATGATTAGGCGAGAGAGGGAGTACCGCGACTGTCGGTCTACCCGTGAACCTGCGTCGCTGCTTGGCTTGCTTGATGCTGCCTAGCATGCGCAACACGTTGACCAGCATGGCCCGGTGCGCGAGTTCCGACCTGGCATCGATCCTATCGAGCTCGCGCCCGGACTCGGGGATCGCAGCGAAAGGAACGACAAAATCGAGATCGGCAGCGAGGCCCTTACTCTCATCATAGATGTAGGTGACCAGGTCCTCGCAGTCCTTCTTGCTAGCGGCATTGAAGGGAAGCAGGATCAGTTCCGACCCGCGTGCGCCTACTTCTTTGTACAACTGGCGAAAGAAGGGGGCGGCGCTCGATGTAGCGCGGCTGGTGGTAACGATGACCTTTGCGCCGCCAGACAGGAGCCCGCTCACAACCTCAGCACCGATGGAGCCTGGACCGGCGCCCGTTACCAAGGCTGTCTTGCCTGCATAGCTCCAACCGGTGCTCATGCCCTGGTGCAGAGCAGAAAAGTACGCCTCGGTCAAGCCGGCGTCGAACTCCCACGACCCCCGAGTGCGGTTGCGAAGGTGGACATGTGTCCGATCGCGGCTAGCAGGGCTCGAGATCATGTAGTAGTAGCTGGCGGTGGGGCTTGGCTTAATCTCGATCTCTTTGCCCCTGGGGACTTCGCTGTAGTGAATCTGGCCCTGCTCGTCAACAGCGGTGTGAGGAGCCAAGGCTGGTTCCTGGTACCGGTAGCGAGGGAGATCAGTGAAGGTCACTGGCTTGTACGACAGAAGACCGTGTGCTACAATATGGGATGGCCCGGCTTCGGCAGCACGGCGTAGCATGTTTTCCAATGCCGGCGTCCATCGGTTGGCTAGTGATTGTAGCCACCGCTCAGATGTGATTGATGCCAGTGTCACTCCTGGGCGCCTCGCTGCTTGACTATGTATGAGGCGGACGACGTCTTCTCTGACCCAATTCCAAAATGATGCGTAACTACGTTGCTGCCGGGGCTGGAATATGCCCTGGATCCCTGCGATGAACTCGTCGTCAAGTTCTTCTTGCAGGTGTGAGGTGCTGCGCAGAGTCTCTACCTCAGTGGTCGTACCTATCTGTGGTAAGACGTCGATGTTGAGGTGGCGAGCAAGCAGCTGGAACTGCTTCCGCAGGTACTCGGTGTGGTCCTTCCTCAAGGCGTCAAGACTAGTCTGGTCGACCTGCACAAGGGCGCTCTGCTGGCCGTGGGTTGCGTCGGCCATGGTCGATGAATTTGGCAGTGACACGCCAGCATGCGCTACGTACCTAGCAACGACGGAATCGAAGAATTCCTGTGCCTGCGACACATCTGCCAGCCGTCTGGTGGGCTCCATGGTGATTGCACAACAGAGGACCACCTGCTGCGTGTCGGGGCCCAGACCCCAGTGCACACGGAGATATTCCCCCACGGCGGCCTGGTTGAAACCGGCCGGCATCTTAGACGACAACATCCGCTCCACCAGTTTCTTTACGGACTTACCTGGTTTTCCCGTAAAACTGGCCGCAAGTCGTAAGCCCAGCGACTCGAGCGCCAGGTCCTCGCTCCCCTCGGGCAAGTCGCCGAACTCTGCGCCAAGATCACCCAGGATCTCATTTTGCAGAACAGATTTGCCTATAACACAAAAGATGAACCAAGTTAGTCGGGTGTTTTACTGGAGCGAAAGATATATGATAGACTTACCTGCAGATAGAGTCCGAATACTATCTTTCAGCGGCGTCTCATCGAAGCCTCGCCGAAGCTTCTGCGCGACAACTGTCAAGATGATGTCGGTCGGGCTCAAGCCGACATCCAGCGTCTCCGTCGGTACCAGGGTGATGGAGACTGGCAATCCCACAGCAGTGTCTGGAACTGCCGCTAGTGCTGGGCCCGGTGCAGACACGGGGGGCACCTTATTGGCTGCTGCAGAAGTGTTTTGGGTAGGTGGTGCTGCTGCTTCGACGGAGCTGTCATCTCGTGCATCATCATACTCGAAGTAGATCCTTCGCGCGTCGGCGCTGTCGCCCACAAAGAGGAAATCACGCTCCGTGGCATGCGCCATGTCTCTCTCTCTTACGTTGCGCGCCGCTGTCTTCTTGGCCATGCCCGTCAGGACCTCGGCAGGGCCGATTTCGATGACGCGCTGGACACTGCCCTCTCCGCTCAGTAGGGCTCTTTGCGTATTGATCCTGCATGTAAACTTGTTAGATGCGCCAACCTCTAGGAAGAGCTATTTCGTCTTGTCGGAGGAGTCGGACTAACCATTGCACTGGGTATGCAAACTGGTGGCTGTAAAGGTCATTTTTTGTTAGCAGGAATAACCGGTCGAACGGAATGGAACGGTGGCTCTGAAGTTACATACGCTAGAAGTTCTATGAGAAGCTTGTAGGCGACGTCTTGCTCGAGGGTCTGACGCCCCTGCGAAGGAAGTGTAAACATGGTCATCGTGGGCGATGGAAGTTGAATCAACCGTATAATTGCTCACTTTTTGACAACATTACAACACCCTGTTGTGTTCTGGATACATCAGCGAGCTATGCATGATATCTGTATTATAAACGGTCAGTACGAGTTGTTCCCTCGATGATATTTCGGACTCTTGTGCAACCGTCCATCGCCAGATAAGAGACTCGCAATCTCCATTAGGGTCAGGGTGCCGCTGCCCGAGCTTGCCGTCATGGGGGTCCACCTGACGATTGGATAACAGTCTCGATATGTCGTTGGCCGTTTATGCGTGTAAGCGCTCAACTCCAACGTCAAACGGACTAGCTTCGGCCTCGGACGTTGTTGACGAACAACCATCGTTGAAGCTCGGGTGAAAGCCGAAGGTCGGCGGTGTTCGGCTGCTAACCACTATCCAACGGCTGGTGAAGACGACCGATGAGAGTGGAGGAAACAGACAACCTCCACGACGGAGGTGTGCCCAGAGGATGACTTACGTGGTTCAGCATCCGACCTCAACGCATGCACTATTTGTCTTGGCCCAATCCTTCGGAACCAGATCGAATGAAAACCTTCCTCTTGAGTCACTGTCCTTTTCGGACTCAATTTCATCTCCTGTCGCGTGGATGCACCCCGAACTGCCCATAGGCTTGCAAAGGTGATTATTCGGTCTCCCCTGCTCCGAGTCTTCACGGCCCACTCTTCGGCCCTTCACGGGGTATATTGATGGCAACGATCTTCTTACATATTCCGAGGTCACACTGAGATTATTTTCATGTAATTCTAATCATAACCAGATCTTATTATAGTTGATTATCCTTGCTGGCAAGCTAAGAATCAGCAAGATGGTCGTGACAAGCGAACCCGTCAAACTAACAGTCCAGCCTCCAACACAAATGAAGAATGGCGGAGTCGTCGTGACACAAACAGCTTTCAAGGAAGTCTCTGTCAATGGTAGTACCCAGCCTGCTCACGTACTGCACGCCATTGACAGCAGGACCGGGCAGTACTATGCGATCCCCATAGTCCACAACGCCATCAATGCCAACGACCTGAAGAAGGTCAAGGCTCCCAAGGATCCAAACCACCTTGCAGACCAGAACGAACATGGCCTACGAGTGTTCGACCCTGGCTTCTCCAACACAGCTGTCAGCGAAAGCAAGATCACTTACATGTAAACCAGTTCCCCTTTACTGATGAGAAATGGGCCTTTGAATATTGCTGACAAGTCTCGCAGCGATGGACAAGAGGGTACAATCCAGTACCGAGGGTATCCACTGCAGGATATCATCGGAAAGAAGAAGTTCATTGACGTGGCTCATCTTTTAATTTGGGGAAAGTGGCCCTCCACCGAGGAAGCACAGGGTTTCCAAGAGCGACTCAACCGAGTTCCTCTACTAGACTACCGCGTCTTTCACGTCATCCACTCGTTCCCCAAGGACGGTGCCATTGTCGGCATGCAGATCGCCGGGCTGTCTTGCCTGCAATCTCTCGACATGAGCGCCGTGCCAGCCCACACGGCCAAGGCCCTGTACATACGGAATCCCAAGCGCGTCGACGAGCAGATCGTCCGTGTTCTGGCGAGCCTGTCAATGATCACCGCCGCCTCCTACTGCCACCACGTCTCCATCGCGTTCAAACCCCCGCGGGCCGATCTTTCTCTCGTCGAGAACTTCCTGTTCATGTGCGGCTTCGTCGAGACGGACACCGGACTGCCGAGCTCCCGCCACGTCAACATCCTCGAGCGCCTGTGGGTGCTCGTAGCCGACCACGAGATGACGTGCTCGACGGCGGCGCTGCTCCAGACAGCGTCCTCCCTCCCGGATGTCATCTCCTGTCTCATCTCGGCGTTCGCCGCGGGCACGGGGCCGCTGCATGGCGGCGCCATCGAGGTGGCGTACAAGCACATCGGAGAGATCGGCTCGGTCGACAACATCCCCGCGCGCCTTGCCGCCGTCAAGAGCGGAAAGGACCGGCTCTACGGCTACGGCCACCGCGTCTACCGCGTGACGGACCCCCGGTTCACGTTCATCAGTGAGATCCTCGGCGAGCTCGCCGAGGAGATCGAAAAGGACCCCTTGCTCAAGGTGGCTCTCGCCCTCGACAAGGCTGCTGCCGAGGACGAGTATTTCATTTCCAGGAAACTGCGACCCAATGCCGATCTTTTCGCTGCATTCGTGTACAAGGCGCTGTGAGTAATCCCCCTTTCGCTAGTCAAGTGTGATTGATCGCTAATTGGAATACATCACCAGAGGCTTCCCTCCCGAGTTCATTTTGGCCATTTCGGCGGTATCCCGCTCACAAGGATTCTTGGCACACTGGAAGGAGGCCATGGGTAAGCACCATCTCATCTCTATCGAGATCCACGATGACAATGACTGGCAAGCTAATACGGCACATTGCCCTTTAAAGAAGGCTCGCCTCGTATCTGGCGTCCGAGCCAACTCTATACCGGCGATTTGTTTAAGAAAATGGACGAGTAATCAATGCACTTCTTCCAGGATTTCTGTTCCAATTAGATAGCTCTCTCGTACAAGGGAAATCGAAACTTGCATATGATAGCCTGCCTGACTCTCAGCTTCGCCCGAAACCCAACATGGCGTGACGTGATAATGCATTTTCCTGGTGTAAGCACCAGGAAGATGACAGTGTTCGGGACCCTTGATGCAGTGTGACAGTTTGCCAGCGCAAGAGATTCTTCGGTTTTGTAAATTCATTACTGTAATTGATATGTGCACGGCACCTGGCCTGCACAGCCTCTCGTTCATCCAAGAGTAGGGTTATTCCATCTCTGGCCGTCTTCGGAACTGGCGGGGCTTCGGCGCCGAGGACCGAAAGCGTCAGGCCACCAAGTAGACAATATTTGTGCTGGGCAAAGGACACAGGCTGGTTGGTTGCACGGATTGGGCCGTCGGTGCAAGGTTAGACCGATTGATCGGGGGAACTGAAGTTTGTCAATCCTCGTTCAATTCATCTAACCAAGGACAACTAAATGCTGCAGTCTCGCTTGTTTGGGACAGCGTTCGCATTCATCTCCATCATGGCTTTTCTGTTTTCGCCCATCATCAATCGCCTCAAGGTGCTTGGCGCTATTGGCCGAGGTCAGATCAAGAATATTCATGGCCAGAACACCAAGGTGATTCAGGGTACCCTGTTCACTGAAGACCTGCACTATCACCACCCTTCGGGCTACCTATTTGGGGCCTCGGAGCCAAATGAGGATAACAGAAACACATGGTTTCCACCGTTAGTGACCTAAAACGCCAGAGATGGAGCTGAGCTGATGCCTCTTGTCACATAGGTTGGAAATGATGTTGCTGGAAAAACTGCTCGGCGCCATCCTCAGTTACCTTGTAAGAAACTCGAGATTCAAAGAGCAACTCGTCGGAAGGACCCTGAGAAGCCACAAATTATGGTATGATGTTTGTTCGATGTCACCAACAATCGTGAAGCTTAATATTTTTCATCGCAATGACGTCAAGTCTGCGTTCCAGGTGCAGGGCTTACATGAAGGGACTAAATTGGGCAGAACCGGCAACTGAGCCACAATTAATTATTAGGCTGTGTCAGAGAACAGAATGCCATAGGCACCAGTGGGTGTCAGGACACTGAACGCAGGACACTGGTGGGCCGCCGGAGGGGTGTTTCGGACAAAAGACTCCCGAGTCATGATTACAATCTATGTGAAGCTTTGGGATGACGAGAGTCAAGATCCTTGGCATCGCCGACCCTGCTGTTATGCCGGGTCCAAGCGGCGGCCTAGCTATCTATATAAGGACCATCTCGAAGTAGGATAGGGAAGGAGTTGTCAGAGCCACAAGTGTCATCCGAGGCGGGCCGGCTTCCACCAGGTAGGAAGCCGTTTGTGGCGGCTAGAGAGCCGCTTGTGGCGAATGAGAGCCGTTGAAGCCGTTTGCAACGGATAGGGAATCGCTTGGTTGCAGATAAGGAGCCGCTGTCCAAGATATTGGCCGAAGTCGGAGGAACACAGACATACGGAAGCAAACATCCAGAATCCAAGAGAGAACCTCGGCTGGCTATAAGTAAGGAGTCGAGACGGAGGAAGATAGAGAGGGCAGAGATCAATGCATCACCGTGGGCACCCCTACCTGAGACCGCCAGTGACCACCCGGTATTACGTAGGAGGGACGCCCGTTACTCCCCATCACTCTGTACTATTGCCTTCGGCCTAGCCGTACCCTGACAGGCTGTGACTAGATTCGAATACCCTGTCGTCCTTCTACGACTCAGACACTTCAGCAGACGAAAATCAATGGATTCAAGACTTTCAGTCAAACGGCCCAAGGTACCGTCCGGAAAACTTCAGAGCAAGCAGCCAAAGGCTTAGTATTTTAGAACACTTCGCTATTGTGCTTCGTAGTTCCTACTATAAACCCTCTTGCCTACAATGGCCCTCTGTTCTTCGCCAGTTTCGGTCTTTCGTTCATGATAAGAGCGATTTTGAAGAGGTATTTTCCGTGCGAGGGAAAGACCTCCCGCTTAGGCTACTCAGCACGCGAAAGATCTCATCAATGAGTTATATATTTCTGGCGACTTCAGCAAACTTATTATTAGGGCCCGGGCTAGGTCTGGTCCTATCTTGGGTGGGATCACTGGATCATACGTCTCCAATCCGCAATCCTATGATCCAGGAGCGTGGATCGTGAATCGTGAATCCCGTATTCTCGATCTATGATCCATATCACTTGATCTGTGATGTACCTTCGTATCTGTTCGTCAAAACGTTTCTCATTTCCCGTCGGCTGTGCGAGCTTTCTCATCTTGTGTATCCACTTTGGCCTGCCATCGGTTCTGTTCCGTTAGGTTAGAACCGACTGTTCGTAACACCCTCTAAATATGCGTATCACCCCGCATCAGAATTTGAATAGCAAGACTCGCCCCAACATACATCCAATTGTAGTTGAACATGAAGATCTATAGTTAGGCGGCAACCAAAGCACGTCCTGACCTCCGCAAATAATCCAGTCTCCATGTATACCGTATTTATAGTTGGTGTTAGAATCATGTGGAGAACTTTTAACCAGAACTTTATACTTTGATGTAGAGTCCAGGAGAATATCACCGCGATCTGTAAAAAGACAGCGGCCGTCAGGCGAGAAGGCCACCGACCAGACAGCACCGCTGTGGCCCTCGAGCGTCTGGAGGCAGGCGCCGCTGCTGGCGTCCCAGAGCTTGACGGTCTTGTCGTAAGAGGCCGAGGCGAGCTGGCGGCCATCGGGCGAGAAGGCCACCGACAAGACACCACCTCTGTGGCCCTCGAGCGTCTGGAGGCAGGCGCCGCTGCTGGCGTCCCAGAGCTTGACGGTCATGTCGAAAGAGGCCGAGGCGAGCTGGCGGCCGTCGGGCGAGAAGGCCACCGAACAGACAACATCGCTGTGGCCCTCGAGCGTCTGGAGGCAGGCGCCGCTGCTGGCGTCCCAGAGCTTGACGGTTCTGTCGAAAGAGGCCGAGGCGAGCTGGCGGCCATCAGGCGAGAAGTCCACCGACCCGACAGCAACGCTGTGGCCCTCGAGCGTCTGGAGGCAGGCGCCGCTGCTGGCGTCCCAGAGCTTGACGGCCATGTCGCCAGAGGCCGAGGCGAGCTGACGGCCATGTCGCCAGAGGCCGAGGCGAGCTGGCGGCCATCAGGCGAGAAGGCCACCGACGAGACAGCAACGCTGTGGCCCTCGAGCGTCTGGAGGCAGGCGCCGCTGCTGGCGTCCCAGAGCTTGACGGTCCTGTCGAAAGAGGCCTAGGCGAGCTGGTGGCCATCGGGCGAGAAGGCCACCGACTCGACATCACCGCTGTGCCCCTCGAGCGTCTGGAGACATGCATTCCAATCCCTTTCTGGGGTCGGGTTTACGGAGATCCAGTCTGGCTTTTCTCGTCTGAAATGCTGTCGAGTCAAACTGCGAGTTGGGCAGAAAACAAGTGCTGAAGCGTATACCTGGAGAGGGGCGATCTCGATTATCCATCTATTCTGAAGGATAAACCAGTACGTATTGTAGACTAGTTCGACAATTGCGGGGTTATTCAGTTTCTGCCGAGATATTAGGAATATGGACAGAATCTGAAGTTGAGACGTAAAATATCAACTTACTCGAAGGAAAGTCTCCAGTTTTGTCATTGACGCTGCGGCTTCGGGTAGAGCCTTTAATAGACTCAGAGCTTCAAGCCAGTAAAGCAACTTCTCACCGAGAAAGGTTGAGAGTTGTGTGTCGCTCTCGCTGTGTATTGCGTTTGCGTCCCGGAGATGATCAGGCCAGTAAATACAGGAATAGCGTGCGATAGCTAGTGGATCTGGGTTGGGCGTCTTAACGTTTTCGATATAATATCCTGAATGTCGCAAGTCCTACATATCCCGACGGAGTATGCTAGACGCAAGCTGCAGAGATCGCGAGAAGATAGCGTGGTGTTTCTCGTATAAGCCAGGAGGAAACAGGAATGTGTCTCGGGAAAGGAAATCCCTGGCTGATTGGTGAACGATATAAACGAGGCTGTCTCGTATCGTGAGGAAGGACCCGCACATATCTGTGACTTTCGCCGGCGGTATTTCTTTAGATAAGCCAGACAGAACAGCCATTTCATCCAGGTGGAGCAGGCGGTAGGCAGTAATAACCGTTGAGAGAATACTTCGGCATAAGTCGGGTCGTTCGTACCGTAGCTGTTGAATTTGTCACATCATCCGACTGTACAATGGTTTCAGGCCGGGCGGTATGTCGTTTAACACTTTTAACACCTCCCAGCTATGTACTTCTTGTAGCATATCCAGAACTTCAACCTGCAGGTTTGGGTCGCTCTTGAACGCTTCTAGTTTGGAAACGTGATATTCAATATACGCATTGACGGCATGGGACACCTGTTCTGCGTTCTCCTTTAGCTCTAAGCTTAATCTTGCTCTGGACTCGGTAGGCTTTAGCATTCGGTCAATATCATCTCGGTAGCGACTGGACAAAATCCACTTGACTCGAGATGAAGAGCATGTCCGAACTATTAAATCGAGAAGCTGCGGCAGACCCGTCTCGCATTCATCAAGCGCGTCGACGAAAAAGTAAGCACTCTGTAGGCTTGAGTCTTGAAGGATGTCGGAAAGGATGTCGCAAAAGATCTTGGATAGGGCTACCCAGGCATTTGCATCCTCAAACAGCGATTTCCCTGCGTGATCATACTGCTTCTGTACATGCGAGATAAGAGACTGCTTCTGTGTAACGAGCATGTAGATCAGGCCGCGTAGTACCGCCGTCGCGTTGTTAATACGCAAGTCGGTGGCCTGGCAGAAGAAGAAGGACAGAACCCCAGCATCGGTATTTGACTCCAGCTCCTTCTCCATCTCTTCAACAATCCCACAGAGTAGCATTGTTTTTCCTTTGCTAGGATCGCCCTTGATCCAGAGCAGGCGGTGGTTTGGATCGTGTCGCCATTTCTGAAAGTCGGCATGGTCGAGGATCCAGCAGTACGACTCTTTCAGCAGGTACCCCTTTGCGTTTTGGATGCGACTCTTGTCATGGCGGGGGTCGGTCGATCGTAAGTCAGCGAGGCATTGACTATGTGGTATTTCTTTCCCTCATTAGCATTTGATTGTGCGTTGCGAATTAAGCGATCGTACCAAGAATTTGGTTTCCTTCAATGATGATATTCCCAGGCCCCACGTTCTGATTCCCGGTTCCAGAATGATATACTTGCGAAGCCGGCTCATGATGGCTATGTGGAGAAACGAGGGTCGGTGTTGCCTGTCGCTTTTTGGGTCTGCCTATGTAGGCGGGAGCTAGCTCATCGGACCCGAGTCTCTTGGATCTGCTGTCCATGTTGTGGTCTGGTTGATGAAGACACGGCACAGTCCAGATGGCAATACGTTCTTACGAGAAGAAAGCGTAAGGCTGAGGGATGCGCTAATGAAAACGGGATGTCGACCGCTATATTGGCCGACCTAACTATGAAAGTGACAGACTTATTTCCTCTATGTTTTCAATCAAATTGATAATTAAGAGGACAGACAAATCAGGAGCTCTTCACAATAACTATTATGGCTAGTTTCTTATACCAGCTGTTAGAAGTACTCGAAAACGATGCGCCGGGTCGCGATCGTTTGTACCTGATCTTAGCACTAAACCCTAAATTGAGTTCGATTTACTATGTAACATCCACCCTTATGTAACCCCACTTTCTTAGACGTGGTACTCATGCCTACTATGTAATGCGACGGTGACCACGATCTCGAGGAACTTGGTGAGAATACACTACTCAATGCGACTCTTTATCCACACGGCTTTGGCGCTCTATCATCAGCGTTAGCAGCGTATAAGAATCGTGCAGCAATGGGAGCGGCTCATACCGATTGCTTCTGCTCTAACTGTTTGAAGCACGCCCAGTGTTAACGACTAGGGACAATTGTGATTGATTGGTTTCTGTGTATCAGCTCTGTGTTCTCTTGAGTCCCGTCGTTCTCCGCACTTCATGGTGCCATGAATGGCCGGATCGGAGGTAAGGCCAGCCACTTTACCACAGGGGGCTGCTGACACCCAGATCTGCAGTGTATTTTGAATCCCGTTAGCGTGGGTCATCAGTGGAGCATAAAATCACCACTGAAGCCCTGTTTGAAGAAGTCATCCGGTACGTACCTATGGGAAGACTCACTTGTTGGTTTTATCGATACTTTGGATGAGTGCGAGGAATCATAAATACGGGACATGGTATCATTTCTAAGCGAGATCGCCGTCTCCACGGGAATCAGACTGCACATTTGTTTCGCAAGCAGGCACTACCCGCATATTACCGTCGAGAAGGCTCTTGACCTTGTACTTGAAAGCTAAAAAGAACATAGTCAGGATATAGCCAGCTACCCGAGCACCGCGTTACGTGTTGGTCACAGTAAACTTGCTGAGAAGATCCGTGCCGATCTCCAAGAAAAGGCATCTGGCGTCTTAACGTGAGTATTCCTGAAACCCAGTGTGCTACCAGGATTTATGATTGCTCTTTATGCATTAATAGATCATGCGAGTCTCAGAGGCGCGACTAGCATCACGTCCTCCAATACTAATCATCTTTGGCTCAAATGGACGCATATATATGTATGCCAGGATTAAGCGCTGGTCATTGTGCATTCGAAGCCGGCGTGTAAGGAACATTAAGACATCCCTATTAGGTACCACCTGGCTGACAGCTTCGACTCCCTCGTACTACGAGAAGTGGCCCTCGAGACATGCACTAATCATGAGGCGACCAGTGTTCTAGCATATTAAGAACTTCTTTAGACTCAGGTCGATATTAAGGTATGTAAAAATCGATTGTGAAGTATTTCAAGTTGAAAGATAGGAATAAACGCTTTAGATCAGAGGATGCTCTCAAGCCAGAATTGAATTCAGCAAACCGCAACTTAGACTACCCGTGCCACACCTCACTTATTTTGGACTCACTTAAGCTCATCAACAGATCCGATATAGGCCAGAAAGTGCAACGTGAAACTGTAGGCACTCAGTCGCTATCCTATTTAGTATATCCATCTATTATGGACTGCACCTGCTTACGTCAGAAGTGAGATGCGATGCCTCCTTTTTAGGAGACAGAATTATTCGTTTCAATCAACCCCAAAGCTTATAGATCAGCCCTTGAACCGCCAGATTACTAGTTGACTGGGTGACCACTAGCGAATCCCTGGTGTTTTATGTTTTTGCCATATATTTTACTTTTTCTTTCAAAGTCGTTTGCTAGATATTGCAAATATCTGTAGCTAGGTTTGGTCTTGCTAGAGGCCTTATCCCTAGTCCCAACGTTTTGTGGTAGACTTGGTTTCAGCCATGCATGGATATTGATCGTCCTTGTTATGCTGTGGTGCCCGGAACTAGATTTCTCCTGGTCTCTGCTAGCATAAATAGGCTGTAATTCTAGAACACACCATCTGTAGCTCGTTTATCTCCCCCCCATTCACCTCCGATCCTGTCATTACCACCCAGAAGCAGTCCATACATTTCCCAGGCTTTCCCAGACATGTCACGGCCTTGAACTTAGGCCTTCAGCCCTAGGCATCTGGCAAGGAGTCTAGTACTTACTTAGCCTGACAAGGTGTTTGCAAAAATAGAATCCTGCGCATCTATTAATATAGCTCTTGAGCTTTGGGCTTGATTCAGCCATAGGTGATGCGAGTGCGTATGGGGTGTGAATTGTTGTATTGGGAAAGGATGGCCAGATCAGCTATTCTGGCCTGGCAGAGCTCTTTTATAGCTCTTATCTATCTTATCTATAGCTATAGGGTAACCCCCCATGGGGTCACGTATCAATAGGATACCCTGAAGCATAGCCTTCTTGTCCTCACGGCCCGTGACAAGACAAGACATCCCGTCTAAAATTGGCTGTATCGCGTGGTATATACTGAGGTGAGTTATATCCTGTGAAAATTCTGGTCGATATATAAGAAAGTAATAGATTTCTTCAAGCGATTCGGAAGCGTTTGATACCGCGATATGTCGCGCCTGGGAGTACGGCGATGGTATACATTCGATTAACCAAGGGAAAGTTTGCAGTGTTATCAGCAGAATCCGGCTCGCCTGCAACAACGCCAACCTGTTTTACGCGTGATAGATATTGAAGATACGTTGACCGACTAACAGCTAGGCGGTAGGGAGGCGCTATTATAGACTCTAGCCGCCCCACTTCTAGAAACCGAAACCTGGGCGCCAATCACGAAAGAGGAAACTAGATTAACGCTTGGTATATATTAAGCCACTGGCTTCAAGTAATCGATCGCCCTGCTCGTCCATTTACCACCACACAATCATATACAGTTGATAGGACAAAGCTCTTGACAATCTTGCATCCTGGTCTCGCAAAGCCCTACAACTGGCGAAAACCGGTATGGAAGGATATATGGGTATTGTTCTCAAGAATGCAATAATTCGATTCAAACTTGGAAAGCATCTCAGCGAATCTGAGTCGACTGTTTAAACGAATTTGTAAACAGACAAGTTGATGCGAGTGCATATGGGGTGTGAATTGTCGTATTGGGAAAGGATGGCCAGGTCAGCTATTCTGGCCTGGCAGAGCTCTTTTATAGCTCTTATCTATCTTATCTCTAGCTATAGGGCAACCCCCATGGGGTCACGTATCACAAGTCTATAATTCTCAAGTTGAGAGCCATAAATTAGTGAGCAGCGTTATTCCTTATGATTCCTTGTATGTGTTACAAAGCTGTGACAAGGTTCCAAGTAAGAGAATGAGGCAACTCAATTGTCCCTAAAGATCCAAACACCATGTAAGCCTAAACCTACCGCTTTTAGTCTTTAATATGAACTATGTATGCCATAGTGGACGACGATAGTGTCTAGAGCAGTTCTGGCGAGCCCTCCGTAAGTCCGTCCCCCTTCCCATCACCCTGAACGCCTATTATGCCACATCTTATAAACCCAATAAGCGGCAGCAGACCCCAAAATCGTTCTATAAGCGACAAAAACCCCCACCGCCACATTGATGCGCTCATAATACCCAGCCAGCAACTTCGAACTCGCATCCTGTCGCTGCGACCCAACCGCCAACCCGCTAATCCCAACCTCATTCCGCTTTAGCTCCGACTTCGGCTCCATAACCGCGATGGCCTCCGTAGTAGCATCTACAGCCGTCTGACTAGCCAGCCTAGAACTCGGCCAAGTCCCCGCGCTAAGGTCGCCCGCATTATTCTGCCTCGACCCGCGCGTCAACATCCACACTAGTAGACGCAAATCAGGGGCAGTGAAAGTGGGATACCTCCACAAATCCACGGCATTGTGGGGGGGAAGCATGTCTAGTAAGTCAGCCAGGATACCCAAAGTGAGACCCCAGAGGAGCAACGGCTGCTGGTGCGTCAGGCCCTTTTTCTTTTCTTTAGGGGCGATGCCGAAGGCACCCTCGAGGAACATTTCGAGACGAGTTTCGCCTGTTGAGGGGATGAAGCCCGGTATGGAAGACGCAAAGATGCTCTCTGAGGGAGCTAGTCGGATGGCGGAGAAGACCATGCTGCCGATGAGAGTGCGGAGGAGAATGCCTGCCACGGGCCCGCCCTGCTTCACCATTCGACTTGAAGTGTCCACGTACTCCGAAGTTCGCAAGTTCGGAGAGAGCAGGGCTCGGATTGGAACCCAATGTGCGGATGCGACTTCGGTGGGCTGTGGCGACACCCTCGGGACGTCTTTGCTTGTGTACAGGAAGATGTACGGACACAATACCATCAAGGCCTCTCGTCGGCCGGTAGTTGCCACGACGCGTTCTGGTAGGTCGCCGACCGGAAGACAGTTTGGTGCGCGCAGATCGAGACCGACCTCCTCCCTGGTCTCGCGAATCGCGGCAGCAATATCGCTTTCATCATCGGCGTCTCGCCTGCCCCCTGGCAGTGCAATATGGCCAGACCACGAATCTCCCACCCTTCCGGCTCTCTTTATGAACAGCACCTCGGCATCTCCGTGCCGCACCCATTCCCGAGAAAAGAAGTCATCTAGCGACGATGCGGCCGAGTCTCGCGGCTCAATGTGAACAATGGAGCCATGGGCCTCGGGAACAGGACTGTAGGCAGGCCGAACGCGAATCACGACGGCGACACTAGCGCGCTTCTTACAGCCGTCTGGATTTGAAACGTGGGGACACGGATTGGAGACTAATTGGTTCAGGACATGGTGAAGAGTTGCCACAATCTCTCCAGAATGCTGGTCGGCCATGCTGATGTGGAGTACAGGAGGGAGTTTGGGCACAATCTCGAGTGCTTGGTAGCGTCGCTTCGAACTCGGGGATTTCGGGGGTCCGCGAGCCGCAGACGTCAGCCTCAAATGGGCACTTCCAGACCTTCTAAATACAGCGAACTTCTTTGCATGCAGTCGAGCCCAGAAGCGAATATACGTGCAAGTGGACAGCAAGGTTTGAATGATCTCAAGTGGCGCGATGACGTTACATTTCGGCCAGTCCCGCAGCTCCGCAGGATCTTCGACATTTTGGGTTGTGGCTTAGCGCTTTGAATTTCAGACCAATGAGTTGACGAGAGACAATGGTTCCAGCCAACGACGCTGGGATTCATGTTTGGCCAAATATTGACCCGTGTCGATCCATGTTGTGCTACTTAAATCACAAGATCTTCAATGACGTTGACTTTCTAGAATCATCACATGAATATATGCGAAACACACAGGCACGACATGCGCTCTACAGCGACAGTCTGTTACATGATGCCGCCTCGTGGCGCAGTACACGTACAACTATGTTCCATTCATACGTATCTCAAGCAAGCGCATATGCGAACTTCATAGAATCCATAGTGATACATACCAACGGCTTTTGAGCCAAAACCTGTGGGCTCCAGGTTTTGGCTCTCTTTTCGGTCAGTAGGACCTCGGTGAAAACGATTTCGCTCGCCAGCATCTAAACTACTTATTTATCGTCTCCATGCAGATAAAATTGGGTTGGGATCGTTGGTCGCAATGAAGTGCTATGGTTTGCTGGCATGGTACAGAAACTCATATAGTATAGTGGGAGAGCATGTGGTAACGGTCGTGAGTTCGGAGATGTACACGAGATGTGACTTGTCCGTCAACCGTAGTAGTCATTCGTGGCAGCTCGGTGTCGTAACAAAAGGAGGAGAGGGTAGATCTCCCCTCGAACCGGTTCGTGTCGTTGTAGGCGGGAAATGCGAAGCGTTGTCTCCAAAAGGATAGTTCGGGGTGTTTTCGAGAATGTCAAGTTCTCATCATTTCTTCCAATGCCAAGCTGATTGTTACCGATTATGGTCTGGGAGCTAAAACTGTCAGTTCATTGTTCCAATCATGTCGGGCGGACGCCATGGCCGAGTCCTTCTCCTAATTGCCACATCGGGATAGGGTGCGCATGTCGTTAGAATTTCGTGTAAGTGACGTTAGGAGCTTGCGTGTATGGAGCCCTGTCTAAATCTACGCAATCGATGCCCCATGTTTCAGGGTTTTGGCGGGTTCACCATCATGCGCTTCTGTCTTCATGGACAGCCGCTAACAGCTTGAGTTGCGGTTGTGGAGAGCAGGTTGAAGATCCGCAGTCATGGCGATAAAGATATCCGCCAAGGGACCCTGAGGGCTAGTTAAAAGACTGTGGCGAACCTAGGTGGTGGGGCGGCTTCAGTGTCCACTCCATACAGATCTCGAAAAGTCGCGAAACTTCTGGTAATCACCTGCGCGGGAGACACCATCAGCCATAAGGTGGCTTGATGTCGCGGGAGAGAGATGCACCGCAGAACCCATCTAGATCCCGAGTTCAAATACTTCGTACTGCCCCCAGTACCGCACATCGTCGTGTTACGTGAGGGAATGGCGTGATTCCTTCCGGTTTTTTTGCAGGTAGTGATATGGGACCGAAAAGCTGCATATTATCAGGCCCAGCCTTTGACGCGGCGTTGAGTTCTAGACCACGATCGAGAAAGGGGTCGTCGAAAAGCAATTTCCAATGCCAAAGGCGAACCCATATTTGAAAGTCCTGACACGATTGTAAACAGAGAGAAAAATTGCAACGATCGGTCGGCGGCCTCGAAGAAGTTGAAGCGACCCAAGGATATTCTTTCCCGGCCGGGCGCTAAACGCAGCCACAGGGCGCCCGCACCCAACCTATCAGCAATGTCGTGGAGCATTTGCTCCGAACAATATCCAAGTGCAGCACGTTGACTTTGCTAGAACTTGTTGAGAGGAACACATCTGACATTCGGTGATTTTTTTACGTGTCACAAAGCCCCGAGCCTGTCTTCCTTGTCGCCACACGATTTGTCGAATGAAGCCCTGAGAGAAACTTGCCGGTTTGGTGGCGAAATCACTCAGCTCGACTGTTGCTGCGAACAACCCACACCAACCCATTGCCGGAACAAAACCCCAGTCAATCCTCGAGTAAAGCCACACCAACAACTAATGTCAGCCACACTTCTCCAGTCCTGTTGCGGTACCATAGACGAAATCGTGCGTTGCTGTCGAACCTCTTTTCCCGGAGACTTTTTACAAGCTCATACTACTGCAACTCCGTTGCTTGTTTTGGATCCACGGCTTTAATGTGCACTGAGCACTATGCTGAATGCCCAGTCTGCGGGAAGCAATACCTTGTATACGTCGCGTTCTGTCGAAACTATCATCCCCCGCACACCCGTTGCCCATGGCAAATAAAAATTGAGAGAAACGTCATGGAGGAAGGGCGGTGTCCGAGTCCCGTCTGCCCATTCAGTCGTACAGGAGGATGCCAAGTCAGTTAATCGGAGGAAATGCTTTACCAAATCGACATAGCCCTGGGGGGAAAAGGAAAAGGAACGACAGGCCACGTAGCTCAGAGCTTCTCGTCAGCAGGGCTTACTTCAACGATCTGGTCAATGCCTTGGTATTCCGGGATGTCAAAATCGTACTTCTTCGCAATTGAAGGAGCAACAAAGCTATTGGTAAGTCAGCTGAAAGACAGCCGAAGCTGGACTACGGGGCTTACCGTCCACCAACGAAGTGTCGGCCTTTGAAGTACTTGACCAACGGCTTTGGTGCAGTCAAGCTAATCAGATACTCAGGATGGAACGAGCTTCCAAGGCCTGTTTTCGGCGGTCCATCTTCAATGTTCCAAGATGATGGAGCGTCCACGGAGGTAACGGGAAGGTTGGTCTCTTCCAAGGCCTTAATCACAGCCGGAAAAGGCTCGCGAACTTCGCCCGAGAAACTGAAACCTACTCGAGATCAGCTCTCAACCCGACGGTCCAACGGGCCACCGGTGATGCCAACCGAAAAGCGCATCCACTATGTGATCCGTGGACTTCAGAGCCTCGGGAAAGTCTTCGACAAAGGGAACATCGAGGTCCTCCAGTTGTTTGGCAAGTCGCTATACACAGAATGATCAGCCACGCTGTATCTGACGGGTTGGAAGTCCATGACGGAGTTAATGCACACGAATGCTATCGTGAACACCCGCTTGGAGGACTTTTCCGTTCAATTTTTGCCGTAGACACATTTCAAAGAGAACACAGACAATACAGATACTTCAACTTCCAATCAGACAACTCACCAAACGCGCCTATGTGGCACTGCAAATAAATATGGGCTCTCTGGAATAGACAATGAAACAAGAAGTGTAGTAGAGATGAGGAGTGACTTGGATCCCGTGTGCTTGAAGCTGGTAATTTGACGAAAACCGAGAATGGCCTTCTTACCTGGTAGAGATCATTCTTACTGCGCCTAGGGTAGTACACGGTTGGTTGGTAGCCATATTGTCGGAGATGACGAGCAGCAACAAGACCATCACCACCTTGTCACCATAATGAGCTTTCCTCTTCACAATTCATTCGGTTCTGGGACTGACCGTTGTTTCCGGGTCCGCAAGCAACGAGGACTCGGTGGCCTTTGTGGATGGGGTGAACACGGTACACTGCTCAGAAGTTAGATGTCACCAAGGCAAAGTTGAAGGAGTGATATAGATAAAGTAGAGAATGGGGCCGGTAGGCGCAGTTGCGTGCGTTGTCCGGCCTTTTCGAACCATGCCGTTGTTGACGCGGAAGGAGAATGGACCTGGGGGTGGGGAGAGGGGGGAGCCTTGGCAGACTCCATGCGAACATCACGGACGTACCAACCTGCGACACAGAAAGCCCAGCTAACTCCATGAGCTGGTCGATGGAGAATGCTCCAGTGCTCATGAGCTCCTTGTCCAGCGCTGCCGCCGCCTTGGCACCGAGAGTCTACATTGTCTTAGTGGAATCTCCAAATTTTATTATTTGGGATAACGAACGTACTTTGAGAGCCATTGATTGTTGATGAGTGAAGATGAAAATTCGCAAGACCAATCAATGTGTTTGCTGGAATGAATAATTTAAAAAAAATTCAGAAATGCAGTTACGGGGTTATCTAGAGCGTCGTTCGAATGAGAAGCGTTATTACGTAGATGTGTCTTTGATTAGGTGATGGATTGACATCACTCTTCAGTACCAGTTCTTTGACGATCACGCACCGGACCCCGCCCCGAAAGTTAGTTGTCGCTGTCCACGCTAGGGGACCAATGGTAGTCCTGTGAATATTCCTTCCATAAGCAAAGATAGAGATACCAACACCACCTATAATTGGCTAACGGAACAACCTATTACCGCCGAAATTCGCGACTCCCGAAAAGTTGAGCTAAGCACCTAGGCTCCTCGAGCGCTTCAATTGAAAGTAGACTGCGATTCGATGTAGTTTCAGGTCAACTGCCATAGACGCCATGACTCTCAAAATCCGTCTTGCACGCTTCGGGCGTCGCAATGCGCCATTTTACAACATTGTAGTTGCACATGCTAGGTTCGCTTGCCTATCCCAATTGACAATCTCAGCACAACCAACTGACCGGTCCATTACAGAACGGCACGAAACAGCAAACCCCTCGAAGTCATAGGAACGTACGACCCGAAGCCAAGAGCAGATGCCTACGATGACTCAGGTCGTCTGCACAAGGAAATCAACCTTGATTCTATACGCGCCAAGTACTGGATCGGTGTAGGTGCGCAGCCTACAGACTCGATGTGGCGGTTATTGTCTATGGTGAGTGCTGTTCTGGTAACGAGGAGGAGGACGGTCCCAATGCCCGAGGATCGGCATACTGAACAGCTGATGTGGCAGGTTGGCATCATGGAACCGAAATACCGAGACACGAAACCACGAAAGCCCCTCGAGTTGCCCCCGGATGCTAAGGAGTTTGCAACGAACATATGATGGGGGAAGGAGGTTGATGTATTATACCCCCGTGACAAGCATAGAGGGCGTTTTGGCATGGTCAAGGTAAATGAGATCGAGTGTATCATACGGGAATGAACGATTTGAGCAGTTCGGGATATACAGATCACGCATGTAAGCCTCATGCTATGCCACACGAATAGAGACACATGCCTCATTGGTGGGCATCTAGGGTCCGATGGCTCTCTGCATTGGGGTGCAATCGCCGGCTGTGTTAATGGCTGACTTTCGATCACGACTCCTATGTACTTAGACCTGCATTGCATCTTCGATTTGGAACCACAAGCGGCAAAGTACAGAAGTTTCACACTCGCTTCATTTGTTATGAGAATCGAACAGCACTGATGTGTGCTTGATCACTGCAAAGCGTAGCAAAACACAATAGACATTACCTAGTATTTAACACCTTTTGCACCTTGTTTACCTATTTTGTTGTACGTCAAACTGGGTTTCAAATCTCAAGTCAACGTCCTGGGTATGAAGTTCTTCTGTGAGCTGATCACTCCGGGGACCCTTCCTCTTCGAAAACGACCAAAACTGTACCGGCTTTACACACGTCCTAAAACTCATTAGCAATGAACACGACACCAAAAAGAGGGCCATGGGTACCCACGCCTTCCTTATGTGCAAGTCGCTTGATAACGCCATCCTGTGGAGACCGAATCACCGTCTCCATCTTCATGGACTCAATGACAACAAGGGGAGCCCCCTTGACCACCCTGTCGCCCTCGCTAGCTTCGTTCTTGAGCACCTTGCAAGGCATAGGCGCAACGACTGAAGCCGTGACCTCCTTGAGACCCAGAGCCTTTTCGTACCATGTTGGTGGTAGCAAGGCCAATTCTGTCTTCATACCATGCTGGAAGATGGAAACTTTATGGTCATTTGTCGGATCCTGGACGACGGTTGTTTGTATCCTTGAATTGGGGAAGTACGTCGATAAGGTTGTCGTGTCTCGGCTGCTAGATGTGGGCGCCGAGACCAGGTTCTGGAAGTCTTGCTCCTCTTCTCCCTTCCGTATCACCCTGGCATCGAAGAGTTGGTTTCCTTTCTGGGTGATGCTGACCTCTACAACCTCGCTCTCCTGTTGCTCTGACGCTTCAATGGTCTTGAAGGCAAACCTACGCTCACTTGCACTGATGCCAAAGCCCAATGAGGTGCCATGAGGTCCGGTAGAGCTCGTCAGTGACGAAGCGAACATACCAAGTGCTGCCTGAACGAACACTTCTGGCTTGATGCCCAAAGGATCAAAAAGCTCTGATTTCCACTTGTCAATAAACCCAGTCTCGACATCGCCCTGGATGAAGGCCGGTGACCGGCACAGCCGCTTAAGGAATTCGATGTTAGTGCTCAAGCCGACGACTTCATAATCACGAAGGGCCAACTCCATCTTCCTGATTGCCGTTTCGCGGTCCGGTCCCCTTACTATAAGTTTCGCGATCATTCCATCATATGCTTCACTCACTGTGTCGCCCTCCACAAAGCCTGCATCTATACGAATGTCCTCGTTGGTCTTTGGTGTTGTTAAATGCACTAGCTTTCCGGAGTCTGGCACGAATCCTCGTTCGGGACTCTCAGCATATATTCTTGCCTCTATCGCAGCACCTCGCTCTGCGATTCGGTCCATGATTTCTTCCTGCGTCAAAGGTAATTTCTCCCCGGCGGCAACCCTGAATTGCCATTCGACGAGATCCGTGCCCGTGACCATTTCGCTGACGGGATGTTCGACTTGTAATCGCGTGTTCATTTCCATGAAGTAGAAGTCCCCACTGTCCTTATCGAGGATGAATTCGACTGTTCCCGCACCGACGTAGCCCACTGCGAGTGCAGCGATCCTTGCCTTATCCCACAGGTCAAGTTTTGTGGCATCGTCCAGGTTAGGTGCTGGTGACTCTTCGAGGATCTTTTGATGTCTCCTCTGCACACTGCAGTCCCGTTCTCCCAATGCGACACAGTTACCCCATTTATCGGCAAAGACTTGTACTTCGACATGTCTCGGCCTCACGATATACTTCTCCACCAACATCACCTCACCACCTTCCCCAAAAGATGCCCTCGCCTCGGCTCGAGCGCTCTTTAACTGCTGCAGGAACTCGCCTTCCTCCACCACAATGCGCATGCCCTTTCCACCCCCACCCTTGACGCTCTTGAGCAGCACAGGGAACTTGATATTCTTGGCATGGTTCAACAGCTCCGTCTCATCTTGCTCGCTACCATGGTATCCCGGTACACAAGCGACACCAGCCTGAGTCATGATCTCCTTGCTCCGCGCCTTGTCTCCCATATCCGTCATGGCTTTGGCGGGGGGGCCAACGAACACAATGCCCTCTTGCTCGCAACGCTGCGCGAACGCAGCATTCTCGGACAGGAAGCCATAGCCGGGGTGAAGCGCCTGGATGCCGTTCTGCTTTGCCAGCTTAACTATCCTTTCCCCATCGAGGTAGCTATTCGCGGCTCCGAGTCCGATCGAGTTGGGCGAGCATGCCGCATGTTGTGACGATGCGTCGGGATCGGTGTATAGCGTTGTGGTCTGAATACCGAGGCGTTTTGCGGTTCGATTTATACGCAGAGCAATCTCGCCTCGATTGGCTATGAGGAGGGAGGTTATGGGGGTAATATCGGGTTGAGCCGAGGTGCTCGAGTTGAAGAGCCGACGAGGGAAGGCATGTCGGTTGAGATGCCTTGGCTTGATGGAGCGCATGCTGACAGTTTGGTACTTGGAAGAAGTTCAATTGATGAATTTTGCAGACACTTGAAGGGAAATAAGGTCTACATTATCAGGACTGATAAAGTGTCTTGCCGTAAGCACGACAACACATTCCATCTAGACCGTCCACACACTATGTAGGAAGGTACAAAGCTGGGGAAAGCCGACGATATGCGCTCCACCCGATCTATGCCGGACCGCAAGCTTTACTTGGGCATATCGCGTGTCTCCACAACTGCGCGTCATAGCTCCCGAAACTGCCCCTCCATCGTGAGGATAGTCGCTGAGTCCTGACTAAGGTAAAACAACATAGTCGAAAGAACTCCGCACACAACCCGGAAGCCATGGAGCAAATACCACTGAACCACGAGGCCTCGGCTGGCGATACCAACAAGCAAGCCGTCAACGAGCTTCCGCCTGATGTCGTTCAATGCCTTGAAAACGCCCGTTTCGTGAGCTTTGCGCCCCGCGCCAGCAAATGGGAAGCCCACACGACCAAAACTAACCAAGATTCCGAATAGCTTCATCTTGCGACATGCATTGACAATCAGCCCCATGTGTCGCTGATGAACTACACCTACCTGCCGTCCTCACCTTTCTCGACCGCGCCTGTCATTGTAATGACAACGAACCCATCCTCAAAGAAGACGAACAACTTAGTCGAAAACCCGAATGTTTCGTTGCTGGTACATGATTGTAGGATCCCGTCCTCATTGACATAGTGGAGACAGAGCTCATGAAAAATAGGGGTATCACACAGACCACCAACCCAAAGCCGGCGGCCATCAGGAGGCTCCCCTGGTCCAGAACACCGATCGAGTCTCGCCTCTCTGCTACTCAATATGAACTCAAGCGCCATTAGTAGTATCAGCGCAACGATAAATGGAACGGCCACCTTGGTGTCGCAGGGATCCGCGGAGGAGACCTACTACAGGAACCAACATCTCGAGAACAATACATTTGACTCTGAGAACCCATTTGTTTTCAACCAGCAGCAGACGAACCAGGAGGATGGCGGCCGGGAATGTTTCGTGGCTGGCGAGGAGGTCAGGGTCATCGTGGTCAGCATTAAAGATATACGGACAAGTGACTGGAAGGGTGGTGTCAAGGACTGGGTATTGTCTCCGGCAACGGGGCCAGCGGCCAACGGCGTTTGATGGAGGTAGGTTTCCACGAGTATGTAGCGAACAAATTGAAAATTATGTAAATGTCTGAAGCTTCTAGTCTGGAGTGACTAGAGTCGGTGTCGGGTTTGATACTAACTTGGATGACACTAATTTAAATCAATATTTCAACCCACAGAGGGTGAGTATTTCGCAGCATGTTAAACGGTTTTGCTTCACAGCTGAGAATTGCAACTAACCCATGCCCCTGGATGCCTTAAAAGGAAGGCCGAATTTATTTGCACCTTCTTGAAGGTTTCGACAATGACTAGGTATGGAATACTTAATCTTGCACATTCCAAATGACTTTTGACCGACAGGCTTCGCCCGTGGAAGCAGCGTAGGAATCCACCGCCTTGCATTGTAAGAGTATTTCTTCTTTGCTCCGCCTCTTCACGAGTCCACCTCCCACGGTACATTGCGTTCCATTGAGCACCAGAACTAGTCTGCGGCGGCGTTCTTCCGGCATAATGACGACTCGTAAATCTGGAAATAATTGGATTGCCCAGTTTTAGAACCGGAAGAGAATGCTTCTTCGCTATGTCTTCGGCGTTACACTGCCTCCAGGTGATGCAACTAAACTCGTTCCGGTAATTTCTATAGCATTTCGGGCTTTCTGTCCCACGTTGCGAAGAACCAGAGACCGTTATGGCGGTTGGACATTATATCCAGTAATCTGCACTTAGAATTCAGGTTTGGTTCTGCCATTGGCGCTTGGAACGTTATAGCTCTCGAACGCATCATTGTCTTGCCTCGCTACCTCTAGTACCACGCCAACTTACTATTCTTCGCGGCAAGATGCACAACTGGGCCAGGAAGTTGAACTTTCATAAGAGCAAGATATGTTAATCACAAGGTACGTGATATTTAGAACGACATGAAGATACATATTGATAATGATAACATGCATTTATGTCAAGTTATGGTCGAGGAGTGGTTAATTCAGCCTAGTTTAAGTTGGGTTCCCAACGTCTGGCCGGAAAGGCATTACACCCCTATTCACGTGTCAAACACCCGCGATGCAAAAATCTCCCGCTATCTAGGGCCAACTTTGTCTCAATATGGAAAGCGCTTACTGACGTAAAGGTAGCTACAGAACGATCAATACGGTCGGACTTCGGCCCTCGAACGGAACTACGCCACATGCAGTCCGACGATTACGTCCATGATCTGCGGACCTCGGTAAATCTTGGTCTCCTTTGACGACCATCGCCACCTAACGGCTGACGGCTTACTCGGGAATTAGTATATGCCATCCATATCTCCATCTCCTCTTGGCATCCATCGTCTCCATCTGCTAGAAACAATACTACCGACGACTTGGCCCAGCAATGTTAGTCCGGCCCAGTTGAGCTCACAGAGAGAATTATCAGTTAACTAAGATGACAGCAATACTCAATATGGACACTGGAAGCTTGTTTAAAGTCGATGGGATGGTGGCAGCCATCACCGGAGGCGGAACTGGTGGGTTCTCTGTCCAACCGCATACATCTGTTGACACGTATCTGACACTGAACCCAGGTATCGGATTGATGATGGCAAAGGCACTTGCCAACGCCGGGGCGAAGAAAGTTTACATATTGGGACGGCGAAAAGACAAGCTTGACGCTGCCGCCTCCGAGACCCCAGCACTGATTCCTCTAGAATGCGACGTGACGAGCAAAGAATCGCTCCAGTCAGTTGTAGACTTTATTACCATAGACACCGGTTACATCAACCTCCTCCTAGCCAACTCAGGTGTTGTAGGCCCCACCAAGCGATACGATCCCAATCTTTCAATCTCAGAACTGAGAAAGTCCATCTTCGAAGATGTGTCCATGGACGAGTTCACCCAGACCTTTCACGTCAATGTCACGGGTGCCTTCTTCACCATGATGGCTTTCATCGAGCTTCTGGATGCGGGCAACAAAAATGCACTCAAGGGCGGATTTGGAGCTCCGCTGAAGGCAGGCGGCCCGGTGCCTTCGATCCAAAGCCAGATTATTACCACGGCCAGTATTGCGGCCTACAGCCGGGCCACGTTCTCGACTCCGGCGTACTCGGGCAGCAAGGCGGCTATTGCGCATCTTACGAAGCATGCATCGAGTAACCTGGTGAAGTACGGGATTAGAGTAAATGCTATTGCTCCTGGCTGTAAGTTTTAGAACCAGTGTACTGTATCCGGGGTTTAACGTGTGGCAGTGTTCCCTTCCGACATGTCGCAGCACTTAATGGCCTCACGAGATCCGGCAACCGAGTCCATTGATGATCCTCGCTTTATTCCTGCGGGTCGCTTCGGCGGCGACGAGGAAATGGGCGGCACAATTCTCTACTTGGCTGGTCGCGCTGGCGCTTTCAATAATGGCATGATTCTTGTTATGGATGGAGGGAGGTTGTCTGTCATGCCGTCTGCGTATTGATTGGACAATCCCTGCATTACTTTGTAGGTGGCCACTGGATAAACCTCTCTCGAAATCAACTTGGTTATAGCAAAAGAATGTGTAAACGAAAACAAGGCTTGGCCCTAGCTAAGTACATATAGCAAACGACGTCAGAAGTAATTAAACAATGTGTGACTATCAACTGCATGGCTCTTCTATTTCTTGTGAGCCTTTTCCTGATCAAAACAGTGTGATGCGGGGCGGGGATATGTACAGCGGGGGTGGTTGATTACGTGGTTCATATTGACCGTGAGGCGAGGAAGGAGGTTGATGCGTTTACGCAACTTGCTACTCCCACAGCCGACTACAATATCCAGTATACCAAATAGTGCCATGTAATCGTTACACATCTTGTAGAATCCAGAAAGCCCTGCGTAACATGATATGGGGAATTTACAGCTAATGCCGCGCATTAATTTGACCCGAGTTGTTGAGTCCTTACCAATGCTTCGAATGGCAGGTTTCCAATCTGGGTAAATTAAACCACTGGAGCTACACACCGAGAATCCTAGTAATACCTAATCTCAGCATCCGCAACCGCGATCTAAATATCAACTTTGACAGCAACGATCTTTTTGGCCATGAAACCAGTCACGTACAACCACGCCCGCCTCTTTCCCTCCTCTTCATGCGGATCAATAGCCACAAGAACAGCAGCACTTGCGGACCGGATCCGGGATCCATCGTCCTCAAACAGCAATTGCTTTTCCCAGTCGTGTGTACTTGGACTGACCTCACCACTCCCACCGACGGAAGACTGGACACTTGGTTTTGCGAGCCATACCATGGCACCATCTTTCGCCGTGGGATCCCTCATATTCTTCAGCAAGTCGATGGGTCGTGGAATACCAGATGCCACAAAACCACTAGCATCATAAGAACTGTTAGCATAGGGATCGTGGAAGTAACTCGGATTATCCACTACGGAATCAAACTGCAATGATTCCAGCAAGTGGATTTCGGTGTGACTGTGGTGGTTTTCTTTGGTCGTGGAGTGCACATTTGCAATGTGCAAGATGCCACTCATGCAGCTTGTAAGCATGAACTCATCCTCGGAGCGGCTATGACCTAGCCCATTGGTGTTGCGCAGCTTATCCAGAGCAATTTCCACACTGACATCTTCCTGGGGAGCCTCGAGCGAAGACAATTGAACATGGACGACGCTTCCCCAGTTTGCACCTGGCCAGACGTCTTCAATAACTCTCATTCTCCCCTCGGTGTGGCGGTGATCATTGGTGACGAGGAACTCGGTAGGACTTAGCGCCAGGATATCATTGGGTGTTTGGATCAGGGGGTCATGGATTGTGCGAAGATGGCGTGCCGTAGAGGACCCGATGGTGTGGTGGAAGATCTCGATTTGCGAGCGCGCTTTCAAGATCTGCTTGTTGCCTCGAGCCTGAGCCAGGAAATTTCGGAGGCTTTCCGAGTCGTAGGGGTACGGACCATAGTAGTCTGGGTTTGGAAGATGGTTGACGGCAAATATGTAGACTGCCTCTCTTTCCAAGAGATCAGGGTCCGAGATTACATCGATGCCGTGAGTCACTAACGGAGCGTCAAAGTTCTCAAACTCCAACTTCTGAGCCTTCTGAGTCTGTGTCCAACTGTGAGATCCCGTGGATATATTTAGCAGGGGAATTCCTACATTGGCATCAATAACATAGAGCGCTCCCCGAGCATGCTGCACAGCAGTAACATCGTCGAATATTGCCACGGGTGGCCACCAGGAATGTGTTGTCAAGTTCGACCCCTGACACGCTGTGAACAGGCTGTGGCTCGGGTCATGGTAATGCAAGTCTTCGCAGTATGTTGTTCCTTCAATACTCACGATGTCGTGTGTGCTGGCTAGCACCGTGCTCGCTGGAGTTCTGAACACCCCCATGACGGTCACGGTGCGATGCACCTCGGGACCGAAGAGGAAGCTAAGAACAATAGACACCAGGGCAACAACAGAGGCTTTCGCTGCTAGAGAAGTCGCCATTTTCATAACATTGACGCTAAATCAGGTTGCAAAGTCGAAGATGTGAAGATGTTTTTTCTTTTTTTTCTTTTTACCTCTTGTCGAATAGCACATGATTGGAAAAATAGATCGCACAATAATGGCAAAGTACCTTATTACGAGGGGCTGCCTAGGTCATTACCCACGTGATGTGGCCCGTAGATTGATAGGCTCAAGTAAAATGACACATTTGTTTTCTTGTTTTTTGGTGGACCGGTATGCTCAACCGGTCAGGTGCGGGGCGTTTGTACGCGGTCCAACGGTGCCTTCATAGCTCCCAGATGGAGGGATAATTTGAGTATTGACCAGTCAGATGTAAAAGTTGATATGCAATTGGCCGCTTCCTGTGTTATAATTCCCAATATCGCTTTGGTTGCTCACTTAAACCCCTTAAGTACCAGCTTGGTATAACACAAGGCAGAGCGGACACCCAATGACGAAGTTTCTTATGAGGATAACCATATGTACAAGGTCTCCTGATCAAAATTTTATAGGCCATATTCATGTAATGACTGCCGAGCTCTAGATACCCTCTGCATGCGATGTTGAATCGCCAAAACTCACTCCATTGACCCAGCCTCATTCTTCCATACCACCAAAATGTAAAACCAAAAACCGCAGTCTAATTGTTGACCGCGTCGGCATTCAAGTCTGAAGTACAGAAGAGCTGAGAAATACCCTTGTCAGGCGTGATGCCCGGGGGAATAACGCAGTCAAAACTGTCCGAGCCATCGACGACACAGTTCCCCTTCACAACGTCGTCCGTATCGACGAAGTCACCATTGCGGTTGAGGTACCACGCTAGCAAGCAAAGGAAAGCAGTCAGTGTCCATGGTAACACCAACTCGCACGTAAACGGGTGGTGAGGGAGGGCACAGGAACAGAACCAAAAGGAAATGGAATTCATGGCGCGAACTTACTGAAGTGTCCCATCTCGTTGTTCCATTCGAGCTCGGTCGGTTCGACGTCTCCTCCATATCCAAGACTACAGCCTTCGCAGCGGACGCCTGACCTTCCGCCGCTTAGATCCTCGCTGGAAATTTGCCAGATGTAGTGGTTGATTACATCGTCACAGCTGGGCGGCCCATTGAAGAAGCCATATCCGTTTAGGATATTAGCAGTCGGGGATTCTGGGTCTACGTTGCCGAATATTCCTACGGCGTAGATGTAAAAGTCAGCCTTTGCCAGTGGAAGAAGTGCCGCGGTGGCAACAAGACTCGTGATGTGGAAGCGCATTGTAAAGTGGGCTGTTTTGTTGTGGGAAAAGAGACGTGGGGTGATATGCTTCAAGTCTTAACGTGTTGAGGAGGTGGTAAGTGACGTGCTGTCTTGCAATGGGCGTTCCAGAGCCTTTATATACGTAGAATCATCACACATTGCTTTTGCATTAAGCCGACATACAACGTGGAATAGACTAGTTGGTAATAGTGACGGAAACAGTTTAACCGCAACACCAGTTCCAGTAGTCATGAAAGAACAGAGTATTCGCCACGATACGCCAACGGCAACAGATTTGTGAATCCTTCTTGCTTCGTATTCAAGAAGATCTGCAGAGAAACTTGCATTGTCACTGGGCACTGTTTCCCTGTATAGGCCAAAAGCGATCTAATTTGGAGCTGTTTCAAGGTTACGTTTTAGCAACGTCCAATTACAGGAGTGATGCCGAGTCTGCGTGTTCTTGGTATGAAGGGAATAGTTCCTACGAAGGAGCATAGGCTAAGGATATTGATCCTACTACTACTATACCTGCTATTTAGCTCATAAAACTCATAGAGGACAAGGCTGCCATTGCTAACACTAATTCTAGATTTATACATGTCTCCAAGTATCGATGACTTTAGCGTTGAAGAAGCACTCTCTCAACTACAGATCAATAGACGCGGAATATATTATTATTATTATTATTAAATACGCCGTAGGCTCGAAGCCCCCGGTACCTCTACTAGTACTCCCGTATGTCAAACCGTGCCCTAATGGCTGGACTAAATACATACGCTGCGTCGTCGGTTCGCCCTATTGGCGACTGCGTTGCGTTCACTACCATACTACGTTGGTTCTCAACCTACCAACAAAGTCCCCCTGAGAAGATCGATGCTATCTGGGCCTTGAAGCTGTCCGACCCGTCCCTAGCAGCCATCTTACAATAGTCCCGCTAACTACTGGTTCTCCTGTTGCCGTTGCGAGGTCTCTGCGAGAGTATAGTGGCCGTGGTGCGATGGCGGCCCGTAATCGTTCCCTCGGTCCTTCCAACAGCCCGCAAAAGAGGATTACGTGCTCTGCCGTCTCAGGGGCATCGCCACAGCGGCATAGCGGCGAGTACACGCCAAAAGCCCCTGTCTTGAATAAGAAGGCTGCTAGTCCTATTTTTTCCGTCCTGATCTGGCACAGCGTAGACGCCTCCAGTCGGTTCAGGCCGAAATACTTGCCCCCTTTCGGTATCTGCATCGAAGGGCCCTCCGGTTCCTCAGCGATAGCGCGTCGCTGGCGATCGTGATGCTCTGCTCCGGTGAGCCATCTCTTCCTCCAGTGGTCGAGGAGGGCAGCCGGGACCTCCTTTTCCTCACTCATCCACTCGGAGCCCCGGGCCTCCTTCTCCATAGTGTACCCTGCCGGTCGGAGTAGCTGCGACGCCTGCTTCCTCTTCGCCGGCCTATCCTGCCGGAGTATATGTGACGCTTTAGCGCTCGCGCTGCGAAGCAGATTTCTCTTCCCGCTAAGCCGTAGCCGTTCTTCAAACTTAGCAGCCCGGGCACTAAGATAGAGGTCTAGTGGCGGGATTGCTGCTTCTGCTTCCAGGTGGCGAACCGGCGTCGCTTTGTGGGCACCACAGACTACCCGGAGGCACTCGTTCTGTATCCCCATCAGGCTCTTAGCTGGCCCTGCCGGTTCCTCACTTATAGTATGCCACGCAGTCGCCCCGAAGGCGATTGCGCTACGGATAACCACCGTATATAACAGCCTCGCCCGTATAAGATCGCAGCCCCACGACATATTGACTAGCTTTGTCAGGGCTAGCTTTTGAGTTGCCATTTTTGTTTTAACACGCTCAACATGGGCGTGCCACGTCAGTTTGCGGTCGAACCAGACTCCTAGGAACCTGGCTGAGACTACCGGCGACACTGTGGCGTCCCCAAGGCGAATACTTTGCGGCAAGGGCTCTCGGGCCCTAGTAAAGTGCATTAGCTCACTCTTGTCAGGAGCGAACTCCATCCCGTGCCTCACTGCCCACCGCTGACACGTAGCCCATGCGCTCTCCAACCGGCGGCAGGTCGTGTCTGGATCGGTGCCGACGCTTAGCAGGTTCGTGTCGTCCGCGAACCCGACTACTAAAAGTAGTGGATGCTGCTCCGCTAGCTCCTCGTACAGCGTTGAAATGTATAATATAAACAGTATCGGGGATAGCGGTGACCCCTGGGGGACGCCAGCTCGTAGGGGGATTGGCTCTGACTCCTTGCCATCGAACCGGAGGCGTACCGTTCTATCCTCCACGAAGCTGCGTACCCACTCCTGAACCCACTCCGGGTAGCCTTTCCGGGCTAATATGAATATATTAAATACCTAGTACTATAATATCAGAGGCTTCTCTCCAGGACCACGAAAACACTCTGGGGTTTTGGGGAAATGACATGCTAAGGTTATTGATCCTGGGGGCGCAGGATTTCCCAGCCTCGAAGGGTCAATACTAGGAATATCTACATTGGGCCACAGATATATTTCAGTACAGTTGAATGTAGATTTCAGGAGACAAGTATCGCCAAGCCTGTTCAGGGGTACGAATCCGCGGAAGACCGGCAAATCGGCCACGCGCGTGAATCGCGCAGATCCGTGCTCCTCGGCGTGACCCTTGCAAAAATCTTACGAGTCAAGTTTTCAGGTTTAGAAATATGACTACATATCCAAATAGAGAGGGATCTACGACTCCGTTCATCCTCCCACGGATGAAACCCCATATTCGGGCTTATGCCAAGACTGCCACCCAGTGTAACAGTCATCTTGGTCCCAATGAGACTTGTCAAATACACCCGAGAAACGCCATATGTAAATCTCTAAACGACCAGGATTCCTTTTCTTAGTGATTAGTGTCTTGGCGTTGCAAGAAATCAGAGCATAATTCGGGATTTCGGGTTATTTTCGCAGCAGGCCTAAGGCAACAGGTCGGTTGAGATGCCGTGCGGCTTCACAGAAGACATTTCAATCATTATATAGGAGTGGCTTCACGTCGTTACTTCCGATGCCCCATAACGTAGTCCACGGTCCAATTGCACACTTTGGCAGACCTTATACGACAATGTATAAGTTAATTCAACCACAATGCCTATCATCAATTGAAACTACTCAGAATCGTTATCTTCAGACGTCTCTACATCATTTCCACAAGTGCGCGCATTATGTCCGGGCTCGCCGCAGATTCTACAGCGCCGTACACGCGCAATTCGCCGCCTCGTACGACCACCAATTTGACGAAATTCGTCATGTAACTGCCCATCAACCTCTCGTTGTACGCGTTTAAAAACGCCGGTAAAAAGTCTTCTTTCGAGATATGACTTATATGTGCTCGCATGAGATCTTCGATTTCTTTTCCGTACGCTCTTTTTAACCCGCGAAAACAACCAACATCAAGAGGCTGGAGCTTATGCGACGAATGAGGAGGCATACAAAGCGTGACGATATTGTTAGCTTTGCAATATACCTCGAAATCGGTCGAGTGATGGCTTTCGTGACCGTCGAGGATCAATAGGCGATGAGTACCTTTCGTACGAGACTTGGTGTGATGATCGAAGTGTTTTATCCAATCTTCGCCTCTCTCGTTCGTAGTCCAGCCATTTTTAGTAACTGCGATAACCCAATCAGGCGGTAATGGGCTGTTTTCGTACCATGACGAGAGGTGGGTTTTGCCGGCGAAAATGATGTACGGAGGGAGGGCATAACCGGACGACCCAACGCCTTGAATAACTGTAACCCATTCCCGATTTCCTTGCTGGGCTGCTCTAGGCCTTCCGCGCCGATCAGAAGTCGTGACGACCATTTCGGATGAGATTTGGCCCATCACAAAACCGGTCTCGTCGAAGTTGTAGATATCCTCCTCCTGGATCGCGTATTTCGCAATTGTATTCCGTACCAGGTCAAACCACGCGCGATACGCGTCGGGGTCTTCGCAGAGGACTCTCTGATAGTCGATCCTTCGATTTAAACGCGTCCGGAGGTCTGGTTATCGTCTTACGAAGCTCGAGGCCCAGTTGACGCCGACGCGTCCCGCGTCGCGACTTCGAAGTAATCGGTTGGCCATATCTTCAACACCACTCAATCGGGGAGGAAATGCTCGCGAATCTAGGTCGGTTATATGTCGTACGATTGCCTCTTCTTCGGAAGGAGTCAACTTTTGCGTTGGCGATCGCGTAATCGCTCGAGCGGTTTTACCGTCGCGTCGATACGCAAGGGTTCTAAAAGGTACGTTATAGATCTGACCAGCGCGACGTACACTTAATTTTGGATCAGATTGAAGCGCATGTAATGCTAGAATCATATCACTTTCATTCCAAGAACCAACCATAGTTATGTGGTGAAAAACCGCAGGTCAAAGTGGTAGCGTACGAAAATCTGCCGAAGTGTGCAATTGGACCGTGGACTACGTTATGTGTGTTTATAATAACCTCCTGGGTCTTGAACAGTAGCTTTACCGTATGCCACATTTATACTCTACTCTGAGAATCATACTCACATTATAATTGCGCCTGTTCCAGTACTTTTTGAGTTTAATCCAGAGCCCCCCAGCAAGCGTATTGATACAGCAGGTTCTCTGCAATTCCTCCCCAGTGGTTATTATGATCTCACAACGACTGATCACGCAAATGGCGTATTTAAGAAGCAGAGCAGGGCAACACCAAGGTCCATTCTGTCTTCTGAAACCATGAAGTCACCGTCACCTTATGGCCAGTCATTCCTCTTCCCCCTTGCAGTGAAGACTTTCAGTGGTGCACCGCGATATTCGGCACCATTGACAGCATCGAGTGCAGCTTTGGCCTGCTCGGAGGTTGAGAAGTCGACGAAGCAGAAATTGTGCCGTCCTGGCCGTCGGCGTGTAGCCTCATTAGGACTTATTCTCTTGCCCACTGTAGTTCTATCTGTGGTGTCAAACCTCGGTCTTCTAGAATACGGGAGTCGAACACTTACACCTCATATCCTTCAAATATTGATCGAATTTCCTCCTCGTTCATGGCCTGGTCAAGCATGCGTGGCAAGCCGCCAACGTAGAGCTGTCGTCCTTGACTGGAAGAGCTCACAAAATATTGAAGGGCATCTTGCGGTCCGTTCCGGTCCGAATTCTGGCTCGGGAGCGACGCACTGTCTCCTTCGTCATTCCGTCCTGTCCAGTCACCCCAACGCTTGAAACCAGAAGAGCCTGAGCTATCTTGATCTCTTCCGGCACGCGTGCGACTTTCCCCCTTGGGCAGGCAAGGCCTTGACTTCACACCCCGATCAAAGAGCGGCTTTCCATCAAGAGTCACAATAGCCGTCTCGGCAGCCTCACGGTCGGCGAATTCAATGAAACAGTAGCCTGGGTTTCGGCCCGAGATTGGGTCAATGGATATGTGTATTGACTTAAATGCGTTGACCTCGTTAATTTTCAGCAGATCCTCAATATCGTCAGGTGTGGCACGGTAAAATAGATTCCCCAGGTAAATGCGTCGGCCTTCGGCTATGGCGTTTGCAGCAGCGTCGTCATCTCTCTGGGGAGTTGGCCAGTGAACTCGTACATCTTCAGGCCTGCTTCGTTCCGCCCAGCGTCTGTTTGGCTGACGCTGCCTCAAATTTGATGAGATGGGTCCGTCCTCGACTTTCTGAGTCCGAACGGACTTCTGGGGGTAATTGTTCTGCGGCCACGGGCCCGTTTGAGATGGCTTTCGCCAGTCAGAAGATACCCGCCAGTTGGACGAATCGGACATGGTGGTGATGTTGATCAGAAAGAGCGTAACACAGGTTGCAAACGCACTTTAAGATAAGCTTCACGAGCAGACATCTTAAATATCGTTTTAGAGTTTCTTAGAGATTGGCGGTGACAATTCTGGTGGGTCTTGGTGCGGTGCGGTGGTCAATAATCCACTCCCCCAAACCTAGGGCCCTGAAACTCCAGGGGTCAGAGGCTGGTGCTGTCCGACAGGTTTCCTTTCCACTACATTATAAGCAATGTGTGACGGTACAATATTGGAACACAATTGATATCATAATACAATGTAAGCTCGGTGCAAACGGGAATTTCATTCATGCAATTGCCGTCCTAACTAGGTAACCAGTTGATTCATTCATTACCGCTTCACTCGGGATCGAGTCAGTGTCAGTTGACCTAATCCAGGCTTCGGGGTTACATGCTTTGACCCACGTGACCATAAAACTTTTACCCTATTCCACATTGTGAATTATGAGGTAGGCCTCGGCAAAACAATATTCGGATGGCTTCGACTGTGAATAATGCCTTTGAATAGGAGTGCCGAAGATCACACTTGCCTCCATCCATACCATTAAGTCCGTACCACAAAATAAGGTCTACCACAATCAGAGAATGATATATATTTGCAAACATACATTTATAATATCGGTGAATAATAATTTTGTATACAGTCACTCGTCATATAACCATGTCCGATGATTATTTCTTCGCCCAACATAAATTCTGTACCGTATGATTCTCGAGATGTAGCCCCATTTGGATTATGAAGTATCCACGTAACATGGCCATAGCGACGCTGGTGGCCGGCGTGTTTCTTTTTTCCTGTGGAAGTAGGACAGAAAACCACCACGGTGAAATCCGCTTTGCGAATTTCTCATATCAAAGATGAAGCCATCGCAAATATTGCTGAGTAACACCCCCTCGATGAATCCATGGTCGGCTAATGCATCGCAGCTGCTATGGACGGCGGACGACTAGGCCGAGGAGCAATCGCTACAGACATCATTCAGGGTGGTGTTTTTTTTTCCGTACATGCCTTTCTTAGCGAATCAATCCCCGTTTCGCTGATTTTGTTCTCTGTCTTGAACTTTTGCTGCATCTGTGACCATTCTCGAGGCATGGACGCCAATATTAACGAAATGATCCTCATGAAAGACACATTGAACAATTTTACTATTCCCGTGAACGATTATGCGGAATTTCCGGCCGCTACGGTTCGAACGACGCTTCTTGGTCATATCATGGTGAATTGGTAGAGCCATAGATTACGGACTAAATAGCGTATTACAGTGGATTATCGCTAGTTTTACTTGATATACACGTAGGCACCCGTATATTCAAGACTAGTGGATTTGCAAACGCGTTGTCGACCTTCCGGGCGTGATTGTAAAAACAAGAGAACCGAGTCGTCCGTAATGCAAGAATCCTCCTTGGAACGTCTAGGTCGAATCAGACGATGGGAAAGGCGAAAATAAAAACAGCGCATATGAGACCGTATTAGAAGAGCTTGTACAAGATAAAACCATACGGGCTAAGAACAATAATCTGTTTCACTCTTGAAGCCAATACCGAAAGCCCGTTGGTCAGAGAAGAGTTTCGTCTGGAGGATTGTAAAAACCCAAGGAGATTGAGGAAGTCGCAGCGTATGCTGAATATCTATCCATTCTTGAAACCAAGTTGGATAGAACAAGGTTTGTGTTGTTGTACCTCTCTTCTCATGTCGTGGCTTTCAGATCTAGACGACAACTAAGCTGCCAAGGAAATAGTAAAAGATTATAGCTTCTGCGCGCCAAACCCTCTCCACTACATTAGGAAATACAATTACCATAGCTAGCAAGGATGCCACATCGAATAATAAACAGAGGACGGTGTCTTAATTGCATCGTAAAATTGCTAGTGCTGGCAAAATATAGCTACTGAGTGGTTACTAATTATTTACTCTCATTTGAGAAATCCCCTTTCGAATCCCCTTTTGAATACCCCTCCCCATAAAATGCCCTTGTGAACTTTTTTGTACAGCATATAATGACTCAATTAGTATTACAAAGTACTAAACATCATGATACGATGACAAATGACTTCTCCTTTTATCCCCTGCTCCTCAATACGTTGTACAATCTCTTGTCACCCAGAAAAGAACTTGATGTTTAATCATCCAAGCAAGACGAAAAATCTGCTTAATGGTGATGGTACGCTCTACGTGCGCCATGGTCCCAATTGCGGGTGTGGCCTGAGATTCTGTTCAATTTCTTGTAGTAACCGGCGCCATGATGCTTGCCACGTCTATTGCGGTGCACGCCTCCTAATCCCTAGCGGTCAGCTTTGCAGTATTGAAAGGGGATTAAATGATAACGATTTGTTGAGTGTAAAATCCTTGCTCGCGGGGGGGACCAGAATACAGTCAAGTGAAGTGAATGGACGTCTGAGCTTCTCACCTAAGCATGCACCACGATGAATAGCCGCCTTGTGGACACCACGGTGATGATTAACCCACTTTCCGCGGCCACCGTGATGATGATTGAAGCCTCTTGGTTCGTTGGATCTCTTGGAGACCTCTTTATCCGTTTCTGCGAGGTCCGAAGTCCCGATATCACGAGACACCATTTCAGCGGCATTAGCCTTAGGTGGCTGAAACTCGTGTGCGTTGATGTCGGCTTCTTCATCAGCGCGGGCCTGCAAGGCGGAGTACATGTCGTTGTCCTTGTCTGGGGGGTTGTCCTAATGTACGGTCAGCAACGGAGAAATTGATATCATACATTCGAGGGCAGTAATCATGCGATCAATCCTGCGCCTTAGCCAAGGGCTTTTTTGCTGGGGAATTTACCATATCCTTAGACATTTTGTCGTTGAGCTTGACGTTCAAAGCATTTGGAGGTACTGATGAGACGGGGACAGTATAGGCCGGAATGGCGGCCAAGATGGCCAGAGTGAAGACTTTGGTGAAAATCATGATGACGTTTGACTTGTGGAAGCTGGCCTAGAATGTTCTTGGGATGTTGAGGAAGAGAAATATCTTCAAGTTTCGTCATGGCGTGTCTCATGCTGGCTTATATAGACCACCCAAACTCTCTCTCGTTCGCTCAACTTCACCGAAAATACAGAGCCCTGGTCCAGATCCTCATTATTCGTAAGTGCCGGATCGCAGGGACTATTAATCAACTCAATATCACTCCATATAACTCGCCTTATGAGTCTATAACGGCAATTGACTTGAAGAGAGTTTTCCCTTTTCGATTTTCATGATGAAAAGGATCTAGATTACATTGCAATTGAATATTCTCTCCATAAAATACTGTCGAAAATAAATCATCTGATACCTGGCGCTGAACTTTCGTCCGAAAAGAAGGGGCCGAAGTCGCGTTCGGGTCTGTCTATCACCAAATAGAAGGATAGCTCGCATGTAGGCAACACACGAGTCTCGTTGTCTTCTAATTTGTAGGTTCAGCCTATAAAAGATTCTTTAGGTTGACGTGAGTCGGGTCAAGAGTTTCGTATTGTGGGTTATAATAAGCTCAGAGAGCGCCTATCCGTTGGGCCCGTTCTTGAGTTGGTGGGGCACTTTTCCTACATTTAGGAGAACAATGTTCGTGAGTATGTTCGCCGTGGACGGCATGATCCCGATCCAAGCCACATGCTGAGTAAATATCGCGGGCCTGCTCCTAGTTGTCTGCCAAAGTAAGACAGGGAATGATTGTTAATATTAATTTTGCACCATGAAACGATTGGAAAGGTCTCACCGTGGTTGATATAATCGTGATCAGAATAATTAGGGGATAGTTAAATTTGCATGCCCAAATTTCGATATGAAGTCAGCCAATCGCAACTGATTCCATGCCATGCCGAAGTGCGTCCGATGGATTGGACTAAGCTTTCTTAGCAAATGTCATCCGTGCAAAGCGACTGAGTTGACAGGCTATTTTTGAGTCGCACACATTCTGCCAAGGAGGTCTAGGTCAGACAAGCAAGGTTGGAGAAAACGTCCGAACCCCCACAAGTCAGACAAGCCGTCTTGCTGGGTCGGCAATGAGTGACGTAGAAGATCGATAGACAACCTCATCGAACAAATGGTCGTGTCACGCCGCGCCAGGGGTTGCAATCCTTGCCGCTACGCCACCGTACCAGGTGTCTTCACCAAAAGAGACCGTTACCAAAGTCCCTGACTTTGGTATCTGCAACCACTTATCAATCTGTTCAGACCAGTGTGGGTCAATCACATGGCAACCGTCACATTACCCCCCGTTCTGACAAGTCTCGTCCGCGAGACTTCGCTCTAGAGACCTTGCCTCCAGCCAAGGGTAATTCTGGATAAGTAGATCCCTGAAAAGCCTCAGTCGACTTTTCCAAGTGCGGGACTCGAATCATCGTCCTCCGCAGAGGGGTACACGAGTCAGCGCACCCGTATTTGACTTTGGTGTTGTGTCACGCCGCGCCAGGGGTTGCAATCCTTGCCACTACGCCACCGTACCAGGTGTCTTCACCAAAAGAGACCTATACCAAAGTCCCTGACTTTGGTATGTGCAACCACTTATCAATCTGTTCAGACCAGTGTGGGTCAATCACGTGACAACCGTCACAGGTCGCGACTTCTAGCCCAGCTGTGTACAGGGAGTTTGGTAGAAGGGATTCGACAACTAACAGAGTTTCGAAGCCAGAAGCTCTACTAGCTTGGAAAGAAGGATTTCCTACGTTGAACGACAACTAATGCTTGAATTCAAGCACTACCATACTTTAGGCTATCATCCCCACACTTTCCTGTGAAATAAAAAGCTCACCAATAGGGTTGAGACCGGAAGACGAGGGAATCGATAGTAAACTATAAGCCTTCCATAAGAGTTCATGAGCCGACTCGTGTACGCATCCATCTAGCCGCACTGACCTGGTTACATGGAGAAATAGGGACAGGCCTTTGTAGACTGTTCGGAACCAAGAGGTGTGTCTTTTCGTCTAATTTAACATTGAATGCCGTTCATGTTTACCGTCAGTAGACACGATGCTGTAGAGCAAAAAACATTGGTAATCATTATATAGTCCCAGAGCGAGGACAAATTGTTCTTTGCCGCCTTCAGCTCTTTCCGGTGCGAATCACTGTGGTTTATGCTAGTCAGTAGAAAATGAAACTGACAGGTCTGATGATGTTAATGAAAGACGTAGTTTAGGTTCTTCCGCCATAGGAAGAAGTAAAAGTATGCAAACTGTGATGGCCAAGCTGGTGAAGAAGAAATCCAGCAAGAAATCCAGCGCAAAGTGCCAATATGGGCATGGAATACTATGCGCAGGCAAAAAGTGTTCAAGACAAGAAATCATGGTTCAGCCTCTATAAATTGGCTGCTTATTCACAAACAAAGTTATTTAATTACTATATCGTCGGCTGGTGTAGTTGGTCACTTCGCTGGTAGATAAGTCCCGATTTGAGCCTCGCCCACTTGGGTCGGTGACGAGTCGCAGGTTCGAATCCCGCAGCTGACACACAAGGGGGTTTAGTCAACCCTTACGGCGCGCTGCCCACCTAGCGATAATAGGGAGATTGGTGCAGTTTAGGATTACGAGCATCCTAGCCAGTCGACCGTCAAGCACTACGTCGGCGGAATATAACTCGACAGCCGGTCCAGAATTCCAATCGTTAATCCGACCCCTTATCGGACCCCCTCTCGCCGCGATTCTTGCGAGCGTCTAGACCACGTTACGGTCTATCCACTTGAGCGTATGGTTGAGATGTATACGCTCGACGAGAACCCCAATTAGCAGATACTACGACTTGTCGCGACAAAAAATAGTCGAGCATCTTCTGCACATCAGCAGCATCCCACCCCTGAGGACGAATTTAAGTGCCACATTACCACACTTATCGGTAGTTCAGGCAGGGGTTGTAGCACAGACTTAGGGAGGGACAGGAGGTTTAGTAGTCGTTTGGCTACAAGTTTACCTGTATAACCGCCCGACGCGGCTTAAGGGCCCGCTATATCATCTATAGCCCCTTAAGGGAGTACTTGTAGAGGTACCGAGGGTTAACACCTACGGCGTATTTAATAAAAAAAATTACTATATCAACCAATCAAGTATGGACCACCTACTTCTCGCGGCATCACTTTCCCAATACAACTATTCACACCTCACATGCTCACGCATCACTCAACCAACTCTTTCCTCCAGTTATCCCGCCTAGGATTCCAGCCATCACAAATATTTCACTCAACCTCGTAGTAATGTGACTCGTCTAATTCAGACATTGGACCTAGCACATTCAGGCGGCAGACCTACGTGTTGATACCGGCGCCAGACAGGTCGCTGATTACTAGCAGTGGAGAGAGCTCCCTAGGGTCTACGATGGGAGGTTCATATGCGCCTCTGACTGGGAAGCCATCCGGTGAATTTGAAAGTGAGTCTTCAGGAAGCTCTACGGGAGGCAGACTGGCCCATGGAGCTACGTCTGTAGTTGGGTTGCTATTCCGCCGATTACATCATGGTTAACTGCAGGGTTGAAAATTGGGTTAGCAGCCTGGTTATCCATAAGAGCGAGAGCCTGGCTGGCAATAGCAGCAAGATAACGTTTCCCAGCTGGCTTAACAACCGGCGTTGCACTTACCGCAGGTATTTGCACAATTGGATTCACCCTCGAAGCAGAAATGTATTGTCTTACAATTGAGGGTCTCGCTCTTTAAGTCTCGGTTGCCGAAGGACCTTCTCCTGACCGATATTGCCCATGAGGAAGTGCCCTGTAAATATCTGCCATTGATGGACCTGCCGTCGAAGGCCCCGCAGCTTCCCGTCCCGAGAAGTATGCGGAGCCGTAGCGACCTGCCAAATTTCACCTGAACTCTCTGGCTGGCTGTATCAACAATCGCATTGAAGATTTGCTCGACGGGCAACAGGTCCAAGAGCCCCTGTGTGATCTGGTCAGTCAGGCAAAGGCCTCGTAGATTCTTCGATGTGTCCTCGAGCACCTCTAAAATTTCGGCACCGTCGTCACACCCACGGGCGGCATTCCGCTACAAACGCTAATATTTGACCGTCGAGGTGACGCAGAAGATGGTCCCAGGGTTGTCTTTTCTTTCGTTTCTTCCTATGTCTCCCTTGCCCATGCGGCAGAAGATGCTGATCTAGGGGCTGTGATCGATTGGTTGGCCTGGCATTTTGGTTTCGTGGGGTGTGAAAGGTTTTCTTTATGATGTATCCAGATTACATGTTCCATTTATTTGATTTGCTTTGGGCTTCAAGATGGCACCCAAGTATCAGCATGTGTTGAGGCTTTTATATGCGTGGTTGTACTTAGGCATGATGGATATGTTTTGAGGGTGAAAACGGAGTCTTTCACAAACACTTAGTCCCTTACCTTCTTTAATTTTTTGTTATAGAATGCTATTGTTGTCAACTCCAGTCTGTATTTCAAACAAAAGTCTTGTCCATGAGAAATAACGTTTATCAGCAAGTGCTTCAATTGCATGCAAAATGGCTGTTGGTATGCGATTCATGCTTATTTCAACTTTGAAAGCACTGTATGTATATATCAGCCTCATTGACGTTGATTTCCAGCAAGTATCTACCATCATCAGCCTCGAATACAGAGATGTTGACTGCGGTGCTTCGTCCACACAATCTTCAACCATCCCCCTATTCACAAACTTTTCATACAGAATCCAATTGTTCCTGTAATTCCCCGTGAATTGAGTGACCCTCAACTCGTATAGTAATGCGCAGAGTCAAAAACGTACTTATCCCACATCATTTGGGATGTTGGGACCTGATACGACAAAGGACGCCACCTCGCCGTTTTGATCATTATCATCCAAGCTCGTCTCGCCCATTTTGGCTTTCAAAATTTCGAGCTCAGATCGAAGCTTCTCGTTCTCATCGCGGGTATCGGCGATATCTCCGATGTTGGTGGCAGGCTTAAGTCCGGTAATCGCAACCTTGAGCTCCTCGAGATAACCCTCCAACTGCGTGATGTGCTTGCGCATCTCGCGGTTCTCAGTACGCAGACGGTTGTTCTCGCCGGCCAGCAGGTGGACATTATCCTCCAGCCCATCGTTGGCGTTGTTCAGATCAGCAATTTCGAGGCGCTGCTCTGTGTTCGTCTCGTTGGCCACTCTCAACATCATGTTCTTCTGCAGAATGAGTCCCTGGAGTTCCTTCTTGTCGGCCTCGAGACTGCTGATCTTGTTCTGGAATTCAATGGCTTGATTTTCCAGCTTGAACTTCAATATGTGCTGATCAAGCACATCGTTGCGATTGTGCAATTTGAGATGCTCATTCTCCTCTAAGAGGATCTCGATCTGGCTCTCCAGCTTCTGGCGACGCGATGCATGGAGCATTTGAGCCTCGTTCTTGGTTTGCAGAACATGAATCACAGCGTCTGTTGGAGTGCTTAGTGGATTGGGACGTATACAAGTCATCGTGGAGGGCTGTGTAAAATCTGCTTACCGACGACAGTGCGAGGCGCAGTGGAGTCCTTGAGAGCTCTTAGAAGGTGCGCATGGCCAGGGTCGTACGGTGTTGATTCCATGGTTTTCAACTTGCTCGAGTGCCCGGAAGAGACGAGATTAAGGCGGAAGGCACTTGTTGTGACGTCAAATGTTTAGTCCCGCAAACGGGGTTTGACTTCCAGACGGACTACGAGGGTGGAGATTACACAAGGGAAAGCTGGTGGATGACACTTGCGACTCGAGGGGTGATGGTGTACTTGGGTTAATTGTGGCTGCGGCTGTAAACTCAAATGGCCGGACGGATTCAGACGGCGTGACGCCAGTTCTAACAGATGGCAAAGATAGATATGTCGTTTTCCTCATGGCCACTCCGAGGAATAGAAGACGTGTTAATGTCTAGAGGGGCTTAATATGATTTGGCCGGTGAATTCAGAGCAAAGACCGATTTGAAGTCAGTGACCAGACATAGAAAGAGCCACATCGCGGACCCGCCCCCTTCCCGCATTTTCCAAACCGCTGCGCCTAATCAAGCGCAGACAAATTCCGTACTTAGGTAGATTTCAGATGAAAACCTTACAGATGGAATCACAAATTTTTCATACACACTGACTGGCTTCTTGCCTGGCAGTTCCGTGAGTCATGATCGAAAAGTTGCAGTTCCTTATTCCCGGTACTGCTGGCAACCCTACTAGCTGCATGCTTTGCTCATGAGATCATGTTGCAACTGGTAACAAGATTTATGGATCAAGTGAATAGTCCTTTGTTTTACTCATTGTATAATCAAAGATCCCTTATTGTAACGAAGCCAACGTACTGTCACTGATCTCTGGGGAAACCCATCCCACATAACCAAGGGGACCATGACAGCAAATGAATAATCACAATCGCCATGCAAGTCAAAACGATAAACACAGGGATTGAATTGTGAGTAAACTTGAGATATTATTAAATTCAAAGGGATATGGAGATGACTCGCTGTAGATCAGGAAATGGTCGTAAGCACGACAAAGGCCAGCGATTGGGGCCATCGGTGTACTGCAGCTTCAGTTTGGTTTTTCTTTATTATAATTGGTTTCATAGGTAAAATTTAGGAGTATGAGAATTCTAATGATGTAAGCTTGCAAGATGTCTTCAGTCGTGTCTTTGAGATCTCTGAGCTGCTGAAATTTCATTTTCTTTGGAATGCTCAGCCAAGTCAGACAGTTTATAGGATGATTTATTAGAAGGTCTTCATTCCAAGCTGTAGCTATCTTTACAAGTGTTCGATTCCAGTACTTTGCGTTTGGCTCTGTGCCACCAGCAAGTGTATTGATACAGTCGATCATGTGACGGGGCATCGTCCACTCTCGATGCCCTGTAAGTGTTTCGATCATTCAGCTGTTTGGTACGAATCCCTGGGTTAATTGTTATCGAAAAATTGCCTCTCTTGTGATGGAAGTTATCTTCCTTGCGTCATATTAATTTATACTTCCGACCGGTAGGGTACACTATGGAGAAGGAGGCCCGGGGCTCCGAGTGGATGAGTGAGGAAAAGGAGGTCCCGGCTGCCCTCCTCGGCCACTGGAGGAAGAGATGGCTCACCGGAGCAGAGCATCACGATCGCCAGCGACGCGCTATCGCTGAGGAACCGGAGGGCCCTTCGATGCAGATACCGAAAGGGGGCAAGTATTTCGGCCTGAACCGACTGGAGGCGTCTACGCTGTGCCAGATCAGGACGGAAAAAATAGGACTAGCAGCCTTCTTATTCAAGACAGGGGCTTTTGGCGTGTACTCGCCGCTATGCCGCTGTGGCGACGCCCCTGAGACGGCAGAGCACGTAATCCTCTTTTGCGGGCTGTTGGAAGGACCGAGGGAGCGATTACGGGCCGCTATCGCACCACGGCCACTATACTCTCGCAGAGACCTCGCAACGGCAACAGGGGAACCAGTAGTTAGTGGGACTATTGTAAGGTGGCTGCTAGGGACGGGTCGGACAGCTTCAAGGCCCAGATAGCATCGATCTTCTCAGGGGGGACTTTGTTGGTAGGTTGAGAACCAACGTAATATGGTAGTGAACGCAACGCAGTCGCCAATAGGGCGAACCGACGACGCAGCGTATGTATTTAGTCCAGCCATTAGGGCACGGTTTGACATACGGGAGTACTAGTAGAGGTACCGGGGGCTTCGAGCCTACGGCGTATTTAATAATAATAATAATAATAATAATAATAATAATAATAATAATAATTTTTTGCTTTTTACAGCTTTTTTACGTCGAGGCCTCCGCTGTGACTACAGGCTTTCAGAAGAAGTCCTTGTGTACTTCATCACGGTTAGGTCGGACAACAGCTCGGCGTTACGGAATGCGACTACTTCGATGTTAAACAATAGGGATTTCAGCTGTCAATCACAGATATTGATCTGTGTACACAATAATTTTGTTGGGTGCACTGTGACGCACTCAATATGGAAAATTCTCCGGCAGGAATCGCTTTCCTTTTGCTTCTGGTCCATCTACTCAAGGTCGGTTATACTCCATGAATATAAAATGGAAGTCTTACAACCTAGCAGATAGCAGTGTGAAATTCATTTCAGTATCCACTCCTTGAAATCGACCGATCCCTGCCACTCTACTTTGATCCAGTAATCATGATGCTCTTCAGACTAATCGTCGCCTCAATGGCCGTGGTCGGCGTGACTGCGGCTCGATACTGCTAGTACGAAAACAGCAGATACAGCCACGTCTTCCCCGGGATCCAGCAAGTGTGCCGAATTCTGGAGTGAATAAACACCAACATGTGTTATTGTCTGACTGAGACACAGGTATCTTAACTATCCACTGTTTGTGCCTGCAGTTACAGGTGATGCTCCACGCAATATCTTTAAGAAGAACTGCGACTACTACTACTCGCAGAGAAACAGTAAGTTCTCCACTGAGCTTCCTATAAAACATAGAGAGAAAAGATTCAAGCTATAAAACTAACACTCCCCAAAACAGAGGCCTCCTGTTCCAACTGCCACGGCTGCAAATATTATAACAACGGCGATGAACCCCCCCTACCACCTCCTCGCATGCCAGGACAGCAACGCAAACAGTTCCACGTCCATCTCCGAAAGCCCTACCCGCGTTACGCCGCATGTCTACGCAGGGTATTTCCGTGAAGTTGGTGGATGAAGTGGGTGTAAGGTCACCAATGGCACATTAGCGGTGGCGGAGGATACTACGACACTGATGTGCTTTGCTGATGGCACGGCGGAGGATTAAGGGGATAATGTAAAGATGTTTAAGGCTATGTATAAATCTGATGGCGGTTTTAAGTCAGTTACTTCTTTTATAGTATATTTTAAACTGCCCAATGCCGATTTGTGGTGGGCATGAACGCCACCCTCAATATTTGCAGCACTTGGAATTTACCTCTTGTAGATTGAAACTCTTGTTCCAGAACCGATCCCGAGCGTGCTATTTTACCCCCGAGTTGCGCAGGACGATTTCGACAACTCCTTGGTTCGGTCCCGGCCAGTGCTTGCTTCCCCAAAATATCCAAGCAGTTAGAGCCCCGATCATGACAGTAAGGAAGACAGGACCGCAGTAATTCATCGTTCCCGCCGTGACAGGAACTGTAGTGGGGAATGGAAGCCAAATCATGGTATACAGGGTATACACTAGCGCAAAGGCGTTCACATACACTCCCCATCGCCCTATGCTCCACTCACCAGCTGCAAGACCGCATGTGAGGCGGGTATGCAAGGAGATGGAAAAAATGATGGCATAGCTGAAGTACAAAGAGAGCGAGGAAAGTGAGGTCAGAGCGCCGAAGGCGACGTAGGTCGAGCTTCCGATGTTCAGTAACGCCATGAAGGCCACAATGAGGCAGGTGAAGAGGACAGCGCGCATGGGTACACGATGCTTTTCGTCAACGTGGCCGAAATATGAGGGTAATAAGACGAAAGTATGGTCAAAATTTAATTCGTCGCGAAAGATTTGCAGCCAAGGGAGGTTTTGGGAAACCACGTACAGCCGCTGTCTCTCGCCCACGCCCAAGTCAAGCGGGTCGCTGATGAGAAGACCGACATGTTTGAACCAATGAGAATTGTCACAAGGCCAGTCGCCATGACTGTGGCTACTACCTTGGAGCCAGTTGAGACCGTGATGAGATAGATGAACGGGTTGTATGCTGTTATGAGGTCTTCAATCGGAGGCATGCAAATCCGAAGTTGCAAAGTCAGCTGCGTTTAGGATTGGTGGGCTGTCAGACTCACAATGTATGTGAAGACCATTATCAGGCCCAATGCACCATTAGCCGCAATGGACCAAAACATGGCTTGTGGCACTGAGCGCCTAGCATTTTTCGTTTCCTCTCCCATGTGAATGACACATTCCAGGCCTTTGCCCCATTGTCAGTGGGTTCTCTGTCCAATACGGTCAAGGTAGCTTAACGTACCGATGAACATCCATATTTGCGTTAGCATGCCAACATTCCAAGATATATAACTATTATCCCACCTGGAAAAGTTGGTCCTCGTCATGATGAAATCGGCACTGTTGCGAGGCGACAGGACCCAGAGCGCGACGAGATATATGAAGAAAAAACAAACATTGAAAATACCAACGACAAGTTCCAGCCAGGGTACAATAGGGAAGAACCAAAGATTAATGACGAGGCAAAAGGCCAAACTGCAGAGGCAAAGCAAAGTAGTATGCCATCCCAGCCATTCTATGTTGGGCCAGTTTATCGATACAGCCGCCTCGAGGTTGATAACACCATTGTTGATTGCGGACGCGAGGGTCGCAATGTATCCTAACCACGTCGAACGACCCTGCATCCAGGTCACAAATCTCCTGATCCTCGGGGGGGGGCGAAGTGATATGTCCAGTAATACTGAGCACCGGCGATGGAACGATGGATGCTAACTCGGCTATGCACGCTGCTTGAGCCAAAACGCCCGTCAGCACGATGAGATAGTTGAACAGATATGCGACAGGCCCTCCGTTGAGAATGGCATAGTACATATTCCTACCACACACGGTTAGCTTAAAGCCATGCCCGTTCCAAGTTATGATTTAGTCTCAACTCACATGCCAATACCGGCCCAAGTGATCAGGTACATGCCCGAAAATGCGAAAAGCTGAGACGGCCAACGAGTAGTGTAAAAGTCAACGAGAGATGGCCGCATCGCGAATTTTTCGTTGCGATCCAAAGTGTAATAAATCACAGCGGCAACTACTTCATTTACCACAAGGTCTACATGGACCTATACTGAGCCCTTGTCAATGAGCAACTTCCCCGCTTCCCAGTAATAAACAGGGCTCCTTATCAGCAATCCTTATTTGTTCATTATGTGGAGATGATAGCTCCACCAACATGCATATTTTCCGGCCCAAGTGAGTCAACAGTTTGCATCAATGTTTACTGAATGTTTGTAGTGTACCAGTGTACATAGAAGCACCTCAAACCCTTCACTTACCCCGGTCTGTTCATGGGTTTATTCTCATTAATCCTAAGCTCGGCTGTGGCCATTGTGGATCTGTGATTCATCATGGTTGGTCGTTTGTCACTTGTATATAATAAGCGAACGCACCGCTGATCTTTGTACATAACAAGTCAGCCTGAGAGGCAGCGTTACGGGCGTTAACAAGGCCAGGCCGTGGGTATTAGCTTGGGTAGTTGGGCCGCGTCCAGCACTTCTTTTGGGGGCTTCTTGTCATCATTTCACTCTTTCTGATGACTATCTGATTGCCTGAGTAAGTCGGATTCATTCAGGACTCTCGACGTGGCATTAATTGAAGAGTTTAAGCCTTCACGCATTGAAATTGGCCGTGCAATCCACCACCATGCAGCTCTGGCATTGTTAGATCATCAATTTGCGGCATTCCAAACTGTCGGATTGAGTTGCCTAATGTGATTGGTCCATAAGCTAAACGGGCCAAGGGCACTTAACTTGGTATGGATATTCCTCCGTTCACCTGTGCGAACAAGATCCATACACACTTCTCGCAAACTGACAGGAAACTCCGGCGCTTGCGCGCGGTGGGAACTGAGATCGTGTGTGAGGGGAAAGGAATGGATATCTTCCGATTCGTCACAGATATAATTGTGCTGCACTCTAGATTATCATACGGACATGGTCGCCTTCTTTTTACTAGTCTCACTCAAGATTCCCCGAAGTGCAAACCACACCCAGGGTATGAATGGGTTTGGCCTCATAAGATTAGCCAATGTTGAAATCGGACATTACGTGGTAGGATCAATGCTGAGGTTTGTTCATTCTGGGTATTTGCGTGGAGAGTGGTCACTGGTCAATATACCTGAGACTAGATATATGGGCATGCAACGGTACAAGTAACCCTGAGTATATTCGACGCGACGTAATAGAGCTTAGAATTCCCACCGCCGACGCCTCTTTATAGCTTCTGATTCACAAGTATCCGTAGAGGTCCACTCGCGATGGGTGTCCTTTCAAACTATGATGACAAATTGATCATCGCCCACTTAGTGGACACAGATGTCTCTCATCATGGGAAGATCAGCGCCCTTTTTACGACTGGGTCCAAATGATCAGACAGCTGTACTTGTCATTGTCACCGTTGTCTTTGCCCTCGTCTCGACCACATCTATTGTTGGTACACTTTTGATTCGCCGAAACATCCTGTCTTTGAGATATTGTGATTTTATACTCCTCTTCGGTTTCTTCTTACTCTTGGTTCAGGTCTGCCTGACGATTTACGCAGCTCAATCCGGATTGGGGAAGCATGTAGAGATGCTTGAAGCGAGTGCTGTAGACACTATTCGCAATGTAACGTCCCCAGGCCACCTCCTGACCATTTGATTGCGAATAGATCTGATAGCCCCAGCTTCAATATATGAACTCACTTCTCAGCATCGTCATTGCCGCTTGCACAAAGACATGCATGTGCCTGTTTATCCGCTCCATCAACACCTTTGGTCTGATTCGTATTGCGACAAGGGCCCTGCTGGGTTTGATTGGTGTATTCCTCTTGGCCGGCATTGTAACGATGGCTTTCCAATGCCTTCTTGTCAGAGAACAGAATGCCATAGGCACCAGTGGGTGTCAGGACACTGAACGCAAGACACCGGTGGGGCGCCGGAGGGGTGTTTCGGACAAAAGACTCCCGAGTCATGATTACAATCTATGTGAAGCTTTGGGATGACGAGAGTCAAGATCCTTGGCATCGCCGACCCTGCTGTTATGCCGGGTCCAAGCGGCGGCCTAGCTATCTATATAAGGACCATCTCGAAGTAGGATAGGGAAGGAGCAGAGATCAATGCATCACCGTGGGCACCCCTACCTGAGACCGCCAGTGACCACCCGGTGCTACGTAGGAGGGACGCCCGTTACTCCCCATCACTCTGTACTATTGCCTTCGGCCTAGCCGTACCCTGACACTTCTCCCCACCCCCTGGCTAGCAGACGAGAATACATGTCCGACAATGCAGGCAACCTACCTCTTCACTATAACGACAAACGTTGCGACGGACTTGCTCATATGTATGCTGGCCATTGCCATGGTATGGAATGTTCAGACTGGAATAAAAACCAAGGCTCTGATTGTGGCTCTATTCGCCTTCCGTATCCTGTATGACATGGAATTCCCAGTCATCCCGTGGAAAGCAGTCAATAGACTAATAAACGATGAGCAGTTGTCCGATTACAAGCATCCCGGCCCTTCTTGAAACGTCGTGTTTATATAACCACACGAGCGATTTCACATGGCTAGCCCTCCAGCCGACAACATGGCTCGAGGTTTCCTACAATCTCTCGGTCATCACCGCTTGCATACCAAGCTTGAAGGGTGCTTTCGACATTTGGCTTGGTAACACGATGAGGTTAGACATAGATGCACCATATCAACTGAACCGTGTTGCTGGCAAGATCGGACTCGAGGCCGCGGCATACGAAGATAATCACATTGCGACGGACGGCATGTTCAGGGGTGCATCCAGAATCAGAGTATCCAAAGTCGGTAGGTCGATCAGAGCAGAATTCAAACCCAAGCCACTCGAGTATTTGGATCGGGATGGTTATCGACTGGCTCCTACTCTACGGTCAAGAAGGGACGATGATGGCTAGAGTGAGAGCGTGCAAAACTTGACGGATGGGATTAGCAATGTTCGAAAAGATACTGGACCTCAGGTGGGAGGGGAGAGAACATTATCAGCAGGAAGCTTCATGGACACGAACGAAGGACATAGACAGCGCAGGCATATGTAGCTTGCGCCTGGTTGGTCTACTTTTAAGAACTATATATTTCTAATTAGTAGTCTCCATTGATACCTTGTTGCTAGTTTAACTATAATACCACATATTCTAGAAGCCTGTCTTATATGCGTTATTCCCTAACTGGGTTTAATGCGTCGATTAGCTAATCATGTACGAATTTGGCCAGCTACATGCAGCTGTATCCGGGCCTGAAACATCCAATCCGCGTGTAACGCTACACCGGATTACAAAGAGCATGTATTTCATTGTTCCCACTCTTGTTGGTATGATGCGTCTATGTTGTAGCGGGAAACCAGCCTGGCACAGATCCTTGGCTGCTTAGAATACGCAATCCAAGTCTCGAGGGGATTGCATATTCCTCCCCTCTTCCTAGAAATCCTTCTTCTTATAGTCTTGGGATATACATCTTTCTGCCACTTTACTACAAACTATATTTCGAATACGCTTTTCTAAAGCTCATAAGTTTACCATTACGCTGTTCGGCTGCCATATTAAAATACATATGATGACATATTTGGCTTTAATGACACACAGGGGGGTATCTAGTTCGGCTACGGTACATAGATAGACAATGTCTACAGAAACTTAGGATGTAGGCCTTTGGGAAGGCTTTTTTGACACCGGGTGGGTGAGAAGAAGACACAGGAAGATGAAACTGCAATAAGGGCAACAAAGGCTACATAGTAGGTTCAAGTTCTTTCAAACCTTCGTCTCTGTTTAATCATGGTCAATGTTGATGAAACCGAGCGCTCCTGTCGTGCTACAGTTGACTGTGTTTGGTAACAATTCTTCTTTATGTGGCCACAAGAGCTCCTGAAGGTTAAGACCTCCTTGTAGCAAGACAAAGAGTCACGCACACATAATCCAATAAGGGTTCCTGTCTTTTCACAAGGCATAAAAGTAGAGAATGGCTAGTAGAAATGCAGTTTGGGCCAAATTGAATATTTAGTAGGATTTTGTAGTTGACATATGAGCCCCTGCTAAACTACTTTCCTCAATTTTTATTGTGTAAGCACACCATAATAGTTTCTTTATTCGACTCGGATTTAGGTATATCCACAATCATAGCTTAATTTGCAACTGAGGCAATCTCGGGGTGGCAGTCGCCTTTCCAAACCAGCTGCGCCGACCCGGAGAACTTCCACTTCCCTCTTTTGAGATCCAGTCACACTCCTTCGACCACGAACTTCCATATTGCACAATCCTTGAAGAAATTATCACCAATCTTGCCCCCTCCCCTGCTGAGCACCAATACCATATTGACTTCGGGTCAAACACCAGGTAACTACATTATTTTGCCAATCACCTCCATCTATCACGTCACATCGCCTTGTTTCGTCTACCTTACTTACCTCAAAGAAATCCGGCTCGTAAAATACCTGTGACTAATATTATTTTGAATAGATTTCTGTTGAGCTCCCAGTTCCTAAAACCTCCGCACTTTTCGCTATCTTCAGCTCTGCCCGCTGTTCCAAGTCTACTTAAGATGGCTACCTCAGGAACATCGTCGAAGGGTGGCAAAAGAAAGCTGAGCGACGTTACCATTGCTCTGTCGCAGCTTACCATGAGCTCTACCACGTCTAGCCCATCTACCAAGGCGGAGATCACACCACCACATCTTGCCATCAACCCAGAAATTTGGAATACGGACAATTCACAGGCTTCCGAGACGCCTAGGTCTCTGCTTCACGGTTACATCACTGAAGAGATCACCATGGCTTCTTCTGGAACCAAGGCTCCGGCCAATCAAAGAGTCACTCATCGCAAACCTCTGCCAAATGTTGGCAGAACTGCCCTATGCAACCTCGATCTGAACACAAATATCTCAAATCCTACTCAAGATTTTCACAAGCACAAGACTACAGGAACCTGGGAAGACCCTTTCCCTACGATGGGTCCCTTTCCAGGTTCTCGAACTGTTGGTTTCACAATGCCCGGACAAGAAAACAATGTTCTTCCCATCCACAATGTAGGCGGCGCCTCTAATTTCGTATACCCGCAGCTTGGTCGTCCTCTCAATTATGAGAACAGCCGCATCCACCAGATTTCACCGCAAGTCTATGCGGACCCTACTTCTATCACTACCAATGGCTTCTCCCAGCACTGCCGCAGAGAGTCGTATACTCATACCACGGGCCACACCCGGCAGACGACCCTTTGCGGCACCTCACCCCAGCCTCACCATGCTCAAAAGCAGAACCACCTCGCTCAGCAGCCGACCGTCTCCATTAATGAGGGATATTTCCCCATGAACTCCGTCAGAGCACCCACTCGTTCCAACTGGCCCACCACCTCCGAACAAGCCATCCAGGCCCACATGCTGGCGACCGGGACCTCGATGAACTACAAGGGCAACCCCTTCCTCGCTGCGAATCAATCAGCCAATATCCCGGAACACGAGAACTGCTCCCTCTGGCTGACGAACCTCCCACCTGGGTGCACCGTCCACAAGCTTCTCTCCTGCGTGCGCTCGTGCGGCAAGGTGTTCGCTTGCGTCATCAACCCCCCCGTCCCAGGCGCCACCATTTCAACCACCAGCGCCGCCAAGCTCGTCTTCTTCAACCGCGTTGGTGCTCAGACTCTCCTTGACCAGGCGCGTCTTGGCCAGTTTGCGGTAGACAGCTATGTCCCGCGCGTTCGATCCAATCGCATCAAGAGCGCGGCCCGGACGCCTGGACCACAGTGTCGAGTGCTTCATATCGAGGGTCCAGTCTACATTGTCAACGAGAAATTCTTGCGTGAATTCTTCCGTTCCAAGTTCCAGTATGACTTGGACGATGTCTTCTTGCTCTCACATGGCGAGGGGAGAGCTCGATTAGAATGGAGATTCGGGTCGTACCGTTGCCAGGCTGAAGCAGCGCGAACGGCAATTGCCAAGGAGAGGGCGAGAGGCTCACTTGAAGAGAACCAGCGCGACCTGTGGTCGGAGGTGACCATCCACTATGGAGTTGATCCCTGCGCTGGACCCCCTTCTGGATTATAAAGTACCATCCATTGTCACCCCCTTCCTCGGTGGCACTCACCCCTCAACAACTCTTCAATGAAAGGGCAAGTTTGTGGTTTTTACTAAATTCTGATAGTTAATTTTGATGAATGCGTGTTGATAATTTGTTGAATTCCGTCTCTAACTTTGTTGTGTGTTAAAAGTTTGCTCCCGTGATGCCTACAGGCTATGCAAGCATATGCCATTGGATCGTAAATCTAGACCCCGCTGGTGTTCGACAGCCGCTCTACGCATATTACACTTTTTTCGTTTAATTCATGAACAGTTATAACGGAGATGAGGTAAATCAATTTTTATGATTCACTTCTACATTGCATATCACTTACTTACACAAGTCCCCATTTCCACAGCTGCTGCGAGCAGAATTTTACCAGGGGCTTCTTCTTTTCCCTTCCCTTTTGATTTAATCATCTTCATTATTCGGAGAACGAGGAACATGGACATTAACGTGTTAAACAGTAATTTCAATATCGATCTTTCTCTTTCATAGTCTGCGATAGATTTCATGTAAGCTTTTCTTCAATCCGCCGGTTCTCCTTCACCGTACCCCTATCTCAACCTGGTATGTACACTTAGTACTTGTCATTTAGCCCGCTTAGAGTCTCATGAGAACATCCGTACATAAGAAAGAGAGAAGTAAAATAAATAGATTCATAACTAACGAAATTATACCACCACTTGGTTGTTTTTGATTATCAGTCCTTTTGTGTAGACGAACATTTCTGATCTGCTCATGCGAAGGAGTAGAACAAGACATCGCGATCTGGCCCACCCGCAACGTGTACAAGCGCCGTGGAGGATGGATCATATTTTGGCGTGTATGATGTATGAACATCTCCCAAATATATCCACTCGAGGAGCAGATCATAAGGGTTTCTAGGACACCGAAAGAGATTTCTATTGTTAAATGGCATTTATGAATTGAAATGATAGTTGTATTTTATTCAATGTTGCTACATACCGGTTCGTTCGGGTGCACAGCGTCGCCTAACGATGCGAAACGGCGTTCACAGAACACTCCATGAGACGAACAGTTTGGTAATAATTCAGGTTGTCTTGCACAACAGGTCCGATAATAATGCAACTGGGACAAGAAAACGCACTGATAGGTAGATGCCCCCTCTTGCAATTTGCCTGGCCCAAAAATCAGTCGTCAAGTATGGTATGGGTTCCGTAGAGAACTTACCTTGGACCATGGGATGGAACTAAGGGGCTCGCTCGGTACGAGTGGTTCCGTTCATCATATTGTCTTCCATGACAGCTGTCCAACTTCCTCAAGCAGTCTCGACGGGCAGAAGCAGAACTGCACCAAGTACCCTTTGCTCCAACTTTGCAGCAAGCAATAAGGCTATTTCTAAAATCGAAATGGACCCCCTCACCGTCTTCTCTCACCTCAACTTGATAGACACCTCCAAAGAGCTGACCATCCTGACCCGCGTTTTGCTCCCATCCTCCCAACCCATCTCTTCCTCATCCTCCCCCTCCTGCACCACATCATCCACAGCTCCTACACTCCCCGTCCGTAATGTGACCTCACAATCACCCTGACCCTTAAAGAAAGCAGCCACATTGACCACCTTCTCAATCGCCTTCCCCGTCCCGGCAACGACGACCTCACCGGCATGTTCCAGTCCAATCCCACTCCCCTGCGCTTGTTCCAACGCGTAGATGCGGCTCGATAGCGACATGTCTTTCTTGGACAGCTTGTTGGTCAGGGCCTGCGGGTGTGTGGAAGAGGAAGTGCGCAGGTTCTTGACGAGCTGCTTGCGCACTCGTGTCGTGATGGAGCGGAAGGGCGTCGAAGATTTGACGTAGAAGCGGTGAGAGGCGCGCGTGGGGGGAGTGCGGGAGGGTATCGGACGATGGCGGATAGTGGTGCCTGGTTCGAGCAATCAGTAAGTCTAGCCGATATGTAGGCGTCGAGAAGACGGACCCTTGGGTAGGGGTGGTAGTTTCGCTGGGGCGGCTTGTTTGGGCTTCTGTCTTCGCGCTGCTGCGCTTTCGCCTGGTGAGGCCATTGTCGGATATTCACTATGTAGAGCGTGATATCATGCAATGGTTTGTCCGGGCTATTAGACGACGCGTCTCCCAGCTTTTCACTTTACCGTGGAATTCTTCCTTTTGCATCACAAGGTGTTGCTTGTTTGACGTTGAATCAAGCTTCGAACGATCTAAAGATAAAGTGGGGTATCCTGGCCAGTGGGGGCTCTACAGTGGGGACCTCCCTGGCCCTACAGCCCTGTATTCTAGCAACCGTCTCTTTCGGATGCTGGCATCTTCTGATTCTTCTGAGAGATTAAATTTCAATAAATCTATGACGTATTTGATGTTAAGCGGTTCGTGTGGCTACTAAAGTAACTGTAAAAGTAACGGACTCAAACTCCCGTGAACCACATCCAACAAGAACCGCGGAGTATTCCAAAGTATTCACCTGAAGGCTCCGGTGAGTATTGAAGAGGGAGGTCTGCCCTCATTCTAAACCCCCATTTCCTCAAATATGTTGAAACTGGGCCGTCCCGGCCTTGCATTTAGCGTTAGGCGTATGTAGTGAAGATGCTTGGTCCAGTGATTGGTCGCTATCAAATAACTCCAAACGGCACACGGAATTGAGGACGGCTTTCTTCATCACTTGGCGGTCAGACTAATCTGATCCAATGCAGGGAAGGTTTTTTTGGACTCACACTCGACGAAACCAGGCAACGGCTACTTAAATAGGACGGGGCTTCTACATCAAGTTAAATGTAGCGTTAAAGAACTTTTCCACAACAAGAGTGTATTGTTCCAGCATAGTTAATTACATTTGGCAAGGAATTCTACTTATAGTTATAGATAAATGCAATGAAAAGAAAATAAGGGGGATATCGATGCATAGAAACGTGTGATTTCTTTACTTGAAGCTGTGTAACCAGGTATTATAGCTGAGTCTCAAGATCTGTATGAATACTGTGATCGTAGATGACTTCGTCGGAGGGGTAATTATTCATTGTAAACTAGTTTAGTAGTTTTCGCATGGGCAAACTAAAAGCTGAAGTAAGACGGCGAAATAGTTGGCCCCTTTTGGCAGACTACTACTGACCAAATCATATCTTGTATCCTCTAATATTTTGTACCGCTGACGCTAATATTTCATTCAAGCCTTATCTTATCTAAGACATCAAGCTACCAAACTCGGATGTTCACGGGATTGAAGCCAGTGAAGGCCCTGTTTCTGCTACTTGAGAGCTGATAAGGCAGTGGGAATAATAATGGTCAGCTCATTAGTCGTGGGGCTGATTGATGGGTTGAGTGTGGTAAAATACGCTAGAAAGGTTGACGACAACAAGGAAGGGGCGGGCCGAGAATCTGACACGCAGCGCGCAAAGGCTTCCAAAGAGGCGTTTTGGGGGCATGTGGGAATTACTTCTGCCTTTGCGGCTATTGGAGTGTGGATGATCATCAATGGGGAGCAATGAAGCCCTTTAGGGTTTGGACACACGTTTAGACCCGGGTTAGTTTATGATGTTCTCGACTCCAGACAAAATCTTCTACAGCTAACTCCTCTGTTGATGAATCTGTGTGGATGTTGTATTGATTGCCGGGTCTGCTCTACGCGCTGTGCTACGTTGGTTGCGAGAAGTGCTTTGTAGAAAGCTATGTCTGAGGGGGGTGTGAGGGGTTTGACCCCAC